GCAGGCCTGCAGCCTCGGGGAGCCTGGGAAGGCAGGGGTGTGGGCATAGGGCTTGGCCAGAGCTTTAGGGCCTCGGCACAGGCCCTGGGGTCAGTTTTAAGGGTCACATACGGCTGTGCAGTCCGTCCAGCTCAGGGCCCCAGCCAGGCACCTGGGGAGGGACAGAGGGACCTCAGGACTTGAGCCACGGGTGCTGGGCCCGCTGACCCGTCCACGAAGGGCCCAGAAGCCAGGACACCGCGGCGGAGGCCCGCAGACACACATGCCCGGCACACACAGCCCACACGTGTGTACAGGCACACATGGGCACTAATGCACTGTGCACACAGGGATACATGTGTGTGCAAAAGCCCACCAGGGACACGCAGGTATGCATGGGAAGGTACTCACGCCTGGGCACACATACAAGCACGCGCTGAGCACTCAGAGGCACACGGCATGCACACAGGCATGGGCACACGCGGCGCCCACTCCGCCCCCACTCCCTGGCACCCGTGTTTGTTTTGCTTCCGCGGGCTGATGGGGACGCGCTGCTCTCAGCCCCCAGCTGCCATCTGTCCATGTCATGAGTCAGCACGAGGCCCATGTGCTGGGGGCTGGAAGGGCCGGCTGCCGCTCCCCACGGGGCCTGGGCTCCGGGGCACAGGCCTGGGCGGCCAGGGCTTTCCCGGTAACCGGCGAGCAAACCCAAAGGCATGTGTCCACTGCGTGCCTCTGCCCAGCCCTGCCCAGTTTGGTCTCCCATCCCCTGTCCAGCTCTGCTCTGCCCAGCCCTGCCCACCCCTGCTCTGCCATGCCCAGCACTGCCCACTCCTGCCCAGCCCAGCCCAAGCCCCCCTGCCCTGACCTCTGCATGTGCCCAACTTCTGCCATGCCTGGACCATGCTCACTGCCCTCCGCCCTGGCCTGGGGCCCGACCTCCCCACACCCTTGCATCCCGCCGCCCCCCACTCCCAGGCCCTGCAGACCCCCAGGCCCTGCAGACCCCCAGGCCCTGCAGACCCCCAGACTGGGACGCTGTGTCCCCCCACCCGCTCCGCGCTGCAGTGCACCGAAGACAGGCAGGCAGCCCCGCACCCGAGATGCCAGGCCCCTTCCCTCACTGCCAGCACGACGGACTCAGCTGACATTTCCCTGGATAGGTAATTGATGCCCAAGTAATTTGTACGGGGACCTCGATATAAGCCAGCTGGGTCCCCTGCGCGCCAGCGTCTGTGGCCCAGAAACCAGAATGGCAGGTTAATTATGGAGCCGACTCACGCCACTCCCCTGGCACCCGGAGACAAGGAACGGGACAGGGCCTGTGCAGGGGGGGCCACCAACAACGCCCTGGACCCCCCGTCCCCTGAACTGTGCGCCCATGGGGAGGGGTCCTGCCCAGCGGCAACAGCAGCGAGAATACAGGGCAGGTGGCCTGGACACAAGGGACAGTACCTGGACGTGGGGGAAGACAGTTGGAATCAGGGGATGGGGCCTGGACGAATGCTCTGCCCTCAGTGGTGCAGGGCACGAGCCAGGCCGATCCCCGGCTTGGGTGTCCACATGTCCCCTTCCACTCCCCAGGCTGGGACAGTCTCACCACAGCCCCACGACACAGACACAGGCCTGGAGCCCAACCAGGCTGGGCTCCGCCCGGAAGTGCCTTTACCCTGTGTCCGAAGCCCACCGTGCTCTGCCTGTCACTCAGCTTCCCTGGACATGCCCCAAGGGTACTGTGCAGTCACTGCAGACACGACTATCCCAGCAGCCCTTGGGGAATTGTCGCTGGGGGAAAGAGTGATCTGGATGCAGGGGCCCAGGGCCCCGGGAGGCTTCACAGGATGAGGAAACGGCAGTTGGGGCAGTGGACATGGGGCCAGGGTGGGGGTCACAGAGCCTTCCCGGAGGGGCTGGGCCCGGTGAGGGGCAGATACTGACCTGGTGGCCGCTCCAGGAGGTGATTCCTGTCCCTGTGCGGGGTGTAGGGTGAGTTAGGGAAAGGCACCGACTGTTGCCAACTCCCAACACGAGGGACAATGGGTCCAACAGACAGATGTACAGAGGGGCTAGAGGGGTCAGACGGACAGTACAGAAGGGGCGGCAGGTGGCCCTCGGTGACGGGCAGGCACAGAGATACGGTGCAGGCTAGGTTGGAGGGGCAGGTAAAGGTGCCGTGTCAGCAAGTTGTGTGTGGGTCTCACTAGGTGTTTGAGGGCTGCGTCAGGGTGTCTGTGGGTGTGAGGGGTGTGGAAGCAAGTATGTGAGTGGTAAGAGAGGGGTAATGTGGGTATGACTGGGTGTGTGAGTAGGTGTGAGGGTATGTGAGCAGGTGAGAGAGGGCATGTGAGGGTGTGTGTGAGCGGGTATGAGGGTGTGTGAATGGGTGTGTGAAGGTGTCTGTGAGTTGGTGCGAGCAGGTGTGTGAGTGTGTGTGTAAGGGTGTCTGTGTGAAGGTGTCTGTGAACGGGTGTGTGAGCAGGTATCTGTGTGAGGGTGTCTGTGTGAGGGTATCTGTGAGCAGGTATGTGAGGGTGTCTGTGAGCAGGTGTGAGTGTGTCTGTGAGTGGGTGTAAGAGTGTTTGTGAGAGGCTGAGGGTACTGTGAGCGGGTGTCTGTGTGAGCAGTGTGAGGGTGTTTGTGTGAGGGTGTGAGTGGGTGTGAGGGTATCTGTCAGCAGGTGTGTGAGGGTTTCTGTGAATGGGTGTGAGGGTTTCTGAGTGTGTGTGAGGATGTCTGTGTGAGGGTGTGAGTGTATCTGTAAGCAGGTGTGTGAGAGTGTCTGTGAGCGGGTGTGAGGGTGATTGTGTGAGCGGTGTGTGTCTGTGTGAGGGTGTGAGTGTATCTGTGACCGGGTGTGTGAGGGTGACTGTGTGAGCGGTGTAAGGGTGTCTGTGTGAGGGTGTGAGTGTATCTGTCAGCGGGTGTGTGAGGGTGACTGTGAGTGGTGTGTGTCTGTGTGAGGGTGTGTGTGTGTGTGTGTGTGAGGGTATCTGAGTGGGTGTGAGGGTGTCTGTGTGAGGGTGTGGGCTGGGAGCAGACGTGTAAGCAGCCCCCACACTGGAGTGAGTGTGGCTCCCTTGGAATGAAACTGCCTGTGGGAAAGCATCAGGGAAGGAAGGGCTGGAACCCGGCCTTTCCTTACAAATCGCACTCGGCCATTCATCACCTGGACTGTGAACACTGCTACTTGATTGAAAAACAAAGGGGGCCGGTGAGAGAAAGCAAGGCACTTGCCATGCACATCTGACAGGGTTCAATGTACACCCCCAGGAGCGACCTCTGAGCACTGCCGGGTGTGGCCCCAAACAAAACAAAATTGAGAGAAACAGGTGGCTGTGAAGGACAGAAGCCGGGCTGTCATGGCCCCTGTGCGCCCGCTGACGAACACGGTGGGGCCGGGGCTCCTCCCCACTGCTGATGGCGAGTGTCCGGAGGCCCATGACCCCATGAGCCTTCCCGTGGGCACGCCCCTGCATCCTTCAGTCCAAAGGGCGGCCTGCGGGGCAGCAGGGGACACTGAGCGGCCTTCCCTTCAGGGAGCCGGGACGGTGGGAGGAGGCCACAAGCAGGCCCTTTGGAGCATCGTCGGGCCAGGCAGAAGCGGGTGAGAGGTCCCGCGGCGCATCCCAGGCCGTCTATGGGGTCCCACATGTCACTGCAGCACGGCCTACTCCTGGCTGGGACAGCTGTGCTGGGAGCCGGGCGTGTGGCCATCTCTAAGGCGCTGTGGGTAACGCCAGATGCTGTGCTCGGGGCACCGAGCTCCCCAGAGCCCCCCACTACCCACCCATCCCACGAACACCTGCGGGGCCCCTCCACATCTGTGACCCCATGGTGTCACTCGAAAAGGCCCTGGGAGGTGTGCGGGGGTCCCCAAACATGCCAGCCCTGCAAACACCCCTCCCCCCGCCACTGCCCTCCAGCAGAGGGAAACCTCACAGCCCCAGGAGGGGCTGACCTGGGGCTCGGGGAAGGGCGACCCCCCAGGTCAGACTCAGCAGGGACTGCAAGGGCCACACGGGTAGGTGCATGCATGTCTGCGTCTTTCGTTTCTCTGTGTGTGCATCTCTGTCTGCCTATGTCTCTGTGTGTGCATCTGTGCACGCGTGTATCTGTATGTACCCACGTGTATCTGCATGTCGTGTATGTGTCTGTGTATATGTGTATATGTGTTGGGGGGGTGGTCCAGGGCGAGCCACAGGCCCAGCAAGTATGAGATGCCATGTCCACCCTCACCTGAGGCCCAGTTCAAACGTGGGGGCAGCCCTCAGCCCGGTAGCTGTGCAGCCGAGACAGGCGTGAGCAGCAGGGGCCCGGCCAGCTTGCACCCCGGGGGGGCGATGGGGACCCTCATCCCTGCCGTCAGCCCTGGCCTCCGTCACCCCACCTCTTGGGCACTGCAGGTCTTTCCCTCAGTCAGGGCTGGGCCCCCGGCCCCCCATTCTGGGGAGAGGCCAGTGTGAGGCAGGACCACAGGGTGGTCAGTCCCTGACGGGCTGCAGGAAGGGAGAGGTGGGAGGAGCCCGGGCGGCGGCCTGGAGGGCAGTGGTAGCTTTGGGGATGGGTCAGCCTGTGGGCAGCTGACCCCAGCCAGCCCTGCTTCCTGGCCCCTGTCCTGCCCGGGCACAAGCAGCAGTTCCTGGACACAGACACGCCAGAGGGCTCCTGCCTGGGCCCACGGGGGACCCGCACCCCGACACCAGGCTGGGGATGCAGCGGGGCACTTGTGCCCCAGCCCTGGGATCCATGGCAAAGTGGGGGACCAGGAGCGGCAGGAGCAGGGGAGGCTGGATTCTGGGGGTGGGGGGGTCCTTCCTGCAGTTGCTCGTGAGCCACTGGGGAGAGCTAGGGGCAGCTACCAGGGGCGAGGGGGACACCCGTGTTCCTGCAGGAGTGGTCAGGGTGGTGAGGGTGAGACTAGGCCTGGACGTGGGGCTGCCTGCCCAAGTGCGGAGGAGGCGGCTGTTGGAGGGGGCGCAGCGGGGTAGACATGAGCCAAAGCCACGAAGCCCAGCAGTGAGGCTGTATTCTAGCAGCAGGGGAGGGGCGTGGTGGGGCGGCTGCTTCTTCCCCCTGGCTCCTCCACGCCTCCCTGGGGACAGGACGGTGGCGATGGTGCCCGTGGGCTCCTGTGAAAGGAGAGGGCAGGGCCCGGTCAGCCCCCGGCCACACCTGCCCCCACTCTGGGGGGCTGGACGCGCCAGTCCCACCCGGGGCTGCCCACTCAGGGGCCCACTGGGAGCAGCCTTGGAGCCGGAGGAGGCGCTCACCTGCTGCGGAGGGGCGCGGGGTCCACCATCGTGCGGAGATGCTCCCTGGAGCGGATGTCAGCCTGGGGGAGGGGCCTGTGAGTGGTGCAGCCCCCCAGCTGCTGTGGGCGTGTGGGGTACTCCCACTCCCACCCAAGAGTGTCTGGAAACTTCTGTTGCGCCTGGGCAGGGCGGGGAGCCAGGAGCCCCGGGGGCAGGGAACAGGCAGGGGCTCTGGTCACAGTCAGGAGGGTCTGCTGCAGACCCTCCCGCCAGCCCTTTGGCGGGGACAGGGAGGCCGCCAGGACGCCCACAGCAGCGTTCCTGGCCCCGGAGCGCCCCCTGGCGGCCAATCAACACAGCAGCGGCTGCGGTGGCCCCTGGGCAGCCTGGCCGCAGGGAAGTGGTCCTGGGGCCCCCAGCACTGGCAGCCAGGTGAGCCCGCGGCTCTTCCTAGCCAGCTGGCTGTCCCCTGAGCGCTGCCCTGGGCCCTCGCTTGGGGGCGACGGGCGCCCTGGGCTACAGGATCTGCCCGCTCCTGAGTGGCCTCAGTGGTACTTGGCTGCTGCCCGCAGGGGCCCACCTGGCGCACGGGCTCTGGGTTCTTGAACCTGCAGCAGCTGAGCGTGAGGCGCACGGCCGTCTCCAGGCTGATCCGGTGACCCACGGACACGTACAGGGGCTTGGTGCTGAGCGCATGGGTCCTCAGGGCCTGCACAGGGAGGGGAGCAGGCGGGAGCAGGTGCAGGATCAAGCCCCCGCGACATCATCTGAGTGATGGGGGGGCACGAATGGGGGGTTGTAGAGCGTGTGAGCGTGTGTGAGCATGTGCAAACGTGTGAGCAGGTGTGCAAATGTGAGTGGACGAGCGTGTGTAAATGGGACAGCAGGTGTGTGTGTGAGATGTGCAAATGTGTGTAAATGTTTGAGCAGGTGTGTGTACAAATGTGAGTGGATGTGCGTGTGTAAATGTCTGAGCGGGTGTGTGTGAGTACATATACACACGCACGTGTGCAAGCCTGTGTCTGTGGGAGCCGGCTGCTGGCACTCACCATGCCCAGGACAGTCCCAGAGGCACCGGCGAGGGGGAAGCAGTCCCCAGGCGCCTGCAGGAGTCTGATCTGGAAAAGGAGGTGTCAGAAGCTGCGTTTCTGGGCCCGAGGGACCCCGAGCTGCAGAGAGGAGATCGGGGCCGGGTGTCACGGGTCCCTGCACAGTCAGACCAGGGGCTGAAGGGCACCGAGGCTGCGGGGGACACACAGGGGCGCGCCCACCTTCTCCTTGTGCTCAGCATCGTTCTCCAGCCCATCCACCTGCAGGAGCTTCTTGGCCACCCCGACGCAGGGCAGGTCTGTGAGGACACCAAGGTGGCAGGCCACCCCAAAGCCTGCAGGGCAGAGGGGGCAACTGGGCACAAGTGGACAGGCCTGAGCTGCGGGCAGGACTGTTCAGCAGAGGTGGGCCTGGCTCTGACCCCTCCCAGGGGTCATGCCTGATCAGGACCAAAGGCAAGGGGTATGTCCCAGAGGGGCGTCGATGGGCATGTCCGAGGGGCGTGTCCCTACTCATCCCCTTGACAGGTGTCAGATTGTCAGATTTATCACCATCTGCTTCTTCCCCCTCTTTCCCCTGCCTTTCTGGGCCCGTCCATGCCCTCTCCTGCTGACCTGCCATGCCCCTATCTCAGACCCCAACGTGCCGGCCTTCCTGCTAGAATGGCCCACCCGACAGTGACCGGAACCGGCGCAGGACTGGCCTGCCACAGATGCTGTGCCCAACACACACGTGACACTGAACTCTGGCCTCTGGGTGGAGGCTGCACAGTTTCCTGCGGTGTGCAGGGTTTCCCAGGCCACGGGGCACACCTGTCACCGCCTGCTCAGGAGGAGCAGGGCACCGGGAGGGCACAGAGGAAGGGTCGGGTCCAGGCCGGAGCGCCTGGCAGTGGTCAGTCCGGCAGGCAGCGCCGAGGATGGCCCGGCCGGGCTCAGGGGAAGCAAGGCGGGGCTAGCCCGAGGAGCTGGGGTGCCGGCGGGCAGCGGGCAGCAGGGGGCGGTCAGTGCGGCCGGGGGCACTACCTCGGTGGTGGAGCACCCCATTGCCGTCCACGAGGAGGACCTGGAAGCGACACCGAGAAGGGCTCAGCGGACGCGCCTGGGGGCGCCGGGCCGGGCGTGGGCAGCGGTGGGCAAGGGACCTGCCTGGGGCATGAGGTGGGGCGCCCGGGTCCGCAGCCGCTGCACCGCCTGGGCCAGGAAGGGCGCCTCGCGGAAGCCCAGGAAGCCGGGCACGTAGGGTGCCGTCAGGCTGACCACGCTCTGGTCCTCGAACAGCACCTGCCAGCACACAGGGAGGTCACCGGCAGCGGGGACGGCCGCGGGGCCCCTCCGGGAGCGGCAGGGAGGGGCAGGGAGGGTCCGGGCGCCGCGGTCACCTCCAGCTCGGGGTAGCTGAGCACCACCAGGCAGGCGCAGGCGCGGGGGTCGCCGTCGCCCGCGAAGGACACGTCCACGCCACCGACGCGCTGCAGCCCCGGGAAGCCGGGCCCCCGCTGCCACGGCTCGGTGTCGCCGCGCAGCACGAGCGCGCGCAGCCGGGCCTGCTCCCTGCGGAGGCAGCGGTGAGGCGGGCGGCCCGGCGGCGGGCCCCGCCCCCGCCCCCCGTCCCCCGCCCCCGTTACCGCGCCCAGCGCGACAGCGTCTCCTCCGGGGGCCGCTCCGCTGCCTCGGCCATGGCGCCCGGACCGCTTCCGGCACCGCGCGTCACTTCCGGCGACGCGTGCGTCACTTCCGGCGAGGTTCGCGTTCGTGCCGGCGGCGCTCGTGCTAGCGCCGTGCCTGCCCTGGGTCCGGCTGGGTCCGGCGCGAGGAACAGACCCCGGAACTCTTTCGTTGTTTGCTTCCGGCTGTGGGCCACCCCCGGCGACGCTCCGGGCTGGCTCGCGGCGGTGCTCCTCCCGTGCGGGATGCGGGGATCGAACCCGGGTCCCGGCGTGCAAGGCAGAGCCCGCCCCGCTGGCCCTTCCCGCTCAACCCTCCCTCCCGCCGGGGCCGCAGCCCCCCGGACCCAGCATGGGGCGGCCTGGAGAGGTTCTGGCCTGTGCCCCCTCTGCTGGTCTGCACGGGGAGCCAGGTTGGACCCCTGGGAGCGTCCCTGTCTCACGAGGCCCACCGAGACCCTCCATCCCCAGAAGGGACACGTGAGGGCAGCGTGCCCAAGACCTGCAATCTGGGCTTTGTCGGCCTGGGGAGAGAGGCCGGGGCTGGGGTCTTGAGGGGATCTGAGAACACGGTGGAAATTTAGGGAAGCTGGCGGTTCCCAGGCCACCCCACTCCTCTGCGGGGACACGCCTGTCTGCCCACTGCCCCTTAGTGGCCCCAGGAAATGCTTCTCGGGAGAGCTGCTGAAGGACCGCCCCCCCCTCCTCCCTCCCGCTGGGGTCTCAGCTAGCCCATGCTGCGAGCCCCATGCCCACCTGCTCCCACTGCACTCACCACTGGGTCCCCAGCACTAGGGAGACACTCAGGGAGCCCTACCCTCCTGGTGGCACCGCGGGACAGCGACCACGTGGAGGCCAGAGCCACACCCTGCATCCCAGCTCCCCAGCAGATTTTGGGGCTCCCTGCCGCAGGCTGAGCTGCAGTGTCCCTCCCCAAGTGGGGCTTACCTGCTGGAAGCTGCTGGCTGTTACAAAAATTCTGGCCCTCCTGGCTCTCGCTCCACTGGGGCCCTGAGACCACCCCCCCCCAGAGAAAAGGCATCTGTGTGACGCTATTATTTATGTCTGTGGGCGGACCCAGCAGTGCTGGGGGCTTCTTCCGGCTTGGCTCGGGGTTCTGCAGACAGTGGACCAGGGATGCTCACACGCGAAGCCCAGCTCGCCCCCAGCACCTCCCAAATCAGGACAGGCTCCTGCAGTGCAATGTCAAGTTTATTCAGACAGGAATGATGAGGCTTCCACGCCCCGAGAAAAGGCTTCAGGAAAGGCTTGGCCCCCTAGCCCGATACAGGCAGGACCCGAGGCCCGGAGGCACTCCAGGTTGAGGTAACGGCTTGGAGGCAAGCTGGGGAGTGGCACAGCACCCTGCGCCCCTGAGCGGCTGAGGTCAGTGTAGCAGGGTGCCTCTGCAGTGGACACAGGGCAGGGACCCTGGATGAGAATGTGGGGGTGCTTGGCCTGGCCTCTGCAGTGGACACAGGGCAGGGACCCTGGATGAGAATGTGGGGGTGCTTGGCCTGCAGCCATTTCTGTCACTCGCCCCTGGGGTCTGACCCACCTGGCCAGGCTCTCCAGAACGGGCACTTAGGGCCAGACCCCCGCTTCCAGGCCGCTGGAGACAAGAAGTTCAAGGAGAGAAGCCAGGAGGGCCAGGCTTGTCCCTCTTCCCGAATGCCACAGGCTATCTCCCGGAGTCGCACAGGAAGGACAAGCTCCGCAGACCCCGGAGCGCAGACCCCACCGGGCGCACGTGGCTACCGAAAGACCCCCAGCGATGCCAGGACCACATCCCCACTGCAGTGTGGCCGGGCCAGGAGTAGGGCAGGCCACAGCCCTGAGCCCGGGGTCAGCAGCGAGTCGGGAGGGGCTGGGGCCAGGTCCTGCCACTGCCCCCGAAGGCGCTGTGGGATCTGCTGACAGCATGGGCTCTGGGGAGCGGCAGGAGAGAGGGGCGCCTTGCGGGCCTGGCTTGGGCCTGTCTTCCAGAATGGTGTGAAATGCTGGCTCCCGTGGCACAGGGTACCTGAGGGGAGCGTGTCCATAGCCTGCCTCCATGCTGGCCACCCACTCGCTACCTGGCCTGACGGTTCCACTTGAGCTTGGCGGCCGCCTTCCACACGGCCACACAGCTGGACAGCGGGATGTCCTCGGGGAACTGGGCTTCCAGCTCGGGTAGCACCTCGCTCTCCTGGGGGTCCAGGTAGCTTGCCAGAGTCTCGCGCAGGCTGGGGAGGGGCAGGCAGGAGGGTGAGGGCAGCAGGAAACACCTGCTCCCTCACCCCCCAGGCCCTTGGGGGCTCGGGCTTCCAGAGCGCATCTGCTGTGCCCCACGGGGGCACTGAGCACCCCCAAAGGCGACCGGCCCCACAAAGAGCAAAGCGCTCAGAGACACGTGACACGTGCTCGGGAGCAGACGCCAGGGCCATGCTGGGGCCCATGTGGGAGAAAGCAGCTTGCAAAGGGGTGGCTGGGAGCCCCTCCATGGAGGTCAGCAGCCTCCCAGCCTCCCTGTTCAGGGCAGGAAGGGGCAAGCCTGCCGGGAAGGGCCACAAGGAAGAGCCACACAGGCGCCTGAGACCAGTCAGTCAGGGCAGGGGGTGGGGCGTGGGTGGGTTGGCACAATGGGGCGTGGCCTATACCTCCAGTTTGGTGTCCACTCAGGGGCCTTCAGCTTGAGGACGATCATGTGGTGCAGCTCCAGCAGGAAGGCATCAAGGCTGGCACGGTTCAGGAAGGCCTGGAGGAGTTTGCTGTTCCCAGGGCTCAGCTCCTCCCTGTACTCAGGGCTGATGTCCCCGAAGGGCTCCTGAAGGGGATGGGCCGGGACACACACACACACAGGTCAGCGGGAGCAGGGCAGGGGGATGGGTCAGCAGGAGCAGGGTGGGGGGGACGGGTCAGCGGGATCTGGGGGAGACGGGTCAGCAGGAGCAGGGGGAGACGGGTCAGGGTCCCTTCTCACCCTGCGCAGGCGCAGCAGCTGCTCCGACCTGTGAGCTGACAGGAATTGCCAGAGGGCGACTGCGTGACGGAGCTGGCATCTGGCTAGGGCCTGTGGGCAGCAGGATGCTGAGGGGTCCCCCGGCCCTGCCCCACCTGCCGAGGGGTCCCGTGCCCTGCCCCACCTGCCTGGTAGGCTCTGAGTGGGTCCTGGGGGGGCAGGCAGGACTCACCTCTAGCACCTGTGGGGTCTGGTCCCTCATGCGCAGTAGGTCATGGACATACGTGCTCAGGGGCATGTCAGGGTCACTGCTGCTCGTGCTCAGGAAGCCCAGGGTGACCTCAACCACCGACAGGGCCTCACAGGCGTCGCTGTAGGACAGCAGCTGCCCACCAATGGCGTCCCTGGCTGCATGCCCCAGGGGACTCTGTGGGGACAGATGCCTGGTCCCTGCTGGCCTCCCGCAGCCCTCACCCGACCCCTGCCAGCTCACAGCCTGCCCATGGCTCCCGGCTTCCAGCCCCCAGTGCTCCAGGACACACAACACCAATACACCAACACACCCATGTCATGCACAGACACGCACACATGCACACACAGATGCATGCTCACATGCAGACTCACATGCACATAGCAGGTACACAGACACATGCACATACACATACAGAGCACGCAAACGTGCACCACGTGCACAAGCCCTGGAGAGGAACACTCGAGCCGCTGGCTAAGAGCACCTCAGAGGCTCACCTGGGCCATCTTGCTCCTGATGGCCCTGAAGAGGTGCTCATAGTTCCAGTCCTGCCTGCACACCAGCGTGGGGAGCCCCTGTGGGGGGAGGGCGATACTCTGGCCCCCACGACCCAGAGCCCGCCCTGGGCACCTGCCCACCACCCAGGAGCTGGGGAGGGGTCAGCCACCTGTACACATCCACCCCACTGATGAGGTGCCAGGGAGCAGACAGGGTGGAGGGGTGGGGTGGGAGATAGGACGGGGTGGGGGGACAGGAGGGGATGGGACAGGGTCAGGAGAAAGTAGGGCTGGGAGTGGGGGAGGCAGACACAGGATATAAGGGGTTGCATCCAGGTGCCCAGGGTGCCTGAGCTCCAGAGCCTGGGCAACAGGTGGGGTCCCTGGAGTGGGGGTGAGCTAGGGAGGCTGAGGGTGTGGAAGGCCAAGAGGCCAGAGTGTGGGTGGGGAGGGCTGGCTGGCCCCGCCCCGCCCCCCTACCTTGAGTGTGACCCTGGGCTTTCCCTGGAGGAAGCGGGTGAGCAGCTGGCGCTGCAGCTTGTCCAGGTCCACATCCAGCAGCGCCTCGGCGCCCTGCTCCACGCTGTACTGGCAGCACGAGAGGATCAGTGGGTGCAGGTCGCGCTCTAGCTCATAGCTGATGACGTGCAGGTCGCTGACCTCCGAGGCGTCCACAGTGTAGCTAGGGAACAAGAAGGCACCGTGCAGCGCCCGGGTCAGGGGCAGTGGGGCCCGGGGAGGGAGCTCCTGAGAGGCAGGGGGGCGGGGGGCTGTGGCTGGTGTTCGGGTGCACATACCTGCTGGCGTCCTGGGACACCGTGTCCATCTTGTAGACTGCGGCGTTGTGCAGAGCAATGAGGTAGCTGGCCAGGGCCGTGGAGCAGAGGCCCAGGCCCCGGCGTCGCGGCAGAAGGATCTCAAATGGCGACTTCAGGTCCAGGTCCTCAATGCAATACTGGGTGGGCAGCTTGATCTCCCCTGCGGACAGCAGGCAGTGAGTGCCACCCGCAGGGACTCCAGTTCCCCCGGAATGTGGTATCCACCTCATGGGCCAACAGCACCTGCTCATCCCCGCTAGTCACTGATCCACACCCCCAGCGGGGACCGTGAGACTGCTAATGGTCCCCGCCCCTGCCGTTTGCCCAAGGCCCAGCTTGTGGTGTCCATGGCAGAGGCAGCCGGCAGGTACCGTTGGTCTGCAGGGACCGTCTCAGTTTGTTCCACGTGGACAGGAAGACACCGACTTGGTCTCGGAATTGCTGCTTCAGCCCCTCTGCCGAAGAGAACTCAGTCAGAACCCTGTGGCCATACCAGTCACCCACCGGGCAAACGGCTAAGCTTTCCCACGGCCACCATGTGTCCTAGAGGCTGCGGTCAGAGCAGCTGGGCGGAAATGCTGTCCATGTGTGAATATGAGTGTATGTGTGAGCATGTGTGTGTGTGAACAGGTATGTGGAAATATGTATATACGTGTGTATGTGTATGAATGTGAGTGTGTGCATGTATTTGTGCGTGTATGAGTAAATGTGAGTACATGTGTGTGAACATGTGTGAATGGGAGTATGTGTGTATGAATGTGTGCGTGTGTGTGTGAGCGTGTGAATGTGAGTGTAGTGTTTATGAGTGTGTGTATGTGTGTGTATTGAATGTGTATGTGTGTGTGAATGTGTGTGTCCCGCCAGGTGTCCACAGTCCTAAGTACTGGCTTTTCTGCGTCTAGACCCACACCTGACTTCTGACTGTTGATGAAATCGTCCATGGTGCGGTACTGCACTTCTGAAACATTCTGGAACTGTTTCACCAGACTTTTCTGCAAGGCCAAAATCTCGGGCAGAAATTTCAACAGTCTCAGCTCTGCTTCCTGGAGTGGAGAGACCCCCCCAGAACGCCTTTACTGACCCAAATAGTGCTCCTGGCTGTGGTTCTGAACGCCTAGACCCAGGCGTCATCTAGGGCACAGGCCCAAGTCCTTCATGAGCAGAACAACAGAGGTGTCACATCCTTTCTCCCGAACAGCAAATCCCAGTCCACACAGGAGAACCATCCCATTGCAATGGGGCGATGGCCCTGGGTGCGGGCTCTGATGCCCATTTAAGAATAGGACTACAAGCCGGGGAGCTCAGCTGCTGGCGCAGGGCCCTGAGCACCGTCTGGTGTGGCCCCCAGATCAGAACCAACCAAAAGTCTACTGCGGAAGGGCGCATCTGATGGGGCAAAAGGCAGAAACCGAGTCTCTCAGTGTGGAAGAGACAGTGGCTGGCACAGGCTCTGCGGGAGGTAGCCCCAGCCCTGAGCAGAGCTAGGTGCGGCCCAAAAACCAAAAAGAAAAGAATGTGGCTTTCTGGACTCCCTGGCCAAATCACACACCACAGTTCAGGAAATGCTGGGTGGACTCTGGTCACGTGTCCAGGAGCAGCCTGTCCCACCCTTGGGCACCCCAGATTCCCCACCCCCCAGCAAGCAAAGCGCGAGACAAACAGACACAGGAGCCGAATATGAGGCACCTCCAGACCCCACTCGTCACAGATTCCAGTGGTCCTGCCGCCCTCCCTGTCTCCCTGGAGTGAGTCTGCGTCACACGGCCCGGCAATGGGATTGAATGTGGGGATCTAACAGGGGCCGGTGGGGACCTAATAGGGGATCTAATGGGGATCGAAGGTGAATGTGGAGATCTAAAGTGGGGATCTAATGCAGGGATCTAATGTGGTTATCTAGAGTGGGGGGTCTAGTGTGGGGATCTAATGGTGATTGAATGTGGGGATCTAAAGTGGGGACCAAATGGGGATCAAATGTGGGGGTCTAAAGTAGGGATCTAATGTGGGGTTCTAATGTGGATCTAACGGGGAATCTAATGGGGATCTAATACGGGGATCTAATGGGGATCTAGTCCAGGGATCTACAGTGGGGGTCTAACTGGGGTTTCTAATGATGGGGTCCAAGGAGGGGGCCTGCCCAGGGGGAAGGGGCCTCACATGCTGGAGGAAGTGGGAGAGCACAGGCACGCTCTCCCGGGCGTTCTTCTGCTCCAGCAGGTGCCGCAGGTGTGCCACGCCCGGCCTCCTCCTGCAGCGCCACATGCGGGAGCAGTGCAGCCCGCTGTCCCGCGGCAGATGTGGCAGGAAGGTCGCTGGGTCCCCAAACACGATCTTGGCCACGGGGCTGGAGCTGATGCGCTCATCCCGGCTGATGAGCTCATTGAGCGCCAGGAGGGACTGGTCCAGGTGCTGCAAGGGGGCCGGGCGGGGTGAGACCGCTGCCATCGGGGCTTGACCCCCAGCCTGCTACTCTGGCCACTTTTCCTGCCCACCCGCTCCCTGCCGCTGTGCCCCAGGCCCCCTCCAGGGGCTCAATAACGTGACATGGAGAGGAGAGGTCGGGACCATGGGAGGGTGCAACCTGCCTCACCCTCAGCCAGGGCCCGCTGGCCGCCTGCCCGCACTCACCTCCAGTTCCGCAAGCAGCAGGCGGCCCACACGCTTCTCCCAGAGGTTCCTCGCTTCTCTGGAGTGCAGCTGGGCAGCAGCATGGTGGGGGTCTGGAGAAAGAAATGGGTGTGTGAGCTGAGCCCCACCACCGGGGAATGCAGACGTGTGCTGCGAGTCTCCGGTTCCGTGTTTTCTGTGGTATCCAGGGCCGACTGACCTAGGATCTCCCACATGTAGCTTTCTCTTTCTTGGGGTGACCACACCCTGCAGTGCTCAGGGCTGACTCCTCACTCTGTGCTCAGGTGAAGCTCAGGGGATTATACAGAGTGCCAGGGACCAAACCCAGGTGGGCCATGGGCAAGGCAAGCGCCCTCCCCGCTCTGCTATCACTGCAGTTCCTAATGTACATCTTCAAATGGTTTTTGCAGCTACCAGTGACACCCCAGCCTGTCGGGCCTACCCCCAGGCCCCACTGCTCTGCTCCAGACCTCGCCCCTCTGCCTGAGATCCCACCCCTCCACCCAGAACCCCGCCCCTCCACCCAGACATGCCTCCTCCAAGAATCTGCACCCTGTGCCCTCCTTACTTTGGTCCCTGCTGGGCACTTGGAGGAGGCAGCGCAGTGCCAGGTGCATGGTGTTGGCTGATTCGTCCTTGGTCCTGCCCAGCATCTTCACCAGCTGCTCCAGGTCACTCTGCAGATGCCGCTTCAGGAAACCCACGGGGTCCCTGACGGGCGGCTTGATGAGGCGTCCCACATCCTGGGGGCGGGAGGCAAGGCACAGGGTAGAGATGAGGGTGAAGGAGCTGAGAGCTGCCTATGGAGGCAGAGCGTGGGAAGGGGGACCCCCAATGCCGCCTCTGACATCCGAGTGAGAAGGGAGGGTGCAGGGGAGCAAAGGCGGTCAAGAGAACAACAGCGAACAGTCTTACAGGAGTGGCCAGCTGTCCACAGCCCTGGACACGGCAGGATGGACCAGATGGGGTCACTGTGCACCCCTGTCCCCGGACACAGGACTGTGCAAATGTCCCTGAAAACTGTTCACGTGACTAGGGCCACTGAGTACCTTCCTACTCAGGTGGGGGATACTGGGGGCGGGGCTCACCTGGGGGCTGTGGGTGGCACCCAGCAGCAAGGCCAAGTGCGTGAGTAGGCGGAGAAGCAGGAAGGGCCCCGGGGGCAGCTCCCGGTCAGACACGACGGGCTGGTCTTGGGGCAGCGGCTCTCCCAGCACGTGGCCCGTCTGCGTCCTGTCTATATTGTCTCTGCAGGGGACATGAGTGGGAACAGCCACTCACTGTGGGGAGCAGCTGAACAGCTCCTGGCTCCCTAGATTTCCAGAGTCTTCCCTTCATATGCCCGGTGCCCATACTGCTCCAGGAGAAGTGGGAAGGGGTGACAGGGGGACTGCCCCGCCTCAGTGGCCACACGGGGACTGTAGCAGGTGGTGGACGTGGCAGGTGCACACTTATTTCCCAAAGCCAGGGTCCCTCCATGTGACAGGGCTTGGGGTGCCCGCCGGAGGCTGTGAAGGGCCTGTGTCCCAACACGAGCCATGGGCACCTTCTGTGAGAGAGGCCACCTCCTGGGCAGAGAGGGGACCTCAGAGCCAGCACGTGGGGGCTGCGAGGGGCTTGCAAAGCCCAGCAGGCCCCAATGGAGCGTGAACTCCAGGGACGTGACCACTGTAAAGGTGGACAAATGCCCAGTCTGGGGCTCCTGGGCCCGTGGTTGTGCTCTAGCGACCCCAGCACAAGTGGGAGCATCTGATCACCGGGGGGTCCTGAGAGAGTCAGAGCAAGGACTGGACGGGTTCCGCCCACCCTCCCACAATCCTACGCACGTGATTTTGTGGAAGCCCTCCCGGGGCCTGTGACCTCGACCTCCGATGGGAGCTCGGCAGTCCACACAGAAGCTCTCCTCCATGGGCATGCCGCACTGCGGGAGGGGCACAGCTGTGGGGGTGCACGGGCCACATGCCCCATACACATGGCCCACACATACGGCCCGCACACACACATGGCCCCCGCATGCACACGGCCCCACACACGCCCCCCCCCAGCCACTCACACATGGCCCTCGCACACAAGGCCGCACACACACATGGCCCCGCTCCTCAATCCCCCCTACATGTGGTCCCATATACATGGCTCTACACACACAGCCCCACATGCACAGTCCTACACACACATGCCCCCACATGCACTGTCCCGCATGCACATGACCTCATGTGTACAGTCCCTGTATACACAATCCCCACGTGCACATATGACATACACATATCCCTTTACACATCACATCATGAACACATCACAGCACATCACAGGTCCCCACATGCATGTGTTCATACATGTATAAGTCCCCACACACACGTCCTGGTATGCACCCATCATAGCACATATAAGTTCCTGTGCATCCATGTCCCGGCACGCACATGTTCTCATGTACTTCCCCACATGTTCCCGCACACACGTCCTCATGTGCACACATCTCCTCTGCATGTCACAGTACACACATATCCCTGCACACATGTTCCCACACACATCATCCATCACACATTCTCCACACATACACTTCACAGCATACACATTCCGCACATACACACATGTGCCCCCCTCACATCACAACACTCACATGTCCTCCCACACATGACCTACATATGTCCCTGCACACATCACAACAGCACATGTCCCCGGACACATGTTATGGCATATGCATGTACCCACACATGTGCACCATTGCACACAGATCCCCATAATGTGCACCAAGGCACCGACACGTCCCCACATTTATGTCACAGCACACACGTCATGACATAGCACGCATGTCACAGCATACACGCCCCCCCCCCCCCGCACACATGTTACTGATTGTGGAGGCCATGTTTTCCTCTAAGGAAAGGGGGCTGTCTCTGGGCTTCCCACCTGTGCACCCAGTGGAATGTCTGCTGAGCCCCAGACCCACAGCCCAGTTGTGACACTCACCTCCCCAATGGAGCACGGGTGGCCGTTGGGGCACTCTGAAAGAACAAGAGGAGACACTGGCTGCCACCATGTCTCAGGGACCCAGCACAACCCCTCCGCTGGGAACTTGTTGGCAGAGTCAAACAGGGTCCCCCCAAAACCATCTGTGGCTGCAGCTTTCAATTTGATCAAATCCAGGAACCTTCCAGTACAAGTGGTTCCAGCTGACAAGGACAAGGACGGTGACCACGGCCTCCCTGCAGCAATCTGTCTGCGAGCCCAGCGGGCACGGGCAGTGTGGACTTGCCCAGGCTCTCGGCCAGTGCCTCCCACTGTCCAGGCTTCCTGCCATCTCCTTGGGCACTTGGGGCCTCGGAGACTGCACAGGGCGTTGTGGAGCTGGTGTGGGCACTCACCGTACCAGTGCACCATCTCCAGACCCGGCCAGTGCCGGGCCTGCGTCATCAGGTCCTCGGGCATGGTGGGGAGAAACGCCTCCTGGAAAGGCAGCGAGGGGCTGAGCTGGCGCGCAACCCCCACGGGAGGGGCCGAGAGGGGCCGCGCATCCAGAGGCAGCGCTTACCGCCATGGTGGCCGGAGCGAAGGCCAGATTCCTCAGCGGCTCCAACTCTGGGCTCTGTCCACAGAGCAGCACGACAGCAGCATGCACGGCCATGTCTACCACGCTCCCCTCCAGGCCGGCCGACAGCAGTGGGAGGGTGTGGGTCACCAGGGAGGTGGCGAAATGTTTGAGGGCGGGAGCAGACAGGACCTTACTGTCTTGGATGAATTTGTCCACATGCTGGCACGGCTGACCATCAGGAGGGGGCAGCGAGTCAGAGCAGAGACGGGCTTAGGGCACATCCCGCTCCCCTCCCGGGCCGTGGTGTCCCCACTGCAGGAAGCCTCTCCGGTTCAGGGCCGTGTTCCCCACCCGGCACCAGCTGGACATTGAGAGTGCAAGACACCTCCTGCAGTGGCCCTCGGGACCTGGTTCTGCGAGCACTGGGTGGGAGAGCCGGGACGTGGTTCCTCCCGCGAGAAGGTGGCAGGCTTCCAGGCAGGCTCAGGGCTAGGTTGTCCCCATGCGCCCGCCCGGGAGAGCAGAGCCTGGGTGTGACCCACCTGGAGCTCGGGCTGGTGGGCGGCGCTGCGGGCTGCGTGTGGGGCGCTGACCTCTCTGAAGAGCGCCAGGAGCAGGTGGGTGGCCTGCAAGGGCCTGGCCTTCTTGCTGGCCTGCGGGGCAGTGGCGAGGGGCCCGCTCAGCACTCAGAGTGAGCAGGGGCAGACACGGCCCCATGCGGCAGGGATCAGCCCTGTCCCCCATGCCCAGATCTCGCCCGCAGGACCACCCCAGCCATGGTTCGAGGGACCTCCCGGCACAGGTCAGGGGGAACAGAACTCGGTCCTCAGGAGGCTCAGCACGAGCTCTGGTGACCCGCAGTCCTAGGCCCGAGGTCAGTCGAGGACACGAACCCCGTCCTGAGGGGACACTGGAAGGACTGATTTCAGAAGCCGGATGCCTCCTGTGCACACAGGCCGGGCCTGGGTGACACTGTAGACAGCGGGGGTTTCCAGGCCAGCCCCAGCTCTAGGGTTGCCCCCGCTCACCTTCAGTGCTGCTGTCACGGCCTGTAGCTCCCCGTCCAGCACGCTCTTGCCCACAGTCTCCCGAACGGCCTTGTAGTCCTCGCCGTACACCAGGAAGCCGTCCACGGGGCACAGCTGGTCCCTCTGTGGGCCCAGAGCATGGTTCAGTCTCCACAGGGCAGCTGGCAGCGCGGGACAGCCCTTCCTCTCTCCCTGCAGACCTGCTGAGCCTGGATGCCCGCGGGCAGCACCCACTGGGCAATGGGGCAGTGTGCAGTCAGGTGCTGCGTCGTCTCCAGGCCGTGCTGGCTGGCGAGTCTGCGCACCAGGTACACGCGGAGCCAGTCGTTCCCGATGCGCTGGCAGAACTGGGCGGCCTGCTGCAGGAACTGGCGCTTGCCTTGCTCATCGGGCACGGCTGGGGGCGGAGGGGTGGCAGGTTGGTCCCAGCGGACGTTGGGGGCCATGGCTGACCCTGCACCCTGCCAGGGAGGGGGCGCACCTGTGCCTGCCTGCAGCTCTACCAGCAGCTCGGCCGCCTGGTCCAGACACAGGCGCAGGCGCGCCAGCTCCTGCAGTCCCTCCACCGATGCCGCCCACGTGGCCCCGCCACCCTTGTGGCTCTGAAGGAAACGCGTCTCCTCCTGCAGGTGCTTGGTGGCGTCGACCGGGGACAGGGCGCTGGTCTTCTCATGCAGGGAGTCCTGGGGACAGATGCCGGGGAGAGGGCTGAGTCTGCAGTGGGCACCCAGACCACTCAGGGGGCCCAGGAGCATCAAGGAAGGAGGAAGCCCATCCTGTACCAGGAGTGTGACTCCCAGGAAACTCACTCCTTTCAAGGACAGAGCGGGCCACGCCCTCAGGCTGGACCCACATTTGGGAAATGACAGAAGCATGATGAGAATGGAAACTAAGGGGCTCCAGCCTCCCCCTGCAGGAAGGGCTCCTGGCCAAGGGAGGTGCTGTGTGCGCCCCTCACTTCCTGGGCGATCTGGAGTAGACCTGGGTGCCCCACGGGAGCAGTGGATGTTTGCTCCTGCTCGTCTGAACGTGCCTGAGGCTGGGCTTGGCCAGCTTACCTCCAGGCAGTTACTGAACAGGATGTACAGCTCGGTCTTGTCTTCCATGATAAATGCTCCATTCTCCAGCATGGACAAGTAATCTTGAAGGTACGCTTTTACTTCATGAAAGCTACAGGAAGAAAGAGTAGGGCTCAGACCTGGAAACGCATCTTTTTTTTTTTCTTTTTGGGTCACACCCGGTGATGCACAGGGGTTATGCTGATGCACTCAGCAATTACTCCTGGCAGTGCTCGGGGGACCATATGGGATGCTGGGAATCGAACCCGGGTCGGCTGCGTGCAAGGCAAACACCCTACCCACTGTGCTATCGTCTAGCCCCCTGGAAACGCATCTTAACAACACGAAAAGTATCCATCCATCCACCAATCATCCATCCATCCATCATCCACCCATCTGCCATCCGCCCACCATCCGTCTATCCAATCATCCATCCATCCACCATCCATTCATAATCCATCCACCACTCACCATCATCTATGATCCATCCACACCTACCCATGCATCACCCACCCATTGGTCCATCTCGGTCTTCCTCCATTCCTATATAAACATACCATACGTATATGCACATACTTGGTTTGTAATGTGAATTTTTAGTGGAAATACCTTAGTATGGGGAGATAATATTCCACATTTCAGAGCATTAGTCACAAACTTTTGGGTTTCTAGAGCTCCTTTCTCTGCTAGAAATTACTGAGAACTCTGAAGAACTTTTACTGACATGAATGATTTTTCAGATGGAGAAAGTGCTCTCGTGTTGGTGGGGGTGTAAGAGGGAGAAACAGCTGACTGGCTTTTGGAATAACTGAGGGAACCCACTGGAGGGACACTAGGCCTGCCATGACCCTTCGTCTGGTTGGAAGGATGGGTCTCAGGAACTTCAGAGGCCTGTCCCTGTCGGCATCCTGCCTGCCCTCAGATCTGCTTTGCCAACATAGCACTCTGGTGCCGAGCCCGGTCCTGGGAAACAATGGCAGGTGTTTCTGGTGCCTTGTGATGCTGTAAAGCCTGCTTGGGGCCAGGGCAGGTGGACGGGCTGTCCAGTCCCAGCAATCATCAGGAGTCTGGGGCCCTGTGGGGGACCCATGACCCAAACCCTCACTAACGAAGCTCGTTTCCAAAAGCAGCATTTCCTGCCTGGCATCTGGTCTTGGGCCTGTGGGTAGGCATGGGTGTAGGCACAGCGGAAGGGGCCCCTGTGCCCAGGCCCATCCACAGGCATTAGTAAACTGGAGTCGGCTGAGACCACCCAACTTTGCTCTTGTCTTTGATTTTCTGGGTCACACCCAGCGATGCTCAGGGTTTACTCCTGGCTCTGCACTCAGGAATCTCTCCTGGTGGTGCTCGGGGGACCCTATGGGATGTTGGGGATGAAACCCAGGTCGGCCGCAAGTGAGGCACCTGCCCTCCCCATTGTCCTAAGGCTCCAGCCCGACCACCTGGCTTCAGCGCCACCCTTTGGGTGCACAGAATTGGAGATCCAAGCGCCAGGAGGGCGAAAGGGCTTCTGAGGTGGTGACGCTGAGAGGTGCCTGGGTCCCACCCAAAGAGCCTGCGCCCCTCCCCTCTCCCTCTCACACTGCCCCGGAAGCAGGCCCAGCACTGGGCGGCAGGCGGACTGCAGGCACCTGTACTTCAGGAGCAGCTTCAGGAGTACTGAGCGGATGACAGGACTCTTGTCTACCACGTCGTCGAACGGGGACAGAGCTTTGGTGTGCCGGCGGCGCCCTGGGGTGGACAGGATGGTGGGTCAGGCGGGCACCCGGCGCGTGGAGCCCAGCACGACCACAAGGGGAGGCCACTTACGCTGGGACTGGTCTCGGGGCTGCGGCTTCTCCGTGAAGAGCAGCAATAGCAGCGCCTGTACCACCTCAGCGTGTGGCGGCGTGTTGTCCCGGAAGCACACGGCTGACACCAGGTCCAGGAAGAAGCTGGTGCACAGGTCCCGGAAGCAGGCGTGCTTGCTGATGGCTTCCCTGTGGGAACCCGGTAACACCGCGACCTGTGCCAGCTGCGGGCACTCGGGACTCGCACACCTGGCCCTCGGTCGCGTCCCCACGCAATGACAAAGGTACCCGTGTCCAGATACGCCAGCACGCCCGACCCCAAGCCAGGGGACGGTCATGCCCTCTCCCCCCTGCCTCCACCCAGAGCTGCTCATGCTCAGGGGCTACTCCTGGCTCAGTGCTCAGGGGACCATGCAGCAATGGGATCAAGCCCGGGTCCCCATTTCAGAACACGGAGCCCAGGGGAGGCGCTCACTGAGGGCGGGGCCTTACCTTTGCTGGGGGGACACCTGGAGTGTGAACTTGTCCGGCAGGGCAGTGAGACAGAGAGGGCAGTACTGGTTCTCAGTGGCCAGCCACGACTGGATGCATGACTTGCAGTACACGTGGTCGCAGGGCAGGCACACGGGCTCCTGTGCGTCCCTCAGGCAGATGGGGCACGGCTGCATCCCGAACCTGTCGGCCAGCACGGTGAGCGCTGGGCAAGCCCTCCGGCCCCCAGCCCCCCGGATCCCCGGGCCTCACCTGCACAGGGCACGGCTGGCTGCCTCCTTACACTCGCAGAGGGTCCGCATCACTGCCTGGAATGGCCGCGGGCACTTGACATCTGAGTCCTCCATCAGACACTGTGGTAACGCAACAGTCAGTGCACAAAGGAGGGGGCTCCGGGGGCAGCCCCATGTCCATTCTGCCGCCAGAGGTCTGTGTGGGTACAGCGGGGTGGGCTTGGGGCCAGACCTCCTGCAGCAGGGGCGTAAGCACCATCCACCCCCACCCCGTGGATGCTGCAGAGAGCACAGCAGAGCCAGGCCAGCTTTCTGGGCGAGCTTCCGTGAAAATGGGCCTATGAAGGGAGCAGGTAGGAAGGCTGTGGCAGGCCCCCCAGCCACATAGGTTTCTTCAAGGGTCCAGGGCAGGGCCCCTGGTTCCTATGTTTCCTCATAGGAAGAGGCTTTTCTTGGGCCGGGTATCAGGCATTTGCCTTGTATCCCAATACCTGGTCAATCCCAAGTACCAGTAACAGCCCCCCCGGGAATCACGGGGGTCACTCCTGAGCACAGGACCAGAAGCAGCCCCTGAGCACGGCTTGGCGAGCCCTCACCCCTGCCCCCAGGACTTTTATGGATACGTATATAATAAAAACTGCTGTGGAAGCAAACATTCATATATATCTTGTTTTGTTTTGTTTTTGCTTTTTGGGTCACACCCGGCGATGCAGAGGGGTTACTCCAGGCTCATGCACTCAGAAATTACTCTTGGCGGTGCTCAGGGGACCATATGGGATGCTGGGAATCGAACCCGGGTCGGCCGCGTGCAAGGCAAATGCCCTACCCGCTGTGCTATTGCTCCAGCCCCCATATATATCTTTTGAAACTTAGAATTTTGTTTTGTCTCAAGATAACAATTAGGTTAGCTTTTAGTATTACGTGAAAATACTTTTGGCATGATGTGAAAATTCGTCATAAGAGCGACCCAGAAGACTCCAGAATGTTGGGGGAAATTCTCTGGGCATCCCCTACTGGTGAAATTATCACAAATAGAATTCAAAGTTAAAATTCAAAGACAGCAAAACCTAAGAGGAAAATTCATCTACTTAGGTTTTTCTATATATCACACGTTTGTAATAAAAAACTTTGGAAAGAACTAAGTATTCTGAATTTAAATCAGATTAAAGAGGGGCCAAAGAGACAGTACAGCAGGTACAGTGGTTGCCTTGCACATGGCGGACCTGGATTTGATTCCCAACATCCCATATGGTCCCCAAGCACCGCCAGAAATGATGCCTGAGTGCAGCACCAGTTGTAACCCCTGAGCAACACCCAGTATGGCCCAAACCCATAAAAAGCCATTAATTACTTAAGTGGATTAAAGAAGCACTGCCCTTATAAACTATCTGATTGGAAACCCACTTTACCAATGGCTCAGTGAGAAGGTGCCCAGCGCCCAGCCACCTAAGGGCAGCTTCTAGAGAAGTCCAGGGTCACACCTGGCAGTGCTCAGGGCTGACTCCTGACTCTGTGCTCTGCTGGGACTAGGGACATGCCTCCCCTCCCGCTGTCCTATCCTTTGGCCATTGTTTCCATAGCTTCCTCTTTCCCTTCTCTCTCCACTCTTCTTCCTCCCTCCTTCCCATCTTCACCTTCTCTTCCGTCTCCGCTCTCTCTTTTTTTTTGCTTTTTGAATCACACCCGGCGATGCACAGGGGTTACTTCTGGCTCTGCATCCAGGAATCACCCCTGGCAATGCTCAGGGGACCATACGGGATGCTGGGAATCGAACCCGGGTCGGCCTCGTGCAAGGCAAACGCCCTACCCGCTGTGCTATTGCTCCAGCCCCCATCTCCGCTCTCTTTCCTACTTCCTGTCCTCTCTCATCTCCTCCCTCCTCTTCATTCATTCACGTTCTCTTAGTCTCCCCCGACCTCCTGGCATCCCCCTTCTTCCTCCTCCCACCCTCCCCAGCCCTGACATTGCCTGTCACTCCTCCATCTTCCTTCCCTTCTCCTCCTCCTTCCCTGCTGTTTCCGGGAGAGAGGCTGCGTGTGGCCCGTGGTGTGGCTTCTCCACTCTGGGTACCTCCCAGTTGATTCCTTCACGAGCGGCCCTTTCCCTGGGCCTGCTCTTGTTTTGGCATTGCCATCTCCATCTCTTCCCGTCTGTGTTCTGTCTGTGTTCTGTCTGCATCTGCCCTGGAGCGGAGGATCCTCGGTGACCTGGCAATCAGCAGGCAGATGCCGCTGGCCCTGCCCCCACGGGCCAGCCTTGTGCACTGCCGGGAGTCACGGGACAACGCCCGGGCTGTTCTCGGACACCGGGGCTCTAGCTTTGCCTAGTTTGCCAAAACTTTCTCTTTTCTCCAAGTTGCAGTTGCATGTTCCGAGGCCACATTCCCCACAATGATCTTGGGACGGTTTTGATCTGTTGTGTAACCGGCATGGTATTTATAGATCCAATGATCTGGCGAGATCCTCGAATTCCCAGAGTTAATCTTAGACAGAAATGTGTTTTGGATGCCCTGTTCAATTTGATCTGTTAATTTATGACCCAATTAAAAACTGGGCCAACGGCTGATGCACATTTCTCTACTGAAGGTCTCTGAACCCACGAGGAGTGAGCCCTGAGCACAGAACCAGGAGTCAGCCCTGAGCGTCTCTGGGTGTGGTCCAAACATCTCTGGAAGCACAGGGACGGCAGCTCGACCCGCGGACCTGACCAAGTGCAGAGTCTCCTGCTGAAAGCAGGCGAGACGCCATTAAGCAGCAGGGGCAGGAGTTGCCCCAGCAGCGGCTGTCACCTGGGTCCAGGGGCCCAGAGGAGAGACTGACACTGTGTCCACCAGGGTCAAGCGGCACCACAGCCAAAAGCACTGGCCCCTGTGCGTGTGATTGGCACGTTCTGAGGCCCTGGGCCTGTGCTGTAGCTGCCCTGCCCAGCACTCAGGAAGCTGGGGAGGCCGCGGCCACTCACCTTGTTGAGCTGGACGACGTACTGGGTGACCAGCTGACTGAGCTCGGGGACGTGGCTCTGGGTGCCCAGGACCACGTGCTCCACAAAGAGGCCAAGTGCGTGTATGCGGTTCCACTGGGCCCTATGGGAGGCACTGCTGACTCAGGCCGTGTGGCCGTGTCCCTCCTGCCAGACCCGCTCAGCTGTCCCCGGGGAGTCCACGGGCAGCCTGGAGCCTGCCCGGGTGGTTCCCGCCACTGCAGGCCCTGGTGGCCACAGGCTGCGACAGGCCATGGCATGGGGCCTGGGCTCACCTGACCATCCTGGCCACGTTCTGGGTGATAGGGCCACAGCCCTGCAGGTAGGCGTCGGAGCAGAGCAGCTCCAGGGGCGTGGAGAGGCGTGTCAGCAACTGTAGCCAGGCCTGGGCGTTGGGTGCCAGCAGGTGGGTGCTCAGCAGCTCCACACAGGCCAGCGCTGCCAAGGCGTCCAGCGTCTGCGGGCGGGCAGGCACTGTGACAGGCGACCCAGCCCTGGCCTTCCCTGGGCCCAAGCGGCTGACAGAGTCTCGGAATTTGGTGGAGGCGTGCCGGGGTGCCTTTGTGCTCCGCCCGCCCATGCGTGTCCCCACTCCCCACACACGTGTCCCTGCTCCCCATCACGTGTCCTAGCCCCCTACATGCATGTCCCCGCCCCGGGCCGCACCATCTCCCCAGTGCCATGGCTGTGGGTGTCCTCGCTGAGGCTGCGCAGGATCTGGGGCTGGACGGCCAGGATTCTCGAGAGGTTCTGCAGCCGTCTCCGGAAGTGCTGGTACGCAAGGTGCACCCATGGCAAGGCCAGCCCCTCCCGGGGCCGCTCTGCCAGCAGCTCCCTGATGCATGACCCCAGGGCCACCTGCAGTAACTGAGCACAGAGGGGTGGGGACAGCAAGGTGAGCGACGAGACCACTCCTGACCCTCGCCCTAGTCATCCACTCACACAGACCTGGCAGATATGCCTGAGCCCATCGTCCTGGGCCCGGGCAGCCTCCGTGTCCCAACGTCCTGATGCCCCATTTCTAGAAACCAGGCCGGGAAGGAGGCCCAGAGCACTGCAGGGCAGGGGCGGGACAGGCCAGAGCTCTGGGGAAATATGGGCCCAGCGGGACCTCGGGCCTGGGCTACCCTCCCCTGCACAGCCTCTGGAGACTCAGGGCCCAGCACCACAGGGAGGCGGGCTGAGGGGTTGCAGCACGGGTTGTGTCCACTTCCCCCGCCACCACCTGACCCCAGAGCACTGGGGGCTGAGCATCACCAGGATGGGCACCTGGGCCCCCAATACTCCAGAGCGCACTTGAGAGTCCCCCAAAAGAAACACCCAACTCAGGGGTAAGTGTCCACAACTGGAAGGAATTCTCAACCTGGCAAGCCCTGTCCACCAGGGGTCACTCTACCTCTTACACCTAAGTGATCTCAGGGCCCGTAGCCTCCTTAGGGGGTGCTGGCAGCGCCCCCCAACCCAGGGAGCACTGAAGAGCCCTTGCAGCCCCCACACCAGCATGCACTAACACAACAGCGCCCGCACCAACACACGACATTCCAGCGCCTACACTGACATGCTAGCCCCCGCATTGACATGCAACACGCCAGTGCCCACTGTGTGCCCTGCTGTCTCCTGTCTCCTGTCACGCGCGGTCCAGGTGCCCACCTGCAGCTCTTCCTTCGTGGACACTCTCATGGTCAGCAGGAGGAAGTCCGTCGAGTAAGTCTCCAACAGCTCCTGCTGCAGCCCATCCCCGAGCTGTGCTAGGAAGCAGCCGAGAGGCGTCTGCTGGAAGATGTGGACCAGCTTCTCTGCCAGGCCTGCAGGGCACACAGGAGCTGGTGGGAGGCAGCCCACTGCTGCCCCGCACACCCCAGAGAAGGGGCCCAGCCAAGGGATAGGGCCAGTGCTTCAGCGACCCGGGGGAGACACAGGCACCCCATGAGATTCAGTCCCCAGGGTCAGCTGGCACCCACACCCGGCCCATGTACGGTAGGGAAGCGGCTTTGGCACTCAGCACATGCCCACCTTGGGCGCCGCTGATGTACTGCGCCTGTGCCCAGAGCTCCTCCAGGTGTTCCTTGATCCTCCAGCTGAAGGGCATGGTGTTGGAGTCTCCCAGCAGGTGCATGCAGCTCTGTACCCGCACGCATGGAGTCTCGCCCCGGGCCCTGTGCCGCCAGGGAAGAAGCTGAGTTGGATGAGACGCCGGAGACTCCCACCCACCCACTCCGTGCAGGACCCTCCGTGCCAGACCCAACTCCAGACAAGGTACTACAGAGCAGAATGCAGGGAGGCCAGAGCCCCGCACTCAGGGTCTCTCCTGGGGGCTTGGGAAGGCCTGCTATCCCAGGGCCCAAACTCAGGTCGGCAGATGCGCGGCAGCATCCCCCTTCCCGTGCCTCTCCCCAGCCCCAGCCCATGTTTCTTGAAAGGTCCGGAACACCTTTCACTCCTGCGGCTCCTACTCTTTCCTCTCAGGGGCCTCCCCAGCAGCGGCTTGGCCAGGGGACACTGGCCCAGTGGAACCAACAGATCGTTCAGAGCCAGGTGGCAGGTGGCACTGCCGAGCTCAGTGGGGCTTGGGGACGGAACGTGGGCCGTGTGCCTCCCTGGGGCAGCCCAGGCAGAGCTGCCGGAGTGCAGGGAGGCACATCTGGGAGGCTGGTGGGGGTGACACCTCTCAGCAGGGCTGACTGTCTCCAGGCGCGAGCAGCACAGGGGCAGATGGCGGAAGCGGCTCCCACACGCCGTGGCTGGAGGAACGCTTGGATCCCCCTGGAGCCGCTGTGGATAGTCAGCCCTGCCGAGCAAGAGTCCACTGACCTGGAGTTGCCCGTCACCAGGGGGATGTGCAGGAGCTTCATGTCACTGAAGATGAACATCCAGAGCTCCTGGACCCAGCCAGGCACTCCGGGCCTGACCAGCAGCGACAAGTTGTTCTCTCGGTCGATGATGGCCAGGATGTCAGCCAGCAGAGGCGTCACTGCAGCCTGGACACGCTTCCAGAGGGTGTGTCTGTGAGAAGGGGTGCCTGGTGTCAGCCCAGCGGGGCCCGTGCTCCACACGCCGTCCCATCCCCACTGCAGCTGTGGTCCCGGCCAAGGAGCCACATGTGGCCCAGAGGTTATACCCAGGCCTGTGTGCCTGAGGGGCCGTGGGTTCTTGCCCGGTCCTAACAGGTCACGTCATTTACAAAATCATCTGTTGGGGCTAAAGCGAAGGCACAACGGGGAGGGATTTGCCCTGCTGTGGCTGACTGGTGTTTGATTCCCGGCATCCCACATGGACCCCCGAGCCCGCCACATGTGGCCCCAAACAAACAAAAGCCACTTTTGCACAGACAAGAGCAATGAGCTCAGAGCACTTTCCCACACCAGATAGCATCAAACCAAAGTGTATTTTTCTGGGACTTCGTCTCAGTGTCCATGGTTTGGTGGCCAACACCTCAGGGGCAATACAGACACCTCTGTGTGCACATGAGTGAGCGTGTGTGTGTGCATGTGTGTCTGTTTCCATGTGTGCAGGTGTGTGCATGCACGTGTGTCCTATGTGTTCATATGTGTATCATGCGGATGTATGTGGGCATGTGTGCTCGTGTGCTTGTGTGTCCATATGAATGTCTGTGCATGCCCGTGTGTGCATGTGCACATATGTGTTCGTGTGTGCATGCCTATCCATGCATGCATGCCTGTGTGTGTGTCTGTGTGTGTGTGTGTGTGTGTGTGTGGACACCCAGGCACATTCCACCATGCTAAAAGGAGATCACACAGTTACAGCTACCAGTTAGTTTTATCAATCATGAACCTCTTCAGGGCACAGCAGGTAGGGCGTTTGCCTTGCACGCAGCCAACATGGCCAACCCGAGTTCAATTCCTCCGCCCCTCTCAGAGAGCCCGGCAAGCTACCGAGAGTATCTCACCCGTACGGCAAAGCCTGGCAAGCCCCCCGTGATGTATTCGATATACCAAACACAGTAACAAGTGTCACAATGGAGAGGTTACTGGGCCCACTCGAGAAAATCGATGAACAACGGGAGGACAGTGACAGTGACAGTGAACCTCTCCAGCGACCAGGCAGCAGAGACAGGAGGGAATGGGGGGAGTGGCACGGGCTCTGTCTGTCTGTCTGAGGAGCACGGGCTCTGTCTGGGGAGCATGGCTCTGTTTGTCTGTCTGTCTGGGGAGCACGGGCTCTGTCTGGAGAGAGGAGTTGCCACCCCTCTACCCTGCAGAGCCTTTGGGGCCAGCAGGGGGCAGGCAGTGACCTTAGAGATCAGGAGGTGCCAGAAAAGTGCCAGCCTTGGTTCTGTAGTAAGAATGTGACTGAGGGGTGCCAGACCCCATCTGCAGATGGCCAAGCCTGGGGACTCCGGGAGAGCCCATGCCCTAAGAGATTGCCACAGTGTCAGCCTGGCACACTTGCCTCCTGCTCCACCCTGCACAGCCCCCTCAGCAACCCCCTGCACGCTTCGGTGCACGCCTCCTGCATACCCCCGCAGCCCCCTGCAGCACTGGGCTGCTCCTCAGTCTCTTCCCCCATGAAGAAATGTAAAAGCCAAGAGAAGAATCCCACGAGCACTGTCACCCACTCTGCGCCATCCCTCCCCACCTCATCTCTACCTCCCACCCTCCCCCTTATCTCCCTTACCTCCCCCCTCCCTCCCCCTACCTGAAGGTGCCAGCCTCCTGCAGTGCCTCCTGATTGGAGGCCACGCGTGCCACCCACTGGGTGGGGCTCAGGGTCAGCTCCTCCTGCTGCTTCAGAAGGTGCCACAGGCGCAGCTGGAGGACCCGCAGGAAGGAGGCTGCGGAGGCAGGAGCCGTTGGGCAGTGTCAGGCGAGGAGAGGGGCGCAGGGCACCCACCCAGGATGGCAGCCGAGCCCGGGAGACGGCCCTGGCGGCTGGGCCTACCTGCCCACAGGGAGTCCTCGGTCAAGAGGCTCAACAGGATATCCACCCTCTGTATGCTGCGCTGGCTGCCCTCCTGGGGGTCTCGGAGAAGCCCCACCGCACCCTGGATGCAGCTGCGCAGGAGCTGGATGGTGTCAAGGACCTGCACCGGGGCAGACACACGTCAAGGCCTTCTTGCAGCGAGGGTGAGCGGCCCGGCCCTGCCTGCTGCCCTGCACCCACCTGGCCCCTGGCTCGTTCTGGCGCCTCTTCCACGCTCCCTGGACTCTCCATGTCCACCTCTTCTGATGTCTCCACTGGGAGGTCGGACTCAGTGTCCATGGCTTCCTGGGTGCCGTCTGCAGGCTCCACTGCCCCGGCAACAAATACAGTGTCTGTCTGTCTGACTGTGCGCTCTGTAGAGCAGCATATGCGCTGGGCTCAAACCACCCACCCACCCTGCCTCTAGCCTCACAGAGGCCCCAGGAGAGGAGATGGTGCAGCACAACAGCTTCCGCCACCCTCTCTGCCCACACCTGTGGCCCTTGGCCCCACTGGGCTGACTGACCACGCAGTGGGGCCACAGTGTCCTCCCAGCCCCATGGCCATACCCGCCGCCCCTCCCCAGAGCTGCCATGTCACCCACTGTCATCCCGGGGCCCATCTTCCGGCTGAAAGAGCTGGCTGAGTGCCACATCCTGCAGCTTGGTGATGTCTGAGACCATGGCAGTGGCCCTCCGCAGGTCATCCAGATGCACAGTCCGCCACAGACCTGCAGGAGCACCAAGGGCTGAGGGAGCACCAGGGTCTGTCTGGGGGAGCACCGGGTACTCCGGGACCACCAGAGTCTGTGATCGTGCTCTGCTGCTGTCCAGCAGAGTCCAGCCCATAGGCGAACCGTGGATGCAACCTGAGCACCAACTGGTCATCAATGCCAGTGGCATGTCCAGGGCTCTGGGACCCATTAATGACCACAGGGGACTTTGGGGGGAATAAACCAAGACGCTTAGTCTGTGGCAGGGATGAAAAGGGGCACCTGACTGCCTCCCTAGACTGCTGGCCCGAATCCTTCCTCTTTCTGGAAGCTGCTGCCCTGTCCACTGCCAGGAGAACAGTCACCCTCAGGGTCAGGGACAGACAGCATCTGCCCCACAGCTGCCTTCCAAGTCAGGCAGAAACAGGTCAAAAGGGGGCGTCGAGGGCAGGGTCCGTGCCGGGGCGTGGACCTGTGCCAGTCACACACTCATGTTGGTGGGGGGGGAGCCCCGGGCCTGGTGCTGCCGGTGGACACGAGCCATGGACCATTGGAGGAGAGCGGCCCTGGGCTCAGTCTCCTCACAGGAGCTAAGAAATGTTCTCCAGAGCCAGAGGGACAGCACAGCGGGTTGGGCACCCCCAGGAGTGACCCCTTAGCACAGCAGGGTGTGGTCCAAAACAACCGCCCAAATATATATACACAACTAGGTGTATCTTTTATAAAGGTGGCTGAGGGGTGCTCTCCCTGGCGCAGCCCCGCAACCACTGGAGGTGGCAGTGGGGGCCCACAGCCCAACTTCTCTGGGGACCACGCTGCAGCTGTAGGCACCCACCTGACAAAGAGAATCAGCTCGGTGCCTGCCACCCACGCCTGGCCCAGGGGGAGCAGGCATCTCTGGGATGAGTTACCCAAAATGAGTTAAAAATGTTTCAAACTCTAGGGAGAAAGAAGGAGAAAAAAAAAAGGGAGAGAATCCCTGCGGACAAACCAAGGCATGTAGGTTCCACTGTTTGCAGGGTCGGGGCCAGCAGCGTCCCCCTCACCCAGCATGCTCAGGGCTAAGTGGGGCGCACTACAAGCACCAGGGGCCCACGGCACTCACCACCCTGAAACCCCACGTAGCAGGAGCTGGCCCCCATGCGGGACAGCTTGGTGACGAAATAGACCTGTATGCAGCCCTGGGTCCCTGGCAGCTGGCCGACTTCGTTCATGACTGTGAACCTAGTGGAAAAGAAACAAAAGGTTCATGGCCGGGTGATCAGCAGGCGGGCGCAGGGCAGGCAACCTGGGGGGGAAGAGCCCAGGGAGAGGGCAGGGTCCTCGCTGAGCCGCCCCCCGCCTCCTCCCCCCTCCACAGAGTACGGGAACCCACAACCCCTGGGCCTGGGGTCTCTGTGCTGCTACACCCGGGCCATGGGGGGGCTTGGACAGTGGCGAGGCTGTACTTGGCAGCAGCGAGGAGCTGGGCACTGTGCAGGGCCTCCTGGAAATCCATCTGGATGATGAGGATGGTGTGCTGGGCCCCGGAGGACAGGCAGGCGCTGCAGGCAGAGCGACCCGTGAGCACGACGGGAACCCCGGGGGCGTGGGTGCCCACCCCAGCCCTGCTCGGTGCCCCAGCAAAAGAAGGGCTAGAGGCCAGGGGAGACACCGGGTGTTGAGGTCCCCACGTGACACCGCCCAGACATAGTATGAGGACAGCACCCGGGGCATGGGCACCAACTGGGCCAGCATGGGCCCTCACTGCCCTCCCCTGAGGGAGGAACACTGGGGGCCGAGCTCACCGCCCTCCTCTGAGGGAGGGGCACTGGGGGCTGAGCTCACCGCACTTCTCTAAGGAAGGAGCACTCAGTGTCAAACTGCTGCAGGGACAGGAGCCAGATCCTCGGGGACCAGTCCTGAAGCTCAGACTTCAGCTCCTCCAGGTCATGGCTGGTCAGCAGCCTGGAGAACGTGGTCACCTACGGGGCCATGCGAGGTTACAACGGCCAGACCCCTGACCCCAACTGAGCCATGCGAGGTTATAGTGACCCCAACTGCACACACACACACACACACACACACACACATGGACATGGACACATAGACACATGCATACACAAACTTACACATACAATACATACTCCTAATCACACATACACACCGATACACTGACACACACACACACACATACATACACTGTCACACACTGATACACTACACATACATACACACACACTGACACATACTACACACATATACTGACACTTATACTACACACCCTCACATTAACAGATACTGACACACATGCACACACACACTAACATGCACACATGCACTCACACAAACACACACATCGCACATACTTACACACATGCACACACAAACATACACACATATATACATACATACACACATGCACACACATACACACAAGCACACCCACACACATCCACTAATGTATGTACACACCCATACACACGGATATACAATGTGTAACAGTCACAGCCTCACATTACACACATTAAGTGTGTGGCAGTCAGAGACATGAACACACGCATACACATGAACATGCACACACCCAGACTAACATACACGTGTGTGCACATGCCTGTACACACTAGCATGCATGCACACACTCACACACTGACACCTGGGGTAGACCCTGACCCGTCCCTGCCCCGCCCAGTGCCTGCCGTGGGGTCTCGCCGCTGGACCCGAGTGGTGCTGAGTGCATGAGCCACCCCCACCCGCGTGGAACAGAAGCGAGCCCACATGAGGCCCCCGGCGTTGGGGGTCTGGGTCTGGGGTGGCACCTCGGTAAGGACGACGGGGCATGCGGGTTCCAGGACAAGCAGCTGCGCCCGCAGGAGGCCGACCAGGGAGTCATGCTGCTGCCTCTCGTAGTACTCGTGCGCCAAGGCCTTGGCGGCAAAGCTGTCCAGGGCTGACGTGGGCAGCCGCACCACAGCATCGGGCGTGGCACTGTCCAGCAGCACCAGCCTGGCGGCCTCCAACACCCGCTGGTAGAGCTCGTTGTCATCAGAGGTGCGTGCCCCCAGCTGCTCGGAGACCTGCAGCACCACGGCGGCACACGCGTCCTCATGGAAGCCCACAAAGACGTCTGAAGGGTCGTATGGCGGCCCAGCCCAGTGCTCCATGGGCACGTGGGCGAAGCTGTGGGCCCAGCGCTGCAGCTCCTCAGCTGCGCGCTGTTGCCAGAACTCCAGCACTGTGTGCAGGTCCAGGTAGTGCTTCTCCAGCCGGTTGATGAGCGGGATGGGGAAGAGCCGGTACACCACATCCTTCTCCTCAATGACCACCAGGCGGAAGTTGGGGTGCACGCGGCACTTGACACGGTGGGTGCCCAGCCCCAGGTCCACGTACTTCTGCCCACCCAGGTGCACGTAGTACTGGTTGAGTGCGTCGTACAGGCTCTCATAGAGGTTCTGCAGGTTGAGCAGCAGCACCGTGCGGCCTGTCTCCATGCACACCTTCACACGGTTGATGTTCCGGCAGATCTGGCTATACTCCTGGTCCCGCGGGAAGCTGGAGCCGAACAGGATCTCAGCCTGGTGCTCGCAGAGCAGGCACTGCTGCAGGATGGGAAGGGCTGCGTAGTTGCGGGTGAGGACCAGCAGGTAACGCGTGTCTGGCTCATCCAAGCCACTCCCTGCCGCTTGCTGCAGGCCCAGCACATTCTCGCGGATCATCTGCATGGTGCTGATATTGGTTCCGACCACAGGCAGCTGGGTGCGGAACAGCCTCAGGGCATCGATGTTGTCCTTGCCGCTGAAGTTCCGGAGCACAGCGTGCGCGATCTCCTGCGGCGAGGGCTCCTGGTTTGCTGTCCTGGCGGCAGCGAAGACCATCTTGATGAGGCTGTAGTAGTCACGGAGCCCGAAGAACTCTCTGTCCTGCAACCGGCACACCTGCTCATAGGCCCGGGCGAAGGGGCCGAAGTAGCCCTGGATTCTGGCCTGCACCAGTGGTTCAGAGGAGCAGATGCCCCTGGCACTGTCCACCAGCTCCTTCTCGGAGGGGCTCCCGCGAGACACCGACAGGCCCCGGTTCATCTTGGCGGGGTCCAGGGCCCAGTTGGAGATGCCGATGAAGCCCACCTTCTTGTGGGGCGCGGGCGCGTCCTCAATGCAGCCGTCCTCCAGCAGCGGGTGCAGGGCCTTCAGGGGCATGGTGGGCGAGTCCTCGGCCAGTCCCACCTCGTCCAGCACCACCACGGCCACGTAGCGGTTTAGGTCCTTGCCTTGCTGGAAGCGGGCACACTGGCGGAAGGTGCTCACGATGCCCTGCGGGGTGGAGTGTGGGCTGCACTGGAAGGACACCAGGTGCGCCTGCTTCAGGCCTCGGAAAAGCTCAGACGGGGCCGCGGGGCCCTGCATGGCGTCGGCCACGATGGCCTTGGCCAGCGACTTGGAGCTGCCGGGCTTGCCCACCAGGAAGAGCGGGATCTTCAGCTCGATGCAGAGCACCATCATGAACACGTTCTCCTTCAGTGCCAGGTTCCTGGCGATGGTTGCACGCAGGGCCACGCCGTCCAGGAAGAGGTCCTGCACGCGGCCGATCTCCTGCAGGACGGCCCTGCTGCTGTTGTAGGGTGCAGGAAGCAGGCGGCACATGGCTCTCCAGTACGGCTCCTTCTCTTCCAGGCCGGCGTGATAGCACACGCCTGCGGCCAACACCAGTGACCAGAGAACGGGGTCCCTGGCGAAGGTGCCAGCCACGTCGCCCATCCTGTACAGGAGGGCACTGAGGTGCTGCAGGAGCTCCTGGCTATGCTGCAGGAACCACGTGAAGACGCGCCCGCAGCGCTCCACGTCCCGAAGGCTCACAGAGCCGTGCCCACCCGCAGGGCTGCGCCGAAAGGCCTGCGAGGCCGACAGCACATCAGTGATGATTCTCATCTGCGGCTCGCTGAGCGGGAGGGACTCGGCCAGCTGCCGCACAATCTGCCGGATGTAGAGCTTCTCCGTGGCATCCTGCAGCTGCCCGAAGTCCCACACCAGGGGGACAAGGCTGGGCGGCAACGCGTGGACGCGGTAGACCAGCTGCCGCAGTGGCACAGAGCCCAGCTTCTCGGCCGTCTCCTCAGCGCGCACCCGGTAGCCCAGGCCCGCCGACTCCAAGCGCTCGATCGTCTCCTGTGTGTGCTTCCGGTAGGGGTTGCAGGCGGCAATGATGTGCAAGCCAGAGTCGGGGGCCAAGGGCCAGCCGTCCACCGTGCGGTCACACAGGACCTCCTTGATGCAGCTGATGGCCTCCGAGGTGTTGGCCTCGTCCAGGAACAGGATGGTGTCCAGCTGGTGAGTGCGCCTGTTGTGCAGTGCCAGCGCCTGCGCCTTGCGGACGTGCGCGTGGATCATGCTGGCTGTGGTGCCCCCATGCACCTTGACCAGCCGTAGCGTCTCAGCGTCTGCCCTGCCCCGCCGCAGCTCGCTCAGGAACTTGACCAGCCTGGTCTTCCCGCAGCCCGTCTCCCCCATGATGATGACCGGGATGCCACAGCGGAAGCGCATCTCGATGGCCAGGATCTTCAGCATGTTGTCGGTGGTCAGCTCGTACGTCTCGTCAGGGTCGCTGGCCAATGGGATGCCCAAGGCCAGGCGGAGCCGGTCCAGCTTCTCACTTCTGGGCAGTTCGTCAAAGTCCAGGTTAAAGGGCACACACTGGTTCTGTAGGCCCCGGAGCAGGCGCTGGTTCATGATGGCCCTCTTGAGGACGGTCCCTGTCCGTGGGTCTATGGCGTCCACACTGCCATCGTGGTTGGCTTGGACATGGAAGCCAATGAAGGTCATGGTGATGCGGTCGTTGTTGAAGAAGGCGTAGGGGTGCGGCTCTGCCTCCCAGCGCTTCCGCAGAGAGAACGGGGCCAGGTCCTGCTCCGGGATGCCGTCCAGGGAGGCGCTGTGCTGGCCGGGGCTCTGGTCGGAGGACTGGAGGGTCGGGGTGGCGAAGTCCCGTGCCATGAGGATCATGAAGGTCACCACAAAGTCCTTGAAGCCCCTCAGCGTGTCCCCCGTGATGCTGAGGTTGCAGAAGAGCGAGTGCTCGCAGTCCCGGAGCTGGACGTTGAGGAACTGCACGAAGTTGCGCAGCTCGGCCCACGACGGGTCGGCCAGGCCGCAGTGGATGAGCAGGAGCTGCAGGCACTGGCCGGGCGAGCCCTCCACGGAGCCACTCACGTACGTGAACGCATCCAGGCTCTGCCTGCGGAAGAAACGGCTGAGGTACTGGTAAGGCCTCTGGAACGTCTCGCTGCGGAACTCGGCCACGTCCATGCCAGGCTCCCCAGAGCTGCCCTCCGGACTCAGCTCCACGGCCATCACATCCTTGGGCGTTCTGCAGGTGACCTTGGGGAAGATGTCCAGCAAGCTGGTCTGGGACGCCTGTGTGTTCTGCAAAGGCACAAGAAGAAAATCATCTCCCCCAGTGCTCCGGGCACCTGTACTTTCGTCATTACCACGGCCCATCTGCACACCAGGGATGGAACCCACAGACTCACGCTTGTGGGCCACCAGGCGATGGTCAGGTCTGGTGCATGCAGGTGGCCCTGACGGTCATCAGGGAGGGAGGGAGGAGGGGAGGGGAAAAGGGGAGGAGAAAAAGGGAGGAAGGAGATGGGAGGAAGGAAACAGAGAGAAGAGAGGAAGGAAGGAGGGCGGGAGGAGGCGGCAGGGGACAGGGAGGCAGGGGACGCAGCCCTGGGTCTTCAGTCCCCTCTCAGCTGACCCAGAAGCAGGACACATGCCCGCGGAGAGTGGCCCACCCTGGGGTACGGCTGGCCCATCGCCTGGCCGAGGACCCACCAAACCATGCAAGCCAAAGAGCAGCCCAGACACGGCGCCACTCTGTGCCCGGCCTCGCACCTGCCGCACTGGCTGCTGTCCCAGGGCTGCGGGGCCCTCCAGGGTCTCCACCACGTAGAGGTGCCGTGGGTTCCGCAGCCACATTTTTCCTGTGGCGTCTGACAGGCAGCGCAGGACGAAGAGCTTGAAGAGGAATTCCTCTGTGCCCTCTAGCACCTAAGCCCAGAGAAGAGGCTCAGGCATGTGGCCTCGGGCACGGCCACCCTGCCCGTCCACCCACCGCAGGCATGGGCACTCACAGCCGAGGTCACGTCCAGGTGCACCAGCATGGACCCCTGCTGGTAGCGGTTGTCCAGGAAGGGCAGGAGTGCGGCCAGCACACGGGGCTCGTCCACCCGGTGCCCCGTCAGCCGGATGACCTTCATGGGCACGTCTGCATCCTTCACCTTCCGCCGCAGCTGCTCGTACAGTCTCCTCACATACAGAGACTTTCCTGCCAGACCGAGGGGTCACGAGGGTCACAGTGAGGGCTGGGCACGGGCTCCAACTGCCACCTCCAAGCCCAACAAAACCAAGATTCTGACACCTTCCCAGGAGTGACGGTCGCCCCTCTGCTCACCACCCACCAGGACACTGACGGGGTCTGCAGACATGAATTTGCGGCCAGAGCTCAGCAGGGAGGGAGCTGGCCTTGCATGCAGCCAACCCGAGTTCGACCCCCAGCACCCCAAACGGTCCCCTGGTGCCCCCGGGAGTGGTCCCTAAGCACAGAGCCAGGAGTCAGCCCTGAGCACCACCAGAGGATGGCGGCCTGGCTGGCCCGGTCTGACCCGGGAGAGAGGGGACCTCTGTGGTCTCCCCTGACTCAGTTTCCCCTGGAGAAGAGCTGCAGCTTGGTCTCCATGCCCTGGGGAAGGGGACCCCCCCCAGCCTGTGGGGGCTTTACCAACTCCGGCACGGTGTGAGGTCACCAGGCCAACGCAGGTGTCGCCGTGGAAGACAGCAGGCGTGTGCACAGGCACCTGGAGGTGGCGTGCTAGGTAGGCCTGCAGGGCGGGCAGTGGCTGCCGGGGTGTGACGAGGGCCTTGTCGCGGCTGAAGGCAGCAGGCAGGTAACTGTGCTCGTGCTGGTCGTCGCACAGCAGCACCAGCTGGAAGTCCTCACGGTGTGGGCGCGAGCATAGCTGCTGGAAGAGCATCTCAGCCCGGCGGCTCACCTCAAAGCTCAGCCGGTCGGCAAAGAGCAGCGAGTAGAGGCTGCGGCCCGGGGCGTCAGGTGCCAGGCAGCGGCGCAGCAGCAGCTCTACGTCCTCGAAGGGGGTGTCGGGGCCGCAGAGCAGCGCCTCGTCGTAAGAGGGCAGGGGCTGCTCCGGGCTATGCATGTACAAGGCCAGCGCGGCCGGCAGCACCTCAGCCGGGCTGCACAAGACCAGGTTGGGTCGGCCGGCGTTCAGGCCGCGGGGCAGCACCCGCTGCACAGGTGACCTGCCCCGGCTGGCCAGCACAGCCAGGCAGCGGCCCAGGTCACCCAGGGACAGGCTGGACGGCGGGAAGGCACCCTCCACAGACTGTTCCAGGAACCCCCGCAACTGGGCCACCAGGCCAGCCTCGGGTGGGAGCTTGCCCAGCGCCGGACCCTGGGCGCAAGCGGCTGGCCTATCCCCGAGCCCCTCGCAGGCACTGGCGACATCCCCGGGGGTGCAGCTGTTGAGGAGGAAGGTGAGCAGGGTGAGTGCGTCTGCGCCAGGCGGCTGCCGGCATAGCTCCGAGCCCAGCAGCACCAGCTGCTCAGCCGTGTAGAAGTTGAGGTAGAAGTGCTGGGCCCGCTGCTCGGCCACAAAGTCCCACCAGCGCCCCAGGAAGGCCTCCAGCTCCCGGCACACGCCTGCCAGCAGCCCCGCCACTGGCCCGTGGCCCTCCAGCTGCTCGCCCAGGCCCGAGCGGAAGTCCAGGACCACGGTGCCCTCGCCAGCACCGCAGTGCACCTCGGCCCTCCAATCCCGGAACAGTGTGTGCCCGGCGCCGTGCAGCTGTGTGAATGCCGCCACCAGCCTCTCCACGTTGCTGAACACCTGCAAGGGGTAGGACACGGCCAGGCAGTTCACGGGGGCGCCCTGGGGCTGCACACAGGCCGGGGCGGGGCCCAGGGTCAGAGCTGGTGAGGGGAGACCTGACTTCTGCACCACGAGGGCCCCAGATCTGCGCTCGGGGGTTCCGAACAGAGCCCCGAAGCTCCTGGCTGAGATTTTCCAGGAGAGGCAGGGGCCAAACTGCGGGCTCCTGATTCTGTGCTCAGAAATGGTCCCTGGCACTGCTGGGGACTCAGACCCAGGGCAGCTACATGCGGCCCTGCTGGTGGCTCTTAGGACCCACCATCAAAAGCTGCTGTTGGCTGTTTCTGAGACACTCCCTGCTCTGTGCTCAGGGCTGACTCCTGGGTCTGTGCTCAGGGCTGATTCCTGGCTTCATGCTCAGGGCTGACTCCCAGGTCTGTGCTCAGGGTTCACTCTCGGCAGGGCTCAGTGGCCCATATAGGGTGCTGGAGATAGAACCCAGGCCAGCTGTGCACAAGGCAAGTGCCCTCCCAGCTGTGCTATCGTTCCAGCCCCACTACTGAAGGAGGAACTTCCAGAACCTTCCATCACCCCTCTGTGTCCCCTGGAGTCACACAAGCACCTTGGAGCGCAGCCCCCGGGCGGCCCGACCCCCCTCGCACCTCAGAAAATAGCTCCACCTCGGTGGCCCCATGCTCCTTCAGCCCCGACAGCAGCATCAGCTTGTTCAGGAGCTCCCTGAGCTCCTCCAGGGAGCACTCCCGCTCCGTGTCCCGCTCATCATGGCTCTCACGCACGAACAAGCGCACCACGGTGTCAGGGGAGATCTGCAGAGAGGCCAATCAGAGGCCGCCTTGCGGGAAGACCCCGCCCTCCCGCGCCCGGAGTCCACCCGCTGCCACTCACCTCCTGGCCATCGGCAGGCGCCTCGATCACATACACACCCTTGCTGTTGATGGCCGTGGCCAGCGACAGGGACGAGAGCTCCACGGAGCCGTGGCTCTCCCTGACCGTCTTCAGCCAGTCTAGATTCCGCGCTGAGTCCCCCTGTGGGACGGGGGGTAGGGGGAGCCTGGTGAGCCCCCACACGGCCTCTCCCAGGCTCCCCCCGGTCCTCAGACAATCTCTGGGTGGTCTTGCTGCTCTTGCAAAGGGCTGAGCAATGGACAGGAGGGGCGGGGACAGGGCCAGCAGGGGGCAGGAACAGAGCTGGCAGGGGGCAGGGACAGGGTGAGCCCGGGTCGGTCCCTGTGGAGACCTCCATGTCCTGGGCACCTCCCAGTGGAGCTGCCCCTCAGGCCTTGAGGGCCCCAAGGAATGAAGGGAAGAGGCCCAGGCTCAGGCCTGGGGGCTGAGAGATCGTCACGTGAGCCCCCAGCACCAACCTGAGCACCAGCAGGAGTCACTCCCCCCCACAAATTTTAAAAAATATTTTGTCTCTGTAACTTCGTGGCAGCGCTGTGAGTCACATCTTTCGGAGCTCAGCAGCAGGCTGCCGGCCCTGGGGTCACTCCTGGCAGTGATTGGGGTCTAGAGACAGAGCCTGCGGCGGCCACATGCCAGGCAAGCGCCTCAAGCCCAGCCTACACCATCCGGGCAGGAAGCAAAGGCTGCCGCAGCCTCAGGCACAGCCATGCACTAACCGGGATGCCAACGCAGATTGGCGCTCCTCCTGCCCATGGCCAGGACAGTGAGGGGAGCAGTGTCTCAAGGCCACCCACGGGCCTGCTCCCCAGGAAGCCCCTCCCGAAGCCCTGGGAATGGCACGTACCAGCTTCCGGGACAGGTGACGGTCACTTTCCAGCGCCTTCCACACCTCCTTTAGCTGCTCCATGAACTCCAGGAAGCCGGCGCCAGACTCCAGCTTGAAGAGCAGCGAGGCGTAGCCCAGCACGGCGTCGTGGAAGCAGGCCACGCGGTCCACATCAAGGTCGTTCTCGCCGGCTGAGATGGATGCCAGGTCCACAAACACCTTCAGGTCTGGGACGCCACCTGGGAGGGTGAGGAGCAGTCAGGGTTCCAGCATCTTCCGGGCCATACCCCTCTGCTGGGTCAGGACCAACCTTGGGCCCAGCAGACCAACCCACGGCCACACCCTCTTCTGCAGAATAAACAGCTGAGAACCAAGGACTGATCACTGAAAATGGAGACCAGAGGCCAGGCCGTAGGACGGGGGAAGGCCACTGGTCTCACAGCCCGTGGTCAACCCCCGGGCACCCCATATGGTTCCCTGAGCCCTGCCAGGAGTGACTTCTGAGCACAGAGCCAGGAGTCATCCCTGAGCACTGCTGGGTGTGAGCCCCCCAAAATGAATCTACTGTTGAGAGCGTGGGCCTGCCCCGCCCCCGTCCCTGTGGGGATTGCACAAGCCAGAGCCTGGAATCTGCAGTCCGTAGTCTATGGTGAGATGTCGCAGGCAAGAGCCTGTCGGCAGCAGCCCCAGCAGCGAGCCCCGGCCAAGGAGAAAGCCTGCCATGAGGCCGACGTGATACCAGAGTGCAGCCCAACTCGGACGGGGCGTCACCTTCCAGCGCATCCTTGACCCAGTCGACAAACTCCTTCCTGAGACTCAGCTCCTGCAGGCACTGGTGCTGAGGCTTGGTCATGCCGTGGAGCAGCTGCCGGCTCCGGATGAACTGGCGGTTCATCTCCTTCAGCTTTTTGTGGCGGAACTCAGCAAAGTTGTCCGTCTACAAGACAGCAAGCCATGTCTGAGCCACTGGACAGGTGTGCACATCAGCCAGCACTGCCTCCCCACCAGACATGGCCGCCACCTCTGCAACCCCTCATGCTGCCCGCGCCCTCCTGCCTCGGTCACGCTACTGGGGCTCCTGCATCCAGAGCTCAACCTGGCCATCCCACAGAGCTCCTGAACACCCAGAAACAGAACAAAGGGCCATCACCAGGGCCACCGGGTACGCTCAGAATTCTGTCTGGTTCCTTTTGTGGCTGCTTTTGGCTTTGGGGGGGTACCCAGCAGTGCTCCGGGCTAACTCTTCACTCTGCTCAGGGATCATTCCTGGCGGTGCCAGGGAGTGAATTGGGCCGGCTGTGTGCAAGGCCAGCAACCTCCCCGATGTCCTGGGTCCCCACCCCTGGTGCCCCTGACCTGACCTTCAGTAAAAAGCCCTCCTTTCCCGAGGCACCGAGACACCAAACATCAGGCAAAGTGGGGTGCATGGCTGTGCCAGGATGCCAGATGCCAGGCTCTCAGGTGATGCTGTGAGGACCAAGAATCACTCACGAAACTCAGCAGAGTCTGCAGGATACTGAAGTCACCAGTCAAGCCCAGGATGTCCTTGACCTTGAGGATGACCTGGGCTGAGTCAACGGCTTGGTGTAGGTGCTGGAACTCTCGGATTTGCATCACTCGCTCAGGGACCCAGTGCCCAGGGTCCAAGCCACCCAGGGCACACATGAGCTGGAGGTCGCTGGCCAGGTCATCGTACTTGTCCCTGAAGTCGCGGAAGACATAGTCGACATCCCCAAAGGTGACCTCGCCTGATTTCAGGTCCTGGTAGAGCTTCTGGAACTTTCTGCGGCAGGGCTGATACAAGAGGTTATAGGCATCCTTTAGCCTGAGGACTAGCAGTGACGCCTCCTCCTGCTCATCCTCGTCCTCGTCCTCGTCCTCGTCCTTGTCCTCATACTGGTCATGCAGCTCACGTGCGACATCATTCCAGAAGGTGTGGAACACATGGCTGGCCCTGAACAGGTGCATCTCGGCAGCCATGTCACGCACGCGATTGCTCAGGTAGAAATGCTTGGTGCCCCTGCGGTCCGCGGGCTCAGCGGGGGACAGAATCACTTCCACCAAGCTCAGCAGCTGGAACTCACCAAGGTCCGCCTTGTGTCTCTCTTCAAGGTCACTCACGTCCACTATAGGGGGACACTGTGTCAGCCTGGCGACAGCCCTCACCCCTACTGCAACCCTCCCACAGATATTCCTGCAGAAACAGAATCAGCCAAGGAGGGTGCGAAGAGAAGAGGGCAGAGGGCAGAGAGCCAAGAAATGAGGAGTGGGAGGTCTGTGGGGCGTGGCCTGCAGCAGGCAGCGGTCAACAGGGAGCTGGGGCCAGGTAGAGGCGAGCAGCAGAGTGGGAGGGCAGCCAGGGGCTCGGCTGCCTCCACAAACAGCGTGGCCGGCAGCTGGACAGTCTAAGGTCCTAGAGCCCCTGAGAGGTGCCAAGTGGCCGGAAGGGGAAGGGGAGGAGGAGAGGGGGGCAGGGAAGGTGTCCGCCCCAGCTCACCTTCCACCAGCAGCTGCACCTCGGCGCACAGCTGCAGGAGGCTGCCCACGTGGGCCCGCTCCTGCTCCAGGAGCCAAAGCTCATCCCGCCGCCACTGCAGCACCAGCTGCAGGTCTGGCAGCTGCTCCCGGCTCCCTGGGAGGAGGAGAGTGTGTGAGGGGCACACCGGCGCCTGACGTGCCCCTCACACCGTGGCAGCCCACGGTCATGGCTCCTGATGCCAAGCAGGACACAGAGCCGTAGACTAGGCCACTCAGAGCCAGGGCGGCGAGTGGACGATCCCCGCTCCCGGGAGCCAACAACCCCTCCTGCGCATGCGTACGTATCTGCCAGATGTCCAGGAACTGCTTCTCATGCTGAAGGGTCAGCTCTAGCTGCTTGAGTGTGATGGCCCCAGACCTGAGGTCGCCGACAGCCCTGTTGAACACGGAGTTGGCCATGGCCATCAGCTCCCTGGCCTCAGTGGAGATGCTCCTGAGCATGTCCCCGGTGTCTGCACGGGGAGGAGCAGTGTGAGAAAGGGCCCCGCGACGCCCCCGCTGCCCAACCAGTGTGGGCTCTCGTCCACCTGCAGCACCTCTGGGCTTTCCGAGATACCCACATAGAACTGGTGGCAGCAAGAGGCACTGGGCACTGTGTGATGAGGTAACTGTGCCCTAGGCACGTCCCAGCTCTTGGCAAGGCTGAGAACGGCATCTCAGGGCCGGCAGAGCCGACAGAGACGCTCTGTCTTTCCTTCTGCGCTGAGGTCAACAGCAGGACCATGCGCCATCCCAAATGCCCGTCCCTGTGATGTGAAGAGGACATCCACACGCAGGCTGGGCACGAGAGGGCAGCCCAAGGCGCCCCCACAACCTCTGGTGAAGGTGAGGCTGGAGCAGGGGTGATGGACGGACCGTGATGGACGCAGGGAGGACTGGGCTGGGGCGGTGAGATGGCGCGACTGAGTCAGCGCTCAGCCCCAAGGACGGAGAGGAGGTCCAGCTATGAGAGACCACAGTGACCGCACCTCACTGGAACAGTAGAAGGGACGCTGGGGAGATGACAGTGTAGCCGGAGGAAATGTCCTCTCAACTCTCCGATAATGGCAAAAATGCTTATAAAGGTCAATCCATTTGTTCTTGTTTGGGGCCACACCCAGAGGTGCTGGGGGTCATTGCAGGAGCTGCTGGGGCTCCCTGTGGTGCCAGGAGAGTGTCCTGCCTACAGAGCTGTGGCCGTCCTTGGCCAGCTCACGCTTGGGCCGCCATGGCCCCTGAGAGCACCGCCCACCAGCTGATCCCCCCACAGCCCTGTGCTCCTGAGACCCGGATCACCATCCACTGAGGCCCAACCTGGCACTTTATTTTTGTTTTTCTTAAATATTTGGGCCACAAAAGTCCAGCGGACGCTCAGGAATTACTCCTGGCCCTGCTCTCGGGTCCCTCCTAGCGGGGCCCAGGGGCCAGCTGGGGTGCCGGAGACTGACCCTGGGTCGCCCTCCCAGCATACCGAGCAGCCTAAAGACGTGCAGGGCATCTGGGCAGGTGAGCAGGTGCTTCAGAACTTCGTCTGGCTTGTCAGTGGCAGTGCCCTGGTGCCGGGGCCAGGATGCGGTGACCACGGCCGACAGCAGAGTGCTGAGTTTGTGCTGGTCCTGACACGACAGCCCGTCCAGTATGCTGGCCTGGGACTGCAGAACACATGGGCTCAGGGAGGGCACAGGCCTCATGGCATCTCTAAGTCTCATGGTGAGCGACAGAGAACCCCGAACCCAGAGCCCAGACTTGGCATGTGAGGGGCCTCCCGGGGTGCTTGGGCCCGGGGTTACTCCCGGAAACACTAGGTCACTGGCTGGCAGGTGGCTCAATGCAGGGTCAAGGGTGAGGGGCAGCCAGAGGACAGGCAGAGACACAACCCATGCACACAACCCACACACAGATGCAACAAACCCAACACACACATGACACCACATACATAGATGCACACAAAACACACAGAGTCACATACAAACACATACAACACAAAATGCACACAACAGGGGCTAGAGCGATAGCACAGGGGGTAGGGCATTTGCCTTGCATGCGGCCAACCTGGGTTCGATTCCCAGGTCCCCCGAGCACCACCAGGAGTAATTCCTGAGTGCATGAGCCAGGAGTAACTCCTGTGCATCACCGGGTGTGACCCAAAAAGAAAAAAAAAAGCAGCACACAACAGAGATGATAATAGACACAGAATCAGACACACACAGACTCACACACATGCAGACTCACACACACAGACTCACATATGACTCAGACACACAACAGACTCAGACACAGGCTCATACACACAGATCCACCCACAGACTCACTCTCACATACATGAACTCTCACATACATGGACTCACACACACGGGAACACACACATACAGAAGCCAGGTCACCTGGCAGGAAGAGTTCACAGCCTCGATGGCACATTTTTCTACACGCTTGGCCACGCTGCTGGCGGTGCCCACAGAGTCCCAGGCGGAGCTGCAGAAGGCCGAGATCTGGGCATGGGGCTTCTCCTGTGGGTACAGAGGTTTAGTAGCTGGCAGCAAGCTCTGCCCCACACCCTCCCCATGCCCCTGCACCCCTGCTCTGCCCCACACCCTCCCCCAACAGCTGCCGACAGCTGTTTGAATCTGGGTCCAGCGGCCCCCTCCAGGCCTGCTCTCCTGGGTACTGCCAAGGGCCCCGACGTTGACGACCCTCCAGCCCCATTCCAGCGTCTCCCAGCCACTGTACCTGCTTCAGTCGCCCTTCCATGTCCCCCAGCAGGGCCTCCTGCCAGCCGAGCTCGGCAGGGAAGCCCACGTCCACCAGCTCCTTCCAGACCTGCAGGCGCACGTGGGCAGGCATTGAGGCCTCCAGGACACTGGCTCCACTACCACCCCGGGCCCCGCAGTGCTTGGAGCCAGGTGGTGGTGCTGAGCTAACAGACACCAGACACTCCCAAACCTTGGCCACTCACGACTAAGGCCGATCTACTGTCCTGATGAAATACTGAACACCCTGACCAAACACGATGGCCTCTCAGCACCCATACTGCAAACCTTCGTGCACAAAAGGAGAGGGAGAGGGAGAGTGCTACCTGGCACTGGTCAGGACTGGCCCGCCCCCAGGAACCCTGACCCACCCCAGAACTTCGATCACAGCACGGCTCTGTTCTTCCTGAACCCGGCCCGGGAGATATCTACTCATGGCTTTGAGCCTCGTGACCAGTTTCCCACCACAGACACCGAGGCCCCTCCCAAGCCCTGCCCGAGCAGTGCCCACTGCACCAGGACTGGTCACCGGCAGCCCAGCTGTCCGCTCTCGGCAATGCTCACCTTAATCTCCTCTCGGTAGGTGAATGTGACCCCAGTGATTTTCGAAACCTGGAGCATAGATTTCTGGAACATTCTCCCGATCCATTCTCTTGTCGCTGTCAGCGTACCCTGCACGATGGTGGTCACGGAATTGTCCCCAGATGCCCCTTCTCGGCCCGCCGCTGAGTCCTGTAGAAAGCGGAGAGGGGGTGTCACTGCAGTCCCCCTGCTGGGCGGGCTGCTGACCCAGAGTCCATCCCGCACAGATGACTGGTCCCGCATTTCACTTCCGGGCTGCAGGCTCTGGCTGAGTGGGGGATGCTGGGCAGGCACAGCTGTGGCCCCGATGCCCTTGACAACAAGACTCGGCAGGAGAAAGGCAGCCCAGTCTCTGGCCATGGGGACACCCAGGACAGTTCCTAGGGCTGGAGCTACAGTAGCCAGCAGAGAACCCCAACCGCCTGCCAAATGCTCCCGCTCAACAGACAGGGGCCAGCTGTCCACTAGCTATGCAAAAGGACTGCTCTGCACCCCGTGCACCCCACCTGAGCCCACTAGGTCACGTGGACCCTCAATGTGATCCTGGACACACCATCATGTAAACCCTCAACCCCTCACATGCACCCTCCCTCCCTCATGTGACCCCTCATGTGCACCCTTGCCCCCTCATGTGACCATTCCCTCCCTCACATGCCCCCACCCTCACATGACCCCACTCTCCTTCACACGCACCCTGCCTCCCTCACATGCCCCCTCCCTCCTCAGGTGAACCCTCCCTCCACGTGAACCCTCTTTCCAAGTGTACCCTCACTCCCACGTGCACCCTCACCCTCCCACCTGCACCCACCGTCCCTCTGCATGGAGCCGTGAGCTCTGCTATTCCTGCAGCTCCGCCCCTGGCCGCGCCCACTGGCGCCGCATGCCTACCCCTGCTTGCTTCAGCACGACGATGCTGCAGACCAGCTGTGCAGACAGCGCGGGGAGCTTGTAGAAGTCCCGTCTCTTAATCCTTTCGCAGATGCTTCTGTGAAGCTTGAGGGCCACGGAGAGGTAGGAGGCAGCCAAGGTTTCCCAGAGGGTCCTGGCGCAGAGGCGGGAGGAAGGGACAGGGCATGAGTGTCCAGCCACACAGAACCATCTAGAACCGCCCGCAGCCTGCACTCAGACCCAGGGGACCTCACAGGCGTGCAGCAACCGGCTCATCATGGAAATCGGATCATCATAGAAACGGGCGATCGCGGAAGGGGCCTTTGGATTTAATTTCCCACTGGTCAGACCTATAAGGCTTAGGAAGGTCATGCCAGCGCAGGGAGAGTGGAAGGGCGGGTGGAGGGAGGAGAGCAAGCTTCAGACAGAAGAGCTGTCCTTCCCACGACAGAGAGTGGCCCTGTGCACCTTGGGGTGGGGACGGAGGGAGAACCTAAGCTCCAGCCCCTAAATATTTTTTATTTGTCTTTTGTTTTGGGGCCACACCAGCGGTGCTCAGCGCTTGCCCTGGGTCTACACTCAGGACTCACTCCTGGCAGTGCTTGAGAGACCACATGGGGTGCCTGGGATCAAACTCAGGTTGGTTGCATGCAAGGCAAATGCCCTACCAGCTGTGCTGTCATTCCTGCTCTCCATTTTTTTTTTTTTGCTTTTTGGGTCACACCCAAGCAATGCTCAGGGGTCACTCCTGGCTCTGCACTCAGGAATTACTCCTGGCGGTGCTTGGGGGACCATATGGGATGCCGGGGATGGAACCCAGGTACAAGGCAAACGCCCTACCTGCTGTGCTTTCACTCCAGCCCCCCTGCCCTCCATTTTTTAATGAAAAAAAAAAAATGACAGCCAGAGCAATAGTACAGCAGACACAGCCCTGGCCTCGCTGGCCAGATAGTCTCCTGAGCTCCCAGGAGTGATCTCTGATCAGAGACGGGAGTCAGCCTTGAGCACCGCTAGGTGTGGCCCAAAATAAAGGAAGATGCTGGGGACGGGGACAGAGTACGGGGGTGAGGGCATGTGCCTGGCAAACGGCCAACTAAGGGTCTGTCCCCAGAGCCTCAAAGGGTTCCCTCAGTCCAGCCAGGAATGATCCTGAGCACAGAGCTGGGAGTCAGCCCTGAGCACCGCCGGGCTTGGCCCCAAAAGTGAGAATGTCCTTGTGGCGGGGGAGGGGGCAAAGCTGCCCCTGGCCCACCCCTCTCTACTCACTTGTTTTCAAGATTTTCCAGAAGGTACAAGAGACTCTTCAAAATGGCCTCAATGCTCTTGAGGGGCAAAGAAAGAAAAGGACGATTTAGTCACGACTATAAAACCCAGCTCCCGGAAGAGAACAGCACAGAGTCTCCTGCCCCTGCGCCTGGCTGTCCTCGTCGGGGCCCCTCAGACGGGGGTGGGTTGAGTTTCCCTACTTGCCCAGAGCAGAGCCTGGGCAGAGCCCCGAAGACCTTCAGAACCAGCCACAACCATGCTGAGACCAGTCTCCACACGCATGAAGGTACCGGCAGAGGAACAAAGGCATGCGGGTCCCGGGGCTGAGATCTCCAAGCCTACTCGGATCGGGGCTGAGCATCCTCCACCCAGATCCTCCATCTTCCAGTAGGCGGGGGTCACACCTACCAACTGCCCCCCCAGCGCCGTGTAATCCCATCAATGGACAAGACCCAGAGACTATAAAACCCAGCTCCCAGAAGCGCGCGGCCACATTTGCGGCCAAACGACATCTTATTATCTCATTCTTGCTTTGACAACCTGGCAAGCTACTGAGTGTAGCCTGCCCATGTGGCAGAGTCTGGCAAACTCCCCGTGGCGTACCCAATATGCAATATGACAAATACCAGTAACAATGATGGGTCTCATTCTCCTAACCCTGAAAGAGCCTTGAATGTGGCACTTTTTATAATCTCAGGGCTAGGACAAAGGAGACGTTACTGGTGCCTGCTCAAGGCAATCAACGAACAATAGGATGATCGTGATCATGACTCTGAGTCATGACCTCACAGTTCACCACAGGGCATGGGTTGGGCAGGAGCGGCCGGGGTGAGCACTGGGAAGCAGGAGTGTCCTGACCGGCTACCGCGGCCAAGTGACCAGAGGGCACATCCGCCTGTCCCCAAACACACTCAAACTGCAACACACAGTGGGTCCCGCCCAGAATGACCCGCAGCCTGCTGGAACCTCCCCATCTGGATCCTTCCCAGCTCGAGACACACCTCCGAAGCCAGCCCTTCGAAACAGACTTCCTGGCGCCTGCAGAGCCGGAAGTAGGTTCCCCACAGACAGTCGAGCAGTTCGGCCGGGGAGCTGCTCAGGTAGTCTCGGAAGCAGCTCATGAAGGTGTCCAGCTGGTCCAGATGCAGCAGGCTGAACCAGGAGCGCAGGAGGAACGGGTCCCCCACTAGCAGGTGCCTGTACTTCCCCATCAGCTCCAGTAACTTGCTCCTGCAGGGAAGGTGCGGAGAGAGCACGTGAGTACGGGCGCCCGCTCCTCGGACCCTGGACGGCCGTGGCGGGTGCTGGAGAGAGCCGGGAGCGGCCAATGAGCAGCACAGAGAGTGGCCCCAGATCAGGGTAAACAAACGGGGAGACGTGCTGAGGGGAGAACAGACGCTAGTTATCCACTCCCGGGAATGGGCAAGCATAGGAACCGGAAAGAGGAGAGACAGAGATGAGAGACGAGAGATGGAGAGACGAGAGATGGAGAGACGAGAGATGGAGAGACGAGAGATGGAGAGACGAGAGATGGAGAAAGGGAGAGATGAGAGACAAGACAGAGATGAAGAAATGGAAAAACAAAGACAGAAGGGCCAGGGGCTGCCCAGTGTGAAAGTACTTGCACCTCTAAAGTGGACCCTTAGAACGGCAGGGGTAGAAACCGGGGCAGGGTGGGTGAGGCGGGTGAGAGGACGTATGTCTGGTGAGGGGTGGGTGTCTGGTGAGGGGGCGGGGGCGGTGAGAGGGCAGACGTCTGGTCTCCATCTCCAGCACCACAGAGCCCTCACCCCACACCCCGAGCACTGAATCAGGAGGAGGCCCTGATGGGGCCCAGAAACAAAATAAAATTTAAATTGGGGGGCTGCAGCGATAGCACAGCGGGTAGGGCGTTTGCCTTGCATGCGGTCAACCTGGGTTCGATTCCCAGCATCCCATAGGGTCCCCAGAGCACCGCCAGGAGTAATTCCTGAGTGCAGAGCCAGGAGTAACCCTTGTGCATCGTGGGGTGTGACCCAAAAAGAGCAAAATAAAAAAAATTTGAATTGGGATTAGTGTACAGCTCAGGGGTCACGGGTCAGGGTATAGCTCAGGGGTTGGGTAGGGGATAAGAGTACAGCTAAGAGATCAAAGGTCAGATTACAGCTCAGGGTCAGGGTCGGGGTACAGCTCAGGGTCAGGGTCAGGGTACAGCTCAGGGGTCAAGGGTCTGGGTATAGCTCAAGGGTCAGGGGTCAGGATACATCTCAGGGGTCGGGGCACCCTCCATACCCCCACTCACTGTTCTGGCTTCTTCTCCCGAGAAGTTGAGAAGCTGATGTCCTTAAGACCGGCCCAGATGGCCTCCGACTGATGCTCGGCACCGGCTGCAGGTGGGGCCTGGGGTGCGGTGAGGTGCAGCAGAGGGAGCACACACACCCACAGCTGCACACCCGTGTTCCTGCAGCACTGGCACAGGGAGGCCAGGTAGCTCTCCCAGCTGCAAAGGAAGCCCCTCCTGAGCCCATGACGGAGGCCACGGGGCCCCATGGGAGACGCCCCACAGAACCCATGAGATGCCCCCATGGACCCCGTGAGACACCCCTGCCCAGGGACCTCATGGGAGAGAGGCTCAGCAAACCCAGACCACCAGGCCTGGAATAGCCCCTCCCTCAGCCCACAGCCCAACTCTTCGGGTGCCTGGACCCAAAGGACCACAAAGGGGGATGCCCCGCCTGCACAAGGTCCCTGGGAGCCCCCTGGGCCTAACCCTGGCCATCTGCACAGTGGCCCTGAGGTGAAGCGAAAGGTTCCTGAGACCCCATACAGGTGGGGCTGGCCTGGCCCACAGCCCACCTGGTCCACCATGGCACCCCTCCAAGAGAGATCCCTGAGCACCACGAGATGTGGCCCCCAAACAAACAAGTACTCCAGGCCATCCCTGCACCAGACACAAGGGAACTCCTCCAAGCGCTGGCTCATTGCTGGCCGTGTCCTCTCCATGCCCTGACAGGCTGAGGCAGCAGCGGCCAGTGTGTGGCTGACTGGACACCGGGCCAGCTGCCACGGCGCCCCCGCTGCTCCCACAATGTGGCCCCCATGCAGCCGTGGTGAAGTCCCCCAGGCGGAAGGGGTCAGTGCTGGCGGAGAGGCCGGCCGGGCCAGTCAGCTGGTGCCTACCTGCGCGAGGTGCTGAAGACAGGGGCCGGGCAGTTGCGCAGGGCAGCAGCGGCGTCTGCGGCAGGGGCAGAGCACAGGCACTGGCACAGTAGGCCCAGGTCATCGGTGGTCATGGGCAGCTGGAGCTCCTGCCCCAAGACGAACGCCAGGAGGCCCGCCTGCAGCACTGGGGGCCAGCCCTGGGGCAGGGCCGTGCCACACAGAGCCGCTGCCAGCTTCTCCCTCAGGACACTCCATAGATGCTCCTTCACCTGTGGGGACAGAGGCCCAGGCTCAGCCTCCCACCCCGAGAGCCACGGGGACACAGAGGCTTCCCAGGAGTGGAAGGACCCAGAGCGCGGGAGCCCTCCCTGGGGCCGGCCCAGCATACCTCCTTGTCCCCGTACTCCAGCTCGGTCCACACTTTTAGGCCGTCCTCGTAGACCATGGGCCGGCAAAGCACACAGAAGAGCTGCTGTAGCTGGCGGGAGAAGGCTGCCACGTTGGCCACGCTCCAGTCCCCCAAGATGCTGAACACGCTCTCCAGCATCACGGCCGCGGCCAGCTGCTTCCCCTTCACCACGTCCTTCCGGTGACTGTCAGTGAAGTAGTTCGAGAAGTTCTTCCACCTTGTGGACTTCACGCAGATGATGTCGTCGTACTGGTGCCAGTCTGGAGGCCAGGTGCGGGGGGCTCAACACCAGTCCATGGCGGGGCAGGGGGAAGTGAGGGAGGGAGAGGAAGGAGGAGCGAGAAGGAGGAGGGAGGGGCCCTTTCCCACCAGGCTGGGGGTGCACAGATGCCCCTCACAGAGCCCAGCCCCACACAGAGGCAGGCGGTGGTGTCAGGGACAACTTCCCAAATGTTCCCCAATTGTCTCCCCGACTGCATCTCCCCATGTCCCCACACCCCCACCCCATCATTCCCCCCAACACACTGCACACACATCACCCTCGCGGCCTCAATGCCACTCCCCGGTGGTGTCGAGAGACCCCAGTGCACAGGCTGGCAGCCAGCACTCCCGCTGGCCTGGGGATCCAGGCACATGGAAAGAGTGACCATGGTCAGTGGGGCCTGCAGCACCAAGTGGGTTCTGGTTTGGGGGGCCCCACCTAACAGTGCTCAGGGCTGACTCCTGGCTCTGTGCTCAGGAATCAGTCCTGGTGGAGCTCACCTCCAGAGCTCAGCAGGGTCGACTTCACCAGCAGACAGCGGTTCACGAGCTTCTTTGCTGGCTTGTAGATGAACTCGTACTCCAGAGAGCCCGGGCCCCGCACCACCACGTACTTGTAAGGGATGGGCTTGTCCAAGTAGCAGCGCGCAAGGAAGGTGCTGCCCTCCACCAGGAAGCCGTGGCCTTCTAAGAGCCTAGGAAGACAAGGATGCCCTGGTCACCCAAAACACTGCCCAGAGATGCACTTTACAGCAGTGCTTCCATGCTGCCAAGAGGATGCTTCTAGAACAGACTCGGGGAAGCTGGGCAGTGAAGTAGTGCTCAGGAGACCCGAGTGTCGGAAGGAGCCCCTCCAAACAACAGCACCAACCGGGTAGGGAGGTTCACCCAGACCTCGAGGAGAGCACGCCAAGTGCAAGCCCCAAGCACTAGGCACTGAGCACACAGCCCCCACCACGCAGGCCAGGGCACTCACCGGCTGCAGGTCATCTCACACACACAGCGCTGCCATGCCGGCTCCCCGAACTCACTCCCGCCCCTGATGACAACTCTGTCGTGGTCGGGATTGAAGGCAAAGTCCTTCGAAAGGATGGCGTGGAAGTACACGGTCACGCCGGGGTCGGCATTCAGCGAGCTGCAGGGAACACAGGAGCGAGACCCCGGCTCTACACCCATGTCCCCATACCCCTTCCCTTACGCCCACAGTTCCCCAATTGTCTCCCCGACTGCATCCCCCAGTGTCCCCACACCCCCACCCCATCATTCCCCCCAACACACTGCACACACATCACCCTCGCGGTCTCAACGCCACTCCCCAGGCCTGTCCCTCCCTCTGCCGGAGGCCAGCGGGGCTGGGGCTATGGGGTGAGGGACAGTCTGCTCTCTAGCCAGTGCCCAGGCCCCGGGGTGGTTGAAGGACCTTGGAACCATCAAGTACCTGGGCAGGGCCCCCATTACTTCCCGCGCGGAGCCCCACTCTCCCCGGAGTCCACAGCAGAGCTGCCTACAGCCTGGCAGTGCCCACCTGTTGGGCACCGGGGCCACCTTTGCTTTCTCGGAGCACTGCTCCTTCTTGGCTTTCCCCGCCGCTGGCCCTGGCCCGTCACCACCTCTGGCCTCTGTTGGCTGCTTTGGGGCATCTGGTTCTACGCTGCCCCTTTGCCCTGATCTCTCCTTGGCTTTGACCGTTCCGGGCTCTCTTTGCACTTCCTAGAGAAAAGACCAAACCCCAAACTATAAAAGCAGCTTCCCCACTTGTTCCCAAGAGCTGCTGGGAGGGGGGTCCCCCAACAACCCAACAAACCCTTCTTCAGGGCTTCCAGCCCCCCACCACCCAGATCCATGTGGCCCCTGTACGGCCCTCTCCCCAGCCTCCCTCCTGGCTCCCCGTGTCCCTCGGCCTCCCTATGGCTCCCCAAACCCTGCACCCCAGGGCCTTTGCTCATGTGGTTTCTACCTGGGCCCACCCTCCCCAGTGCTTCTGGCTGGTCTCACAGGGCTGCATCCACTCCTGCATTCCTTCTCCCCCAGGAGACAGGAGTTGTTCAGCTTGCCCGACCAGGGCTAAGAGGAAATGAGTTACCTGGCGGCGTTCCTGGATTGCAGGGGGGCCCGTGGGGGACTGTTTAGTGCTCTGAGTCTCTCCTCTCACGTCTCCCCTAGCCAGTGTCTCTGCACTGGCCGGTACCACTGTGGCCTCAACATTCTGGAATAAAGTCCACAGGGCATCATCACGTGAGGGGCCAGCAGGAATGGGACTGGATGGGCCCAGCTGACAATCACCACAGCCCGTGCCCAGTGATGCTCTTCCAGGCCCAGGAACCCTTCCCAGATGGCTCAGAGCAGGAGTACAGGGCAGGGCACCCCGCACCATCCCCACTGCTCACCCAGGGCATGGGACCCCCCCATGCCCACTGCACGTCCCCCTCACCCCAGGGCTCACAGCCTTCGGCTCTTCTCGGGGTACAGGGATGCTCCCCTTCCGCTCAGGCTCGTGGGCAGCTGCATCTTCCCTGGGGCCACCGTCAGGGGCAACGGGGCTCAGGCTGGCCCCCTCAGGCAGGGGGCCTCCATCCTGGGAGGGAGCTGGATGGTGTTCCTTCAGTTCCATCATTCCCGGAAGGGTCCCTTCCATGCCAGTGTCTCCCAAAGTGCAGAAAACTGTCCCCTGAGGGGCGCTGGCACCACCCAGGGGGGCGGCATCAACCGTGGGGGCAGCTGGAGGACACCTGGTGTCCCTCTGCTGGTGGGTGGCAGCGCAGGGCCCTGTGGGCGGCAGGGAGCAGGACTCGGGCCCCTTGGACACAGACGCCAGCTTGCTCCTTTTCCTCCTTTTCTTGCTCTAGACAAAAGCAAACAGTGGCGCGCGTTGGACTTGCTGGACGGCCAGGCCACCCAACTTATAGCCGAGACCGAGGGGCGGGGCCAGACAGCCCAGGCCTGATTGGTCCGCCTGCCAACGTCATTTGCATCTGTGATCTGGTTGCTCTTTCTAACAAATGAGCACATCGGGCATAACCAATCAGATGATAGGAACAGCTTGGGGCAGGGGTACGCCGCCTGTGGGCACAGGGAGGTGCTGTCCCAGAGCGCGGACCCGGTGCTCTCACCTTCTGGGTAATCCATGAGGAGTCCGAGGAGGGCTCGTCGGGGTCTTGCTGCCAGTCGCTGGGGTGCAGGGGGGAGGCAACGCCGGCTTCCTCCTTCAGCTCCTGCCCACCCTCCAGTGCTCCCTCGGGGCCTGGGGCCACCGGGGGCGGGGCGCACTCCGGCCCTAGACAAGCAGGCACAGTGGACGCTGCCGTGAGGGGAGGGCCGGGTGCGCCCTGCCAGACAAACCCTGACCAGGCCGACGGTGCCCACCCAGAGATCCCGCCCCGTCCTGCCCATCCCGCTGCCCGGCATCCCCCTGACTGGGCCCCCGGTGCCTTAGTAGCTCCCCAAACTGGCCCTCCACACACACACACACACACACACACACAGACACACACTCACATAGACACACAGACACAAATAGACACACACACATACACACACACACACCCAGACACACACACCTCCAGACAGACACAGACTACACACACACACAGACACATCACACACACACACACACACATCACACACACACACACACACACACACACAGGCACACACAAACACACACAGACGCACATACCTCCAGACATACACAGACACATACACAGACAAATACAGACACTCACACCCTGGGACCAGCAGTTCCGGCCCTAGGATCACGGACTTGGCTGTACCTCAAGTGTTCCTCGCCCGTGTCCAGGGGGCTGCGCCCCCAGGGAGGACCCAGCTTCAGCGAAGGGGGGGGCGCCAGAGTGGGCAAAGGTCGGTCACCCACAGCGCGCGGGCCCTGGGCCCCCGCTCGGCGAGGCCAGTCTACGCCCACCCGCGGGACAGCGCGCTTTGCTTCCAGCGACAACCCCCGCCTGCCCGCCTCAGACTGCGGCCCCTCAGGAGAGGGGGATGGAGAAACGGGAAAAGAGAAGCCAGGACAGGTCCACGCCACACGTCTCCCCAGTGTCCCCCCCCTCCGCAAAACCAGACGCCCCAGGGGGCCCAATTCTGCCCACGCCCCTCTCCCACGCGCCCCATGGTGCCAGGCGGACAGTGGAACCGATCTGTGTCTGCACAAATACACAGACATGCAAGTGCACACAATGCCCACATGAGTACACATACATGCAAACACACATATCATGTGTACACACAAGTGCTCATGATTGCATGCATATGTACACACTCAAGTGTGCCTCATGCGGTGTACATGCAGGCACAAACACGCATGCATGCATGCACACATGCGTGCATTCACACATGTGTGCAGGTGTGTGTACAAAGTATATTTAGAAGCCCACGGGCCCTTCTGGAGAGGCTCCCCTGCACCCCCGCAGCTGCTCCTGGGCTTTGTGTCAGCTGGGCAGGGCCTGCAGCAGAGCAAAGACCTTAGTGAGGGCTCACACCTGGCGCCCTGTTGCTGGGAAGAACCGCGGGGAGGTGGCGGGGTAGGGGTGTCAGACAGGGGCATTTTTCCTGAGGAGACCAGGGCCTCCAGGAAGGAGCGAGCCCAGCAAAGGCTGGAAGGGGCGGGGTGGTGGAAGCATGCTGCCCCCTCCCCTCTGCCCCTTGCAAGGTGTGTTGGTGGCCAACCAGAGCCAAGGCTCTGGGCTCACAGCTTGCGTGAGTCTGGGCTAGGGGGAGGTGGTGGAGCGTCCTGGGCGGCCTTTTCTGAGTGAGGGGGCAGCGGCCACTGCAGAGGGGGGAGCGGGCAGCCGGTGCGCATGGCTGGGCTCCGTGCTGCCCCGCGGGGGCTATGGGAACTGTGATACAGGAAGGAGGTTGTGGGGGGTGTGCGGTTTGACTGAGCGGAGCTGGGAGGGTGGGGGGAGCGGAGCGGAGGGGAACACAGGGCTGGGCTTCCCTGGGGGTGCAGACAGGGATCAGGTGCAGGAGGGTCTCTAAGGAGGGGCCCTGGCAGGCGCGGCCGCAGCTCCTGACCGCCTCGGGTTCCCGGGGAAGGGGACCCTAAATTCCAAGAACTGAAACTGAAAAAGTATCGCGGCCGCAGCAGCACTTCCAGCCGGGGCAGCGGCCGGCAGAGGCTTCTGGAAGGAGGGAGGTGGGCGCCTGCTGGGCACGCCCCTTACCTGGCAGGCCGGCAGGCTGCAACCTCAGGCCACAATTGCTGCAGAACTTGGGGTTCTCCTCCCTGGAGACGTGTCTGCAGTCGGGGCACGGCATCTCACTGGTGAGGGGTCACAGCCCGGCGGGCCGCCGCTAAGTACCCGGCTGCCCGTCACGTGACCCAAGTTTCAGTTTCAATTTCTGGGAAAATAAAATGACAGAAGTTCCTTCCCCGCTAAATGGAAACTTAACCCAGGGGATCCAGTCAACCTCCCCTCCCCCCTTCCGCCCCCGCCATCTCAGCTCCTCGGACCCCCTCTCACCCAGCAAGGGCTAAATGGGCAGCCACGCACAGGGTCTGTCACCCGGTTGGCCACTGGTCCGGCCGCCCTAGCCCCAGCCAAGGACCCAGCCTCTCGGCCAGACCCCCAAGGGTGAGGACTGGGGGGAGGGGGGTCCGCACAGCCCCACTGCACTGCCAGACTCGGCCTGCAGAGGGCGTCAGGCCCTGGCCTCGTGGGTCCCCAGCATTCCGGGTGTGGGTGCAGTGGGCAGGGGGCTCTCTAGGCCTGTCCACCCCGCCAGGAGGAAGTCGGACCCCATCGCAGGAGGACTCCAAAATCTCCAAAATTTGTCGGGCGGGGCAGGGATCTTCCTGAGCAGGTAAGATCCCAGGGACATACCATTCTGGAGGGGGACACGGCAGCCCCCCCCAAAACCCACGTACAGCTTGTCCCCCTGTCCTGGCCTCAGGACAAACCTCTGGCCTCCGCCTGCTGGACAGCCTTAGTCTCAGGTGGAAGCCCTTCAGTATTTTAGCCTCTGGGCATTTAAGTACTTAGCCTCTCCCAGGGCACTGCCCCTCCCCTGCCTTCCCCTGCCACCTTCCTCTCCCCGCCCCTGCGTCCCCTTCCTCTCCCTCTAGGCCCCTCTCAATCAGTTGGTCTGGTCACCAGCCTCCAAGGAGGAGGGGGGCAGGGGTCTGGGGTCTGCAGACTCCCCCATCCACACCCAGATGCAAACCCGTGCACTCAGGCTGCGGGGCTGCCCCCACTGTGGCCTCGGGAGTCCGTGGGTCCCATTGGCTGGTAGCTAGGGAAGGGCCCCACATCACGGCAGTGAGGCGTGTGTGATCATCACGCGACCAAGTAGCCCGCGCTCTCTCTCGCCGCCTGTGTTTTATGGCCTCGCGCCGCTTCTCCACCTGGGGCAGCCGAAGGAGAAAAGGCCAGGCTGGTTAGTATCAGCTGCCACGGATTTATTCCACTCTCCCCACGTTCCCGTCTCTCGCTGAGGCAGGCAGGCAGGCAGGCCCACAGGAAAGGCCCCTCCCAAGGCCATGGCAGGTATTTCCCCAGAAGTAGCAGCCCTGACAGCAAGCAGAACCGGTGTCAGCCTGTAGCAGACCCAGAGGAAGCTGGACCCCCTGGGACAGAAGCTCCATCAGGAACAAAAGGTGGGAAAGGAATTTCAAAGAAGACCATCATCACTCCCAGTGCTACCCCCTTGACAACCTCCTCAGCAACGGACTTTGACCTAGGTCAAAGCCCCAGGTGGGGGCAGCTTGGAGAAACGCTCTGAAGCCCACCTTGAACAAAGAGAGCGCGGGCACGTGCGCTTCCTCCCCTTCCAAAAGCCTCCGAATAAAATCTGTTTCACTTCACTGCTCGTCTACTCCTGAAATTCTTTTCTTCAAGTCAAGAACCCAGCGACCTGGGTAAGGAAGGCCTGGGACTAACCCTCCTTTCATCAGGAAGAGGCTCAGGAAAGCCTGAGCCTCTGGCTCCCAAGAAACAGGTGCTGGGGATCTACTCCTGTGCCAAGCAGACCACGGGACGTCAGGTGTGGCTGGGCTAGGGGGTGGGGCTGTGCCCAGCCAGGCTCACCGCCAAGTCTCAGCCCGGCCCTCCCAGCCGGTCCTGCATGTGGAGCGGCATTGGGAGACAGTGTCCTCCTCCGGGGATACCGGCCTCACCATTGTTTGGGGACTGGGTGCGTGTTTGGGCGCATGGCCTCCCACCCCTCCGGCATGGCCTGCCCAGCCTGCTTGGGGCCCAGGACCTTCCCAGCCTCGGAAACTCAGCTGCCTCCCGCTGGAGAGGCTGGGGGCGCCTCGAAGTTTACACCTGCTGGGCGCAGAGCCCGGGGGAGGCCCCCAAGGTGAGAGGTGCAGCAGGCGGCCTGTGCACTGACCTGGGGGTCTGCTGTGGCCCACCTACCTGGTCCCCCCCACACACCCGGAGGCAGCCTGACCTCGGGTACCAGGACCCCACAGACAAACTCGCAGATCCACCCAGGCCCCCAGAACCTGTGAACCTGGGCCCGCCCTGCGGCTGCTGAGTTACAGAAGTATGGCCGGAATTTCCCGTGGGCGCCCGCAGTAACCAGAGCCGGGCCCAGCCCCAGGGCCAGCACAGTGTTAGAGGACAAGAGGGGCCTCAGTCTCCCCTTGCAGGCCCTCGGGAGCCTGGACCTCGGTTTCAGGGCGGGCTCCCCCTCCTGTGCCCCAGCTGACACCACCCACCTCAGCCCAGCCCCGCTGCGGTGTCCAGTGCTCTGGCAGGGACAGCCTCCCGGACTTCAGCGGCTGGGTGCCAGGGATCAGTGATTGCCCTGTTCGTGCTGACTGGCACTCCCCCAGGGCCTGTGTCCCCCGCTGAAGCTGACCGGCACCCTGGGCACTGGGAACTGAGGGAGCATGGGTCAGCCCCGGGGCCTGGGTGGCCAGGAGGCCAGAGCACGTAGTTGGGCTCTGCCTGCACCCGGCCTCCCGGGGCGAGACTCCAGAGCGGCCAGCAGGAGGTCTGGCGCTTCTGAAAAATTGCAAATGGGGTGGGGGGTGGACCTTGTTCCCTGCCACCCCTGGGACAGGAGCCAGGGGGTGCCGTTAGCAGCCTGGAGGCCATCGGGGAGGGTCCAAGCTGGGTGGCTTGGAGTGCCCCGCAGAGCAGGGGCTCAGCAAAGCCCAGGTGTGAGGCCGCCAGAAGCAGTGGATGGGGTGGGGGTTGCGGGGGGGGGGAAGGGAGCAGCCTCCATGGCTATAGGGCCAGTCAGCCACACCGTGACCCCCGGGCTTCGGCAGACGGGGGTCCCACGGCGTCAGATTCTCTCTGTTTGGGGGCACACTTGGTGGTGCTCAGGGGACCCCCCCAGGTGGGGAGGTGCAGGGGCTGCTCACTGAGCGCAGAGCAGCGGGAGAGGGGCAGCGTTCACCTTGTATGCAGCCGACCAGGTTCCCTGGCACCCCACATGGTCCCTGAGCATGGCCAGGGGTAAACCCTGAGCATCGCTGGCTGTGGCCCTAAAACGAACAAAAATCCTGGGGCTCCGTGTACAGAGTGGACCCCTCGGCCCAGCTCACGCTGGCTGCCCCGGCCCCCGTGTGCCTCCGGACTGCACAGGCCTTCCTGGAGGTCGTGGCTGGCCCGCCCCTCAGCGGGCAGTAGCAATGTGGAATGGAGGACAGGGAGGCCTTCCTGGAGGCGGTGGCTGGCCTGCCGAGGTCAGGCGACAGCAGTGTGGAGGGGAGGACAAGGAGTCCTTTCACAGGCAGGGGCGGGCACAACGCTCTGCAGGCTGGCAGCCCCCAGGTCCCTGTGCTGCACCCACACCCGCAGGTCAAAGCAGCATCCAACAGAGCTCCTTTATCCCGCTCAGGGAGCCGGCAGGGCAGCAGCGTGGGTGTCCACTCACCAGCACCCTCCCCGGCCCCCCGGAAGGACCCCCAGCCCACAGTGAGACACAGCAGCTAAGATGCCCAGGAAGTGCCAAGGCCCAATGCTTCGGCCCTGCAGCTGACACCCCGGGGAGCCGTCTCAGGCTAAAGTGGAGGGGGGTCGGGGGTGGCACATGAAGTGGGAGAGGGACAGTCACCAGTTCCTGACCTGCCTCTGCCACCCAGGACCCCCAGGCTAAGGAGTCTGCAGTGAGCCCCCAGGGGCGGGAATCACTCCCTGGGGAAGCACAGTCAATCCTGAAGGGGTTTCCAGAGCAGACAGGAAAGTCAAGAATGGATTCCATCTGAAAGGGAAGGAGGGAGAGAAACGGGGAGAGAGTGAGGCGCTCGGGGGGAAGGCGACTTCTCCAGAGACAGAGCCAGGGACAGACAGACAGAGCCAGAGACAGACAGAGCCAGGGACAGACAGACAGACAGGGACAGAGAGAACCAGGGACAGACAGACAGACAGGGACAGACAGAGACAGAGCCAGGGACAGACAGAGACACAGACAGACAGACAGACACATACAGACAGAGCCAGGGACAGACAGACAGAGACAGGGACAGACAGACAGAGCCAGGGACAGACAGAGCCAGGGACAGACAAACAGACAGGGACAGACAGAGACAGAGACAGACAGAGCCAGGGATAGACAGACAGAGCCAGGGACAGACAGAGACAGACATAGACAGAGCCAGGGACAGACAGACAAAGACAGGGACAGACAGAGACAGAGACAGTCAGAGCCAGGGACAGACAGACAGAGACAGAGACAGACAAAGCCAGGGACAGACAGACAGAGCCAAGGACAGACAGACAAAGCCAGGGACAGACAGACAGAGCCAGGGACAGACAGAAGGGGCCAGGGACAGACAGACAGAGCCAGGGACAGACAGACAGAACCAGGGACAAACAGAGACAGGGACAGACAGACAGAGCCAGAAACCGACAGAACCAGGGACAGACAGAGACAGGGACAGACAGACAGAACCAGGGACAGACCGAGTAGCCCACAGCTCAGAGGGAAGATGTGGGTGACAGGGGCTCGGCAGCACCTGTGCCCTTCCTTCGTTCAAGGTGGCTTTTATTGGATCTCTCCAACCTGCACCCGCCCCACCCCCACCCCCACCCCCGGGCTTCTACCTAGGTAAGAGCCCTTGCTACCTGGGTTGCAAAGGGGGTAGAGTTGGGAGTTTGAAATTCCTTCCCTGGCCTTTGTTCCTGCAAGAGCTTTCTTGGAGGGGGCGGCCGCTCCGGATCTTGGCTTGGCTCCTGTGCTCACAGGTGGGTCCTGACAGCCTTCGGTGGTCTGACAACTCCGCAGAAATTCCATTGTTATGGGGGCCCTTTCCTGTCCAGCCTCAGAGTCCTCACTTGTCGCCCTGATTTTTTATCAGCTTGTTTCTGTGGTTAAAACGTACTTCCAGTTTCATTGTGCTGCTGTTTGAGGGCCACACCTGGTGGTGCTCGAGGGTCAGTCCTGGCGGTGCTCAGGAGAACATATGGGCTGCGGCGAAGCCTGTACAAGGCCAGCGCCTCCGCCTGGACCAACTCTCCAGGCCCTGATCTTCCGGTTTCAGATGGCAGGTGCTACTACCAGACAGAGAATTCACTTACAGTACTATATGATGGGGCCAGAGCGACCATAAGGTGGGTAGGGCGCTCGCCTGGCATGCAGCCAGCCTGCGTTTGATCCCAGCATCCCATACAGTCCCCTGAGCCCCCCAGGAGGGACCTCCAAGTGCAGAGCCAGGAATCATGACACCTGGGCATCACGGATGTGGCCCCCCTCAATAAGAAACAAGATACTGTACAACCTCAGTGCACTCACATTTTTTTCCCCATTTTTTATAATTTTATTTATTGGATCACCGTGAGAGCCGTTAAAAAGCTTTCGGGTTTAAGTCTCGGTCATACAATGAAACACCCGTCCCATCACCAGTGCCCATTCTCCACCCCCAAAAACCCTAGTATACCCCCATCCCACACTCTCCCCCTACCAGTGGGGCAAATGATTTCCACATTACTCTCTCTCTACTTTGATCACATTCAATATTTTGACACCAGGCCCACCATATTATTTGGAATTTAACCCAGCAGGTTATGGCAGAAATCCCTCCAGATTTAATTGTTAAAATTTCGGAATTTCAATATCACGCGGCCACTACTGCAGCAGTGCACTCTCATTTTGTACATGCCATGCCAGAGAGTACGCACAGTGTGGGTCAGGCCAGACGCGGGTCAGGCCAGACGCACCATTGAAGATTCCCGTGGTGGTTTCTGTTTCGTTTTCCAGAATCCACCTCCCCGCCCCCCAAGTTGGGCCTTTCTCCGGTCTGACTCGCAAGCCCTCTGTGGAGGGCACCACCCACCTTCTCTCAACAGGAAAACACTCATATTGTGACAAATACGCTAGGAATCTTCAATCTTGTTTTCTCTAGACGCCTTTTACTGGATCTAGCTAGTCCATTTTTATAGTTCTGTTTTTTGGGTCACAACCGGCGATGCACAGGGTAACTCCTGGCTCTGCACTCAGGGATCACAAACTGGCAGTGCTCGGGGGCCATGTGAGAGACAGGATCGAACCTAAGTCGGCCTCGTGCAAAGAAAACGCCCACCTGGGGCTGAAGCAATAGTACAGCGGGTAAGGGCATTTACTGGGACCGGGGTTCGATTCCCAGCATCCCATATGGTCCCCTGAACACTGCCAGGAGTAATTCCTGAGTGCAAAGCCAGGAGTAACCCCTGTGCATCATCGGGTGTGATCCAAAAAAACAATAATAAAATAAAAATTAAAAAAAGAAAACACCCTCCCTGCTATACTATCACTCTGGCCTCCTGGAGTTTTTTCATATCACGAATGTTCTGGACATTTTTGTTTCATGTGGGGCCCCACAAGCCGGTTTGGGGCTACTCCTGACTCAGCACTCGGGGCCTTTGCCCAGGGCCCCACCCACCATCACCTCTACCCATCAGTCAGGCTTTATCAACTACTTTTTCTGTATCTGTTGAGTCACGTTACGGTTTTCTATGTGATCGATTTCATCATTTCACCGTAACAGGATAGATGATGTTGGTTCTCAGGTGATTTTTTTCTGTGTGAGTATCCGGGTCAGAGGTACTGAGGCAGCCAAGCAGGAGCAACAGTGAGGCAGGGACATGGCTCCCCCAGCTCAGAGTGAGGAAGAGCTCCTCAGGGTCTCATTTCACTTACTTTCGTGACGGGAATTCAGCAAAGAAGAAGAAATCATCAACAAAAGAATGTTGGGGCACAGGGGACTGGAGCAATAGCACAGCTAGTAGAGTGTTTGCCTTGCACGTGGCCGACCTGGGTTCGATTCCCAGCATCCCATATGGTCCCCTGAGCACGGCCAGGGGTGACTCCTGAGCGCAGAGCCAGGAGTAACCCCTGTGCATCGCCGGGTGTGACCCAAAAAAAGAAAACACTAAATAAAAATAAAGAATGTTGGGGCACAGACTAACCTGCCTCCCAAGGGCACTGTCCTGCCTGTCCAGGGCAAACGCTAGTCTCCAGGAGGGACCAAGGTCACGCAGGCTCCTTTAGGCCACCCCCTCACACCTGGGCTGGATGAGGCAGGAGGCTATTCAGGAGGGCTATTTCCTTGTGCAGCAGGAATGAACGTAAGACCAAGGTGAATGAAGAAAGACTTGTTTTTTGTTGTTGTTGTTGTTGGTCACACCCGGCGATGCTCAGGGGTCACTCCTGGCTCATGCACTCAGGAATGACTCCTGGTGGTGCTCGGGGGACCCTATGGGATGCTGGAAATCGAACCCGAACGTGGGTGGGCTGCCCTACATGCTGTGCTATTGCTCCATCCCAGAAGGAAGACTTGTTAACTCTTTCCAGATCAATTGTGAGGCCGAGAAAAAACCTCATGTGCCCTGACAGGCTGTACTTCAGCAAAGTAGGCAGAAGGCCTAAGTTTCTGTCTCTCCTTTGCCCCTCCCCAAAGAATTCCCTGAGGCTGTCCTTGGCCAGAGGCCTCTAGCCTGTCCTATGATAAGCAAGATATCCCTGGGCACAGCACGTGAGCATGACCAATCTGCTCACAGACTTGTGATGCTTCGTCCCAATACTTGGGGAAATGGCCAACTTTGCTTCTGTAAGCACATGCCATATAATGTTCCTGGGAACTTGGGTCGGGGTCTTTGTCAAGACTCCACTGCGTTGGATGGGACTCGGCCCCTAGCTCGAGGTAGCAATAAAGGGCTTTGCAACTGCATCCTGGCGTCTGGTTTGGTCGGTGTGTGAGCGGAACTCCCGTCCCGGGACATAACAGACTCACAAGCTTCAGCTTGCCCGCCTAAGTCAAGGTGGGTTCCTGGTTCTGCCTCCTGCCTTGCAGGGCAGGGTCCGAGGACTCACCCTGATGATCCAGTTAGGGACTGACAATCTTCAGTTTGGGGACCACAGCTGGCTACTCTTGGAGCTTGCCCTCAGGACTGCGCTTCTTAGGGGGCTTGGTCACAACCCCCCCCCCAACTGGGTGTGGTCAGACCAGCAGCCACTCATACCTGCCCCGTTGGATTTCCAAAGAGCTTCATGCTGTAGCAGCCCACGTAGGCTGAACCCTCTTGGGAGGCCCCAGGTTCCTGAACGGAGACCCCGAGCCCGGGTCTGGACCTTTCCCGGATGGCAGAATGCAACGCTCCCCAGCCCGTGTGACTGGGCTTCACCTGTCTGTCGGGGAGCCCCCAAGTCTTTGCACTCCAGGGTTGGGCTCCCGCCAAGCTCTGTGGTGGGTGGGCACAGGAGTGCACCCCCTGCTGCCTGGCTGTCCCCAGCGCACTGTGAATTTGCTGCACGTGGCCGCACCATCCCAGTCCCACGGGACCAGCACAGCTCCCTGAGCCCCTGCCCTGTGGCCAACCCCTTCGTGGGCACTTGTCCCTGGCAGCTGGTCCTGGTTGTGTAATCACAAAGTAAAGTGTGGGGGCCGCCTCCCACCTCCCCAGCAGAGAGACAGAGGGACGGGGGACCACAGCCAGATGGTGGATATGGCCACTTGAGCGCAGAGCTGCTAGCAGACTTACAGAACATCTGAGGGGGTTGAGGTAAGGACACAGGCATGTTGGTCATTTACAGAGATAAACATTTGGCAGAGGAAATTCCCTTGGGGAGATCAACTCAAGGAGACACTGTTTCCCAGGGACATCTTTCCCCTAGTTGTGTATGTTACCAATACTTGCAGTTGTTTGGATAAGCACAGTAAGACAAAGATCCCAATACTTGTTTCTCTGTGCTAAGAGCAAGCAAGGCTTTTATCGAAAATCCCAGACTAAGTCCTCAGGCCAGTTCAGCTGGTCTTTCCCCATGGGGATCCTGGCTCTTAAGTCATAACAGCTTGCATCAGACCATACATTTATGATTCCTAGACTGTCCCATTTCGATGCTGGGGTGGCTTTGCCACTCACCCCCAGGACCATCCCAGTCCCACGAAGAGACCTTCCTTTTGTGGCGTTAGGAGCTACAGCAACTGAAGCCTGAATCAAGTGATTATGACCAAGCAATTACGCCCAGGAGTAGATATATTTCAGAGTCAATCAACTCCCCAAATACTAGAAGCATAACATTAATGGTCTTTCTGTGTTCAACCAGAAAGCGTATTTCACATAGTAAAGATAAGGTAAAGGTAAAGGCCCTCCCGTTGATCGTCGATTTGCTCAAGCGGGCCCAGTAACGTCTCCATTGGAGACTTTGCTGTTACTGTGTCTGGCATATCGAATACTCTCGGTAGCTTGCCGGGCTCTCCGAGAGGGGCGGAGGAATCGAACTCGGGTCGGCCATGTTGGCCGCTTGTAAGGCGAACGCCCTACCCGCTGTGCTATCGCTCCAGCCCCATTTCACATAGTAAAATAGAAAAAGACTATCGGGGAAATAGAAAAGCAGGTACAAATACACAGCACTCCAAATACAAAGCAGTACAAAGTTCAGAATTACCAGGAAGTTTTGGCTTATCAGTAATCAAGACTGACTCAGGGGGACTGAGACTATGCAAGTCAAAATACAAAGTAAAGGTTAAAGGTAGACTAACTAAATTAGACACAACAAGCTTCCCTGGGAGGAGGAAAGGGGCAGTTCACAGACGAAGCCTCGAACACTTAGGGTTAATATCCAACACTGGTGAGGTAGAATGCAGTTGCTGGGGTCCAGTCTCAATCCCTGCACTGTCCCGAAGGCAGGATTGGGGGGGTCCTTCGGGGGCCCCTAGACTCTCTGGGCCCCTTGCCCTTTCTCTTTCCTTTTTCCTGGCTGTGGGGCCACACCCAGTGATGTCTGCGGAGATTCCTGGAGCTGCTGAGGGACAAAAAAGCAGCGCCTGGCCTGCAGGGACTGAAACCCCATTACAGGGCAGGAAGGGGCCACTCACCACAGCCACACGCCCCCGCAGCCGCCTCAGAAGCTGCGTGACCACTGCAGCCCGGGCAGCCCGCGGCCAGTTTGCAGCACTGCTGGGCGGTCCTGGGCGGTTCCTGCTGCAGAACAGAGGCCCTGGGACAGGGCCTTGGGGGAGAGGTCCTGGAGGGGCCCTCAAGGGAAGGCAGAGCAGCACCCGAAGCAGCCCAACAAGCCGGCTCTGGCTGCGTCATTCTCTCCTTTGGGCACCACTGGGGTGACTGCACAGGCGCCCCCTCAGGTGGCATGTGGGAGGCAGCCCCTGGCCATTAGCTGCCAGGGGAGATGCAGTGGGCACGGGCAGGTGCCCTGCGGTCAGGCCCGGGGCTCCGGTGGGCTGTCCTCGCCCGGGTGGTAGGCCCCAGTGCCCAGGTCTTGGCTCAGGCATCTCTCTGTGGAGGACACACCATGTCAAACCTCCAGCACCGGCTGGGCCCAGCCCCTCCCACCTGCTCCAACAGGGTCTGCTTGGGGGGTCCACACCCGGAGGTGCTCAGGTGTCACTTCTGGGGGTTCAGAAGCCCCTGCTCAGTGCCGCCATGACCCGGGGCGGCCGTGCAGGAGGCCCGTGTGGGCCCCGGGCTCCTGCCACTCTGCAGGGCTGGTGGGATGAGACAGCCCACATGGGCCCCCCAGGAGCCAGGAGGGCCGGAACAGGCAGCGCTAAGGGGGGGAGGGGGGAGGGGGCCAGAAGACTGGGGGAGCCCCTGCCCCACAGACACCCACCCCCAATGCCCGCTGCAGCAGTGCCTCTGCCTCGACAGGTGACCCCCACCCCCAGCATCCTGTCCCGCCTGACCCTGGGGTCCCTCGGGGACCCTCATACCCACCTGCCTCCTCCAGGCTGGAGAAGTGCCGTAGGCCCTTCAGATCAGCAGCCAGCAGCACTCGGAGGACAGCGGGCTGTGGGAGGTAGGTCACAGAGAACCAGGGGAGGGGCTAGGACAGGGGCCCAGGAGAAAAGTCCAGGAGAGGGAGTGGGGATGGGACCTGGGAGATGCACTGGCCGGGGAGTGGGTGCCAGGGAGAGCAGGGTCCCAGTGGGCAGTGGATAACCCCTGCCATTGCGGTCACCCACCTGCAGGCCCACGAAGGCCAGGCTGATGCCCTGCTTGCGGGCCTCCTCCAGGAGCGTCCCGAGGCCCAGCGCTGCCGTGTAGTCCACACTGCAGAGGCCACTGCACTCCAGAACAGCGCGGCGGGGTGGGGGTGCTGGGGGCGGGGGCACGGGGGGTGGGGAGCAGTGGGGTGGTCAGACACGGACATCGGGTCGGGCGCGGGGCAGGAAGGGGATCCGGCTGAGGAGACCTCCCGACACCCCGCCCTGAAGGAGCACCGCGGGACCCCACTGCAGGGGTCCCCAGCTGGGGCAGGGGCGCCCGGCACATACCTCGCAGCGCGCGGCTGAGCACGGCCTCGCGGAGGGCATCGACGGCCGGGAAGTGCAGGCCACTGGCCAGCCGGACCACCAGTAACGGCCCCTCCGACACCTGTGGGCAGGGTGTGGTCCCATGGGGCCTCACAGGGGACCCCATGGAGACCCGCCCCCAGCTAGGACTTTAAGTAGCCGCCCAGGGCGGGCACTGGCCAACAACACTGGCATGCTGGAAGGGGCGTGGCCAGGCGGGACCGCGGTGGGCGTGGCCAGACGAGCAGAGGTGGAAGTGGCTTTGTGGGCTGAGGTGGGCAGGGGCTGGGCCACGGCGGGCGGGACCAGGGCAAAGGTGGGCGTGATCATAGGTCTGGGGTGGGCGTGGTCGGGCTGCGGTGGGCGTGGTCAGATGAGCTGAGGTGGGCGGGGCCTGGTGCAGACCGGGAAGAGATCCCCGGTTCCCATGGTCCCTGGACCTAGCCTGTTACTCCTGGGCACCTCTGCGTGTCACTCCCTCAAGCAGCCAGGTGTCGCTGCCCCTGCAGGATACCTGCAGCCCGGGTCACCCACACCCCTCACCGGTACCTGCAGCACGGGTCTAGCCACTGAGTACAGGAGGATGAGGAGGGACACCAGGACACCGGCCAGGATGCCATACTGCACCTCCCAGAAGCATAGCAGGAAGGTGGCCCCGAAGGGCAGCAGGTCCAGCCCTGGGGAACAGGAGCACCGAGCGAGTGTCCCCTCCCTGTCCTCAGCCTCTCACCCCATCCCCAGCTCATCCCAAGGCACGGCTGCTGGACCCGCTAATGGACATCTCTGGGGAACACGGGAGGCCAGCTCCCAGCAGCCCCATGCAGCCCCCAAACAGGAAACAGGCGAGGCAGGCCAGGGGAGCCGCTGGGCAGCAGGAAGGCCCCTTGGGTCACGCAGCCCCACCTCCTGACCCAGCCCAGGGACGCCCCAAGAACCCCGACCTCCCAGCTCTGCAGCCGGACAAAGGCTGATGACTGTGGCGTGGCCGGACACCCCGGCAGATACGCACACTTCACTCGCCACAGATGCCCCAGGATCTTGGTGTCGAATAAGGGGGCCACGGCCATGATGATGACCGCGGCCAGGGCGGACTTGGGGATGTAGCGGAACAGCGTGGTCAGGTAGCTCAGGGACAGCAGCACCAGCGCGCCTGCGGGCACAGGGACGGGATCATGCTTGCCCGGCCCCACTCCCCACCCCACAGGGACAGGGTTACGCCTGCCCGGGCCCGCTCCCACCCTACAGGGACGATGCGGGTGCTCACCTGTGACCAGGCCCCCTGCAGGGGTGCACACCCCAGACTGGGCGTTCACAGCTGTCCTGAGAGGAGAGGAGACCCTCAGTGTGCTGGGGGGGAAAGGGACGGTGGGGGGGGGGGGTCTGGGGCGGAGTGCAGGGGCCAGCGGCACACCCAGGCAGGGAGCAAGCGGAGCTGAGTCCCCAAGCCAAGCCAGGCTGCCCGTGGGGAGGCTTGGGACTACCACGGTGTTGGAGTCCTTTCCCTTCGAGAGTCTTCCAAGAACGCAAGAGACGGAGTCATGGGCTCCCCAGGAGGAGCGGCAGCGACAGCCGACCCGGGGCGGATATCAAGGGACAGACCCCAGAAACATGAAGTGGGGAGATGGGGACCCCTCCTGCTGTCCCGCGGGGAAGGACCCAGCACGGACAGGGCGCTCACCGTCCAAAGCTTCCTGTCACCGGGTAGGCGGACACCAGCGAGCCCAGCACATTAGTGAGACCTGGGGGGCATGTAGAGAGGGACAGGTCACCCTCTGGATAGGGACACGCTAGGGGGCACGAAGGTCTCAGCCGTCCCCTTCCCTGCGGGCTCAGGGTCCAGTTGCCCCCAGGACACCTGCTGTGTGCTGTGGCCCAGGCTGTCCCTCGCTTTGCTCTGCCGGACCCTCCTCACACGGGGGAGGGGGGGTTCACCGGACCCCCGACTCTGGGGCCACCTGTAGTGGTGCCCAGAACCCCAGATTCTATGGTGTGTTCGTGTGTCAGAAATGGGGTGTGGGCTCTACAGACAGGAGGGGCAGGGAGCAGGTTGGGAAGCTCGGAAGAATCGTGTGGCGCATGTCCCGGTGTCCCGCGGGCAGCTCTGCCCAGGGCCCTGGACTGGGGGACACCAGGCACCCCCCCCACTGTTGGTGCCCAGTGCGGAAGCCAGAACGGCATGGGGGGGTCTAGCAGGCCCCCCTGAATGCTGCCTGGCCTGAGCCCCGATTTCAGAGTCCGGAAAGTCCAGCCAGCCAGCTGCCCAGATCCTCAGGAGTCCCGGGTCTCAGCTCTGCTGCCCACGCACCGCCCAGGACGAAGTACCCCGAGAGAGCGAGACCCCTGCCCAGCCCCGACACGCCACGACAGCACACCAGGCTGTGTGGGGCTGTTCTGTCTGCGGTGCCCGCCCGCCCAGTGCTCTCCCTTCGGCACCCTCAGCAGCCCTGGTGCACCCCGCTTGGGAACCCTACACCATCAGCTGCTCTGCCCTCAGGGGTGGCACTCAGACTCAGCAGGGCACAGGGGTCAGGCAGAGCAGAGAAGGGGGCGCGCACGCCCAGACCTCCGTATGATCCACAGCGCGACTGAGCGAAGGTGACGCATGCCCAAGTCCCAGTCTCAGCACAGCGCTGGGGCAGCCTCGGTCAGACCCTGGCCCAAGGTCATGGTACACGCAGCTGCGCCCACCCCAGCCTGCTGGGACCCTCCCTGCCTGTGGCCCCCAGGCTCTCCTGGGCACCGAGCATGGCTGGACCCTGGGGTCAATGTGGGGCTCAGGAGGGGGCGGGCGGGCAGCCTCACCGATGGCCAGCAGCTCCTGGTCGGCATCGATGCGGTAGTCCCCCTGCGAGGCTGGACACAGAAGGGCAGTGTCGGCATGAGACTGGCCGGCCGGGAAGAAGTGGCTGCCATTGCCACCTCCCTGGCCCCAGGCTCAGGAGAACCCACCAAGGTGCCCGCTGGGCAGGGCAGGGAGAGATGGCACCCACCTCGCATGCATGGGGCTGGATTCCAGCCCCGCACCCACAAACCTACCACCGGGCCAGGCTGGATGTTGACCTGGCCCCGAGCACTGTTGGGGTAGCCCCAGGGGTCCTCACCAGGAGCGGCCTGGCCCCACGCGAGCACCCTGAGGCCCCTGAGAAAGGGTCCCACATCCTCCGTGTGCTTACACGGGGAGAAGATGCGTCCGAGACTCGGAAAGGCCAGCAAGGCCCTCATCGACCTGGACAGAGCCGACCCCGTAGTTGGGGGGCAAGGGTCAGGCTGGGGGAGTGGGCAGTGCTGAAGGGGGTGTGGTCAGTGCTGGGGGGTGTGGTCAGTGCTGGGGGGTGTGGTCAGTGCTGAGGGGGGAGCGGTCAGCGCTGAGGGGGGAGGGGTCAGTGCTGAGGGGGTGTGGTCAGTGCTGAGGGCAGTGCGGGTATCCTACCAAAGGACTTGGCCACAGCGATGCTTTCCAGGAGGCCCATGAGGGGCACCACAGCCAGCCCAGCCCCCATGTCCTGGGGAGAGAGGGGAGGCAAGTGGCTCTGGGCAGGGAACCTCAGAGGGGGATGGAAAGGCATGGACTGGGATACTCCCTCCTGTCCCCGCCTGAGACCTGTCCCTGGGCCCAGCACCCCTGCTCGCCGCCCACCTGCACCATCTCGGTGAAGGAGATCGTCCCATTCGCAGTGGACACGGAGAAGGGCGGCGGCTGGAGCGGAGGGAGTCCCCCGGCCGTCTCCCCGGAGAGCAGGAAGGGCTGCTGACCAGTCACCTCAAAGGCATACGCGACCAGGGCGGCGCCCGAGACCACGAGGGCATTGCGGGCTAGGACGGGAGGGGGACACTGGGACGCTGGGACCCTGGGACTGGGCACTGCCCCACCTCCTCCCAGCCTGCCTGGAGACCAGCACACAGGCCATGGCCAGAGCCCACGCTGAGGGCCACGGCCATGGGCGAGCCAAGTGGCCTCAGTGACCCACGGCCGCGGGCGAGCCGAGCAACTTCAGTGACCCACAGCCATGGGCAAGCTGAGCAGCCTCAGTGACCCATGGCCTAGTACCCCTTTCCGGGCCCCACCCAGCAAACACACTTGGGTCATCCCATCTGCACTTCTCTGGGGCTGCACCTCACAACTGCCCAGCCAGTGCCCCGTGGGGACTAGAGCCCCAGTGTGGGGCCAGCAGAGGCGCCCTCACCTGTGCCGGCCGTCCACACCAGCCCGTGGCTGAGGCGCTGACCGCAGGACGAGTGGGGGCCCACGGGGGCCAGATGTCCACGCATCAGCTTCAGGAGCAGCAGTAGTGCCCCGCACGCCAGGCCCAGTGTGGCGTCCCCCACCCTGAGGACAGAAGCTGGCACTGGCCACTGCTGTGCAGGACAGAGGAACCCGGGAGCCCAGGGCAGGAGAGGGCGGCTGCGGAACTGGGGCTCATTTGCAGCCCTGCCCAGCAGTTCCGGAAGGCCTCTCTTGCCCCCGGCATCCACTCCCACGGCCCCACAGGCTGGCCTGGACTCCCGGGAGCAGCGAATCTGGAGGGAGCTGAGGCCCGTCAAGGGTCAGCCTCGACCCTGCCTGGCTCCAGGTCCCCTTGGGTCACCTCCCCCCAGCCCAGGACAGCCCCACACCAGGGTTCGTGGCGGGGCGAGCTGTACCTGGCCTGGCCCAGGCTGCGGAGGGTGTGATAGACTTGCGGGAAGAACTGGCGGGGGAGGTTCTGCAGGCCCAGCAGGTTCTGGCCAGAGAGATGGAGCTGAGGTGGCCAGCCAGGAGGGCTCTGGGGGTCAGACGGCGGGGCAGGGTTGCCCATTTGGGGGTGGGGGGCCCATCCCAGCTCTACCCAGGGTTGGCCGTGCACCCCACTCCTGGCCGGGACCAGGAGGCGAAGGCCAGTGACGGGGACTGAACTCGGCAATGTGAGTTCGATCCCCAGCACCCTGCACAGTGCCCCGAGAGCAGGCGTCAGCCCGAAGCACAGCTGAGTGCAGTCCAGAAAGGAACAAACAAAACCGAGGCCAGTCGGTCCAAAAACAAACAAACGAAACTGAGGCCAGTCGGTCCCTGCAACGTAGACAAGTTGGCCCGAGCTTGGTCCAGAAATCCCGGCAAACCGGCCCATAGTAGTCCATGAGGCTTATTGGTGAGCTGCCATAACCCATCACTCTGAGTCCTGCCCAAGGGCCCGCCCCTGCCCTGCCGGGAAGAAGACTGAAACTGTGCCCCCCCCTCCCCGCCGTCACGGAGCCCCACTGTACCCACCCCCGCACCCCTGGGCATGCCCCTGCTTCCCAGGGTGCAGGTCCCAGAACCCTGCGCCCGCAGAAGCAAGTCCTGGACCCAGGCTCCCCAGGGGCGGCTTCTCGTTTGTTCTAGAAAACAATTATTTGGGGGAGCCAGAGAGATAGTGCAATGTGGAAGGCTCATGCCTTGCACACACACAATCTGGATTTGATCCCCGGCACCGCAAAGGGTCCCCAAGCTCCCTCAGGAGTCAGCCCTGAGCACAGAGCAGGGAGTGAGTCCTGCACACAGAGCCAGGAGTCAGCCCTGAGCACAGAGCCAGGAGTCAGCCCTGAGCACAGAGCCGGGAGTGAGCCCTGAGCACAGAGTCAGGAGTTAGCCCTGAGCACAGAGCCAGGAGTGACCCCAGGGCACAGAGCCAGGGGGAGCCTTGGCACTGCCAGGAAAGGCTCACCAACAGAAACAAAACTTTACAGGGACTCCACCCGGCAGTGCCCAGGGTCAGAGGTGGCCTGTTTCCCCAGGGCTTGGGGGTGGGGGGACTGGGTGAAACTCAATGTCACTCATGCTAGGTTTAAATAGAAAATCCCGGTCTGCCAAGCCGTGAGCAGGAAGTGGGAGTGAGAGTCAGGTGGCAGGTGGGCCGGGGAGGGTGGAGGGCAGGACAGGAGCCCCTGGGGTGAGCCCACACGCAAGCAGAGCCTGGGTTTCTGGCAGGGCTGGCTCTCAGTTCCCAGCTGGGACTGCTTTATTCGTGTGACCCCTGTTAGCACCCTGTGGACAGACCCCCCGCAGCACAGGACCTTCTTCGATCCTGCTGCGAAGGGGGTGCCCGCAGAGGGCAGGGTCAGCGCACGGCGCCTACCTTGATCTGCCCGAAGCCAATGGTGACGGCGGCTGCAGAGGTAAAACCTTTGATGACAGGGCAAGACACGAAATCCAGGAGGAAGCCTGGGGGGGGGCCAAAGGGACACTGGCTGGTCCACCCCGGCCCACAGAGGACACGGTTGGGAGCAGAGTGTGGGGTGCAGGGACCAAGGCCTGACCGGGCTCTACCCCCTAACCCACGGCACAGAACCTGGAGAGCAGAGTGAGTGCGGAGGGGCAGGGCACGCCCACGGATAGCTGCAGGGGCCCAGGAGGCCAGAGGGGAAGCCCTGGGGTCTCACCCAGACGCAGGCAGCCCATGGCGAGCTGGACACAGCCGGACAGGAAGGCCAGGAGCACGGCGAAGGCAGGCTGGCGCGGAGTGTAGGCCGACACGAGCAGCGACATGAGGGCCGTGGGACCCAGCGTCACATCCCGGGAGGTACCCAGGAAAAAGTACACGAAGCACCCCACGAAGGCAGAGTAGAGGCCGTACTGGGGGAAGACCAAGGGAATGGGTGCATGGGTACCTCACCCACGCGGGCACCAGCCACAGGGGCACTCAGCCCACCAGACTGCGGGAGCCACAGGGGTGCTCACCCATCCAGCCAAGGGCAGCCCACAGCCTGTGTCAGTCAGGGGCCTTAGGTAGCAAGTGCCGCGGACTCGGTAGATGCCAGACCGTGCCCAGGGGCGTCACCAGGCTCATATGCTCAGATAACAGATAACAGGTCTGGGCGTCAGGGGCGGCCGCGGCTCTAGCAGCCCCCCCCATCCCACCTAGGGGAGGCGGGACACTTCTATCCCACTGTGGGCAGGAGGCCGGGCTGGGGGCGGGCAGACCCCTCACCTGCGGGGGCAGTCCAGCCACCTCGGCATAGGCCAGGCCCTGCGGGATGACCGTGAGCCCCACCGAGAGCCCCGCGATGAGGTCCAGCCTCAGGCAGCGTAGGGAGTAGCTCGGAAGCCAGGCCAGGACCGGCAGCCGCCGGCGCAGTGCGAGGAAGCAGCGGCCCTGCCCGGGGGCGGGACCCAGCGACCTCCAGGATGGGGGCATGCCTGGGGAGGGGGCCACGGCCAGTCAGAGCCGGCATGGACAGGCTCCCCACGCAGGGGTCCAGCCAGCAGTCAAGTCTCCCAGACCCCCACCCACCCACGCTGACCTGGACCCCGAAATCCTGCAGGTGGGGTGGTGGACGTCCTCCCAGCGGCCACCCGCCCGACCCCAGGTGGCCCCGGGCCGCCCCCACAGCTCCACTAAGAACTGATGTCCACGTTGAGAGACTAGAGGGCAGCGCCTGCCTGGCACACAGCTGGCCCGGCTGGGCCCCGCCAGCCCCTGAGCACGACCGGACGTGCGCCCCCCCAAGAGGGTCGCCCTCCAGGAAGCGCGTTCCCGGGACCCCCAGGACCCCGGAGGGAGGAGCACGCGGCCTTGCGGGCGGGTGGCGGGGGCAGCGGAGCGCGCCCCGACGCGGAACTCGGTCTTCCCACGAGCCCGGCGCCTGGCCCGGCTCGCCGGTGTCCCACGTCCCCAGCTGGACCCGGAGTCGCCGCAGGTCCCACATTCTGGGCGCAAGCGACCGACCCCCGCCCCCGCCCCGCGCGTCCCGAGGCGCCTGCGGGGACCCCGCGCCCCCGCGCCCCGCACCCCTATACCTCCGCGCCGCGCGCTCACCTGCAGGGCAGCTCGGGGTCCCACGGAGCCGCAGCGAGCGAGACGCGAGAGACCCGCGGGGGGGCGGGGCCGTCCCACGTGACTGAGCGGGGCCGACCCGCGAGGAGGACGGGGCCGCAGCGGGCGGGGCGGGACCTACCCCCTGGAGGGCGGGGCCGGGGCACGTGACGGGCGGACCCGCGGGGAGGGCGGGACCGCGGCGGGCGGGGCGGGGCCTACCCCGGGGAGGGAGGGGTCTGGCCACGGGGCCAACCCGAGGGGAAGGCAGGGCCTCGGCGGACGGGGCGGGGCTGACCCGTGGGGGGCGGGGCCGACCCGCGGGGAGGGCGGGGCCTACCCGGGGAGGGCGGGGCTGGGGCATGTGACGGGGCGGGGCGGCCGCGGGGCGGGGCCTGAGCCGCCGCCATGCGCCCTGCGGGCCAGCTGTGCTGCGCGCTGCTGTTGGCGCTGGGACTGTGCGGCGCGCACCGGGCGCGTCCCCGGAACGTGCTGCTCCTCCTAGGTGAGTGCGTCCCGCCCTCCCACCGCCTCCAGGACCACCCCGGAAGCCGGGGCGCCCAGCGGAGACGGCCCGGCTGCAGGCCCGGGGCCCCAACTCAGACCCCCAGGGGTGGCCGGAGCCCCCGGAGAGCCCGGCGGGCGCCCGCGGGTGGTTCTGCCCCCACCCCCCTCCGCAGCGCCCAGCTGCTCACGGGGCGGCCTGATTCCTTCCTGCTGAGGTCTGGCCCGCAGCCAGCTTCCTCTTTGGCCAGCCGCGGGCCGAATCCGCGCGCCGCCCCGCGCCACCCACCGCCGGGAACCCACGGGTGCACCCCTGCCCCCGAGCGAGGTGGGCTGGAGTGTGCAGCGCTCGGAACTCGCCTCCGGCTGACCGAGGGCAGGGAGGTGGGGGCGTCCACCCGTTAGGTGCGGGCGGGCCTTCGCGGGGGCGTGAGGTAGGTGGGCACGAGCTGGCGGCGTCCGGCCCGGCCCCTACCCCAGTGAGAGCACGGGGCCCGGCGCTGCCCCCACGCTGAGCCGCGTGTCCCCTCCCTGCTCTGCCAGCGGACGACGGTGGGTTCGAGAGCGGCGCCTACAACAACAGCGTCATCCGCACGCCGCACCTGGACGCGCTGGCCCGCCGCAGCCTGACCTTCCGCAATGCCTTCACGTCGGTCAGCAGCTGCTCGCCCAGCCGCGCCAGCCTCCTCACCGGCCTGCCCCAGGTGAGGGCGGCGCTAGTCTCCCCGCCGGTGGGCTCGGGGGTCCTGGTGCCAAGCCAGTGTGAGGCTGGGCCTGGCTGCCCAGGAGAAGGCCGGCAGCGAGCTGTGGTCCGGCCAGTCCGGGTGTCACAGCTGGACACACCTCACTCCCCAGTCCGACTCCCAGACAAAGCTTGACACTGTCGCCATCACCCCAGCTACAATGTCCTCAGGGCCCTCCACCCCGCAGGGTACAGGTGTAGGCAGCACAGGTGTGAGTGATGCACAGGTGTGAGTGCATGGGTGTGTGCAGCACAGGTGTGTGTGTGTGTGTGTGTGTGTACCGGGTATGAATATAGTTGCATGCATAGGGGTGCGTGTACAGGGATGTGAGCGCAGGTGTGTACACAAGGGGTTTGTGTACAGGGGTGTGAGAGCAGGTGTGAATGATGCACAGGTATATGCACTGGGGTATGTGTACAGGGATGAGTGCAGGTGCATGCACAGGAGTGAGTGTACAGATATGTGAGTGCAGGTGTGAGTGATGCAAAGGTGCATACACAGGGGTGCATGTACAGGTGTGTGAGCGCAGTTGTGAGTGATGCAGAAGTGCATGCACAGGTGTGCATGTACAGGGGTGTGCGCCTCCGGCCGCACGTGTCCGCAGTCTGCAGGGCAGGTACCTGTGGGCGGTGGGGAGCACCTTTAATGCCTGGCTGCTGGGCCGGTGGGTGGGGACAGGCGCGCTTCTGGGCAGTGGCTGCAGGTGTCAGGGCATCCCACCTGGTCTGTCGCCCATGAGCTTGTGCCAGGCAAAGTTCCTGTGCCCTGGTCCCTAGCAGCTGCAGGAAGGGTGCCCAAGCCCCCGGAGTGGGCGGCTCCCAGGAGGTGTGTTTCCTGCCCGTGGGTCTTGGGAGTGATTGTGGGCCCACTAGGCCTGCGTGAAGGGCAGAAAAGCTGCTCTGTACTGGACCTCCCGTCTAAATGGGATCCATGAGGAAAGGACTGCAGGCTGCTCATGGCCTCTCCACCCGCAGCATCAGAATGGGATGTACGGCCTCCACCACGACGTCCACCACTTCAACTCCTTTGAGAGGGTGCAGAGCCTGCCGCTGCTGCTGCACAGAGCTGGGATCCGCACAGGTGAGGGGTCCCGGTCCCCCTCCTGCAGCACTCAGCCCCACGGACCTAGGCCTCCCAGCTGGGCAGCCCAGCCAGAGAATGGGGGCCGCGGGGGGCTCGGGCAGAGCAGGCGGCTGACCCCGGCCCACCTCCAGGCATCATCGGCAAGAAGCACGTGGGGCCAGAGGCCGTGTACCCTTTTGACTTTGCCCACACGGAGGAGAATGGCTCCATCCTGCAGGTGGGCCGCAACATCACCAGGATGAAGCAGCTGGTGCGGCAGTTCCTTCAGACTCAGGACCACAGGTGCCAGCCTCCGGCCCCCGCCACCCCACTCAACCCCCCACCCCGCCCCTGGAAGTGGGAGGAGAGAAGGTTCCAGAAACTGAAGGTAATCAGGTCAGAGGCAGAGGGGCACCAGACTCTTTTTTTTTTAACTTTTTAACGAAACACCGTGAGATGCAATTACAGACTTACACACTTTCATGATTAAATTCACTCATACAACGGTCGAGTACCCATCCCTCCACCAGTGCCCATTCTCTAGCACCAGTGTTCTCAGTATCCCTCCTGCCACCGCCCACATCGCCTCTGTGGCGGGCACATTCCCTCTTAATCTCTCCCCTTTTGGGTGTTGTGGTCTGCAGTACAGGTATTAAGTGGCCATCGTGTTCGGTCTATAGTCTATTTTTGGCCGCATCTCCCATCCCAGCGCAGACTAGGTTCTTGGGGAGCAGTGAGTGCTGATCCCAGAGCCCCCCCACTCCCAGGGAGGCCGGGGGTGCTGCTCAGCCCCTCAGCACTGCCCCCCACACCCCTCTGCCCACGCAGGCCCTTCTTCCTCTACGTGGCCTTCCACGACCCGCACCGCTGCGGCCACTCCCAGCCCCAGTACGGGCCTTTCTGTGAGAAGTTTGGCAACGGGGCGAGCGGCATGGGGCGCATCCCAGACTGGACCCCGCAGACGTACGACCCACAGGACGTGCTGGTAGGACCCCAGTGCTCCCCAGAGCACGACCAAGAGACCCCAGAGAGAAAAGCATGGGCACTGGCCCTTTGTCCCCCGGCTGGACAGTGCAAGCTCAGCGTGGCCATGGCACCTGTGAGGCCCTGGCTTCTGTTTCCACCACCACAAAAGCAGAAACAGGATGTCTCGGGTGGGAGCCCCGAGCACCACCAGGGGTGGAGCGAAAAACAAGGGTTTATTTTAGGGCCAGAGTGAAAGCACAGTGAGGAGGGCGCTTGCCTTGCACGGTGCCAGCCCGGGTTTGATCCCCTCCATCCCATAGGGTCCCCTGAGCACCGCCAGGAGTGATTCCTGAGTGCAGAGCCAGGAGCAACCCCTGAGCATCGCCGGGTGTGACCCAAAAAACAACAACCAAAAAAAATTCTTAAGTCAGTGAAACATCTTCTCCATCAGAGGCTGGGCCCGTCCCTCAGGCCCTGACTCTGCCCATGGCCCGCAGGTCCCCTACTTCGTCCCTGACACCCCTTCTGCCCGCGCTGACCTGGCGGCCCAGTACACCACCATCAGCCGCATGGACCAAGGTAGGGACGGGGCAGGCCAGGATCCCAGACACCGGGTGCTAGGCAGGATCCCCTGGGGGTCCAGAGTGGACGGGCACTCCCTGCTGGACTCGGGCCGGCTGCTTGCTCATTTGTGGGGGCCTGGGGATGGTGGGGCTAAGGGGCTCCATGGGCAGAAGCAGGAATGGGGAGCAGCGGCGGGTGGCACAGGGTGGGAGGGGCTGGGGGGGTTGTGGGGAGGCGCGAGCCCCACTCCCCACGGTGCCGTGCACCCCACAGGCATTGGGCTGGTTCTGGAGGAGCTGCGGGGAGCCGGCGTTCTGAACGACACCCTGGTCATCTTCACATCCGACAACGGGGTCTCCTTCCCCAGCGGCAGGACCAACCTGTACTGGCCAGGCACTGCCGAGCCCCTGATGGTGTCCTCCCCGGAGCACCGGGCACGCTGGGGCCAGGTCAGCGAGGCCTACGTCAGCCTCCTGGGTACGTGCCATGGCAGGGGTGTTGGGGGCCGCACCCCGCCATGGGCAGGGGCGCTGGAGGACCGAAGCTCAGGCAGGGGTGCTAGGTGCCGCACACCCTCTGGCGGGGATGCCACCCACCTCCCCAGCTATGCATGAGGCCACGGGTGCCGTGACCGGGCCAGTGTGGGGCAGCTGCAGCAGCTGCGTGAGCCTCCCACCCTCTCCCGCAGATCTGATGCCCACCGTGCTGGACTGGTTCTCCGTGGCCTACCCGCGCTACTCCATCTTCGGCTCCCAACCCGTGCAGCTGAGTGGCCGCTCCCTGCTGCCCGCGCTGCAGGCCGAGCCGCCCTGGGACACGGTGTTCGGCAGCCAGAGCCACCACGAGATCACCATGGCGTACCCCATGCGCTTCGTGCAGCGCGGCCGCCTGCGGCTGCTGCACAACCTGCACTTCCAGGCACCGTTCCCGGTGGACCAGGACCTGTACGTGTCGCCCACCTTCCAGGACCTGCTCAACCGCTCGGCAGCCGGTGCGCCCACCCACTGGTACAAGGACCTGCGTGCCTACTACTACCGTGCGCGCTGGGAGCTCTACGACCGCGCCTGGGACCCCCATGAGCTGCGCAACCTGGTGGACGACCCGCACTACGCCGAGGCGCTGCAGCTGCTGCAGGCCGAGCTGAGCAAGTGGCAGTGGGACACGCAGGACCCCTGGGTGTGCGCCCCCGGGGGCGTCCTGGAGAGCCGCCTCTCACCCCAGTGCCAGCCGCTGCACAACGGGCTGTGAGCGATGGGCCCCGAGGCCGGCCCCCCCCCTCCTGTGCTCAAGCTGGGAGTCCCGTGATCCCAGCATGTGACAAGGTGCGGGCAGGCGCTACAGGCATTGGCGGGGGGAGTCCTCTCTGCACTCGGGGCAGCCGTTGGCTTTGGTCCTGCCTGATCTCCTGCAGAGCCCCCAGGACCGCCAGCCCGTGTTCATTTCCTCCCCAACCCTGGACAGGTAACCCCGGGACTTCCCTAGTGACACTCAGTGTCCGGGTCCCTGAGGGCCTGAGTCCATGCCAGACCCCCACCCTGCGCTGTGCCTTGGAGAGGCCCCCCTCCGCCGGGGACCCCCAGCCACCCCAGCAGCCCTGGGGTCCGTAAGGAGGAGGCTGCAGACCAGAACTTTGGAGTTGCTTTTTTTTCATCAGTAAAGTACATGAAGGTTCTTGTCTGAGCCGGGCAGGCATGTCTGGGAGCCCTGAGGGCCGGGCCAGGGTTCCGGAAGGCACTCGGGGCTGTGAATGTGAATGGGAGGCCCCATGGGTACCCCGAGGGTCAGCCCTCTGTGCCCACAAACTGCCTGGATAACTGGGTGGGTTTGCGCCCAGTGGAATTCAGATCTTGGACTCTGTACAGCGCCAGGGAGGGACAGAAAAGCGGGGTCCCTGGGGGGAACCTGCACGTGGGGAGGGGCGGGGTGGGGATGCTGAGAGCCAGGGCCCCCGAGACTGCAGCTGTGGGGGGCACGGGAGTCAGCGGGGTCTCCAGGGGGCGGCAGGACCCTGCTCTACCCACACCAGCTTCTTCTGCTCCTCAGCTACCGCCTGGCGCACACAGACCAGCAAGGCGTCCAGGTCACCCCAGCTGTCGGAGGCCAGGCTTCTCGCCAGGCAGGGAGCCCCGTCCAGCTCGCCCTCCTCCTGCCGGGCCACCTCCAGGAGCTGCTCCTCGGAGCTGCCCAGTCTCTGCAGGGCCTTCCTGCAGCAGAGCGGCGAGTGAGTGGGTGCTTGTTCCCAGGGAGGCGCCATCCCCTTCCCCGGCCGGCCCAGTCATAGGCCCAGCGCCCACCTTAGCCTCTTGGCTGCCTTCTCGTTGATGGAGACGTGGAGGATGATGGGGAAGATGTCCATCCCGTGCAGGGCGCGGGCACTGGCCACACCCACGTCCAGGACGGCATGCACGTTCTGAGGGTTCAGGGAGGACAGTCAGGATCCCGCTCCAGCCACCGAGGGGCCAGGAAGGCGCAGAGGCACGTGTCAGCTAATGCAGCACCATGGAGTAGAGCAGCCAAGCCTCCTGCAACACCAAACCAGGGTGCGGGCCAGAGCCGACCAAGCATGCGCTCTGTGTGCCCCAGGGGGCCCCATCACTGCTGGTGCGGCCCCCCAAGAAGAGAGGCAGGTGGGCCCTGTGCGCCCGCTGGCGGGGCTGCCACACCTCCTCCCTCTGCCTGGGTAACCTGCAGCCCTCCCCCACCCCCCGACCTCACGGAGGGGCTTCAGGGTTCGGGGACACTGAACAGGGAATGGGTCTGGCCCGGGGCCCCTCACCTTCTCCATGAGGGCCTCCAGGGCTCGGCGGGTGAGGCCGCAGTGGTTGCCGGGCGCCCCCCGCTCCAGGACCACCTCTCCCCGCTGGCTCAGGGTCACATACTCCTCCTGGCTCAGGTGCTCTGGCGGCCACATCACACACCTGTAGGGAGGCCTGCGGGGCCAACGCCGCCACCTCCAGAGGATTCTCCCCCCGCTCAGCAGACTGACCATCCCGGGGACCCATGGGGGTCAGAGGGACAGGCGGGTGGTGGGCAAGGCATAGACCGTAGACAGGTGGGCACGGGGGAGGGTGCGCAGATGCACACAGGGATGGAGAGATGGATGCCCGGACAGATGTGTGGCCGCGCCAGCAGCTCTGAGCACCCAGGAATGAGTAAGGGCAGGGGGGAGGGGTCCAGGAGGTGTCACCGGGCAGGGAGGGTGGGCGTGCAGCTGGTTCCAGGGACAGGCTCACCTGCAGGACATCGTGTGAAGCCCTGGAGCAGGCCCAGTTTCTCACCCAAGACCCTGCCCACCAGCCGGGGCACGAGCAGCAGCGGCCGTGGCTGGTGGGGCCGGTGGGGGCGGACCAGGGTGTACGGTGCCAGGGTGAGGCTGCTCGGTGCCCAGAAGCGCCCGCCGGGGGACTCTGCAAAGAGGGATTTGTGAGGGGGGCACCCTGCCCGGTCCTGCCAGGCTGCATGGGGATGAGGGTACGGCCGGAGGAGAAATGGGGATAATGGACAGAGGGACCCTGCCCCCCCATACCTGGGCTAAGGGCCTCCCTCTAACTCTATCTGTCCACACCCGCAGGGCCTGGCTGCTATGCTGAGGCCATGGAGACAGTGTCCAGGAAAGGCCCTCAGCACACGAGGGTCCAGAGCAGTGCCTACGGCCCAGGGAGGGGGTCACGGCCCCCATCTCACCTTCCGCCCTGCCAGAGTCCCGCTGGGTCCCATCGAAGGACGAACACTGTTGGCTCACCTCAGCTCTGTCTGTGCTGATGATGCGGACCACCTTCTGGGGGCCCCCGGGAGCCTGCGGGGCAGGGGGACCGTCAGCAGGTCCCAGAGGGCTCCAGGATAGAGGCTGACTGGGTGGAGGGGGCACCTCTGCCAGCAGAGGGCCACTGAGGGTACGTGCCCCACTGAGCCACCTGCCCGCCTGCAGCTGGGTGCCATGGGGGCTGTTGTGACGGAAGCTGGGGCACAGGCCCGGGGCCTCCCGTCTTCAGCCACCGCCATCACCTCACCTTGCGGGCACTTCCGCTCTGCTGCGCCAGTTCCTGGATCAGGGCGAGGAGCAGCCGCTGGGCCCTGCGCGAGGACAGAAGCTGGCTGACCCCGCGCCCGCAGGCTCTCCTGGCCGGGGCCCCTGTGCCTGCCTGTGGGTGCTGGTCCCCGGGAGTCCCAGAGTGAGAGGGGGCTAACGCCCCACGCACTGCGGTACCTGCCTAGGCTGGGGGGGGGGGACCCAGGATCTGGTTCCCAGAGGTGACGCTGCTCCCAGCAGGGACCCCAGTCAGGACAAACCGGGTCACCCAGGGACACCATCATGAGGATGGTGATTTCAGGCATCTCACGAGGGGTGGGGAGAGCCCTAAGTGGACATCTATAATAGCTTCTAACCAACCTGGATGCCCCACTCCAGAATGGTCTAGAAGGTTCTAGAATTCCTGCCCTGTGCACTCACCCAGCATAGTTGGGGATGGTGCCGCGCTCTGAGCCCTGGGTGCTGTAGGGGCCCACGCGGGTGGCGTGCCAGCAGGCACGACCCTGGAACACCGTGTCGGTGACGTGCAGGATGTCATTGCAGCGCACAGGAAGTGCTCCGGCCGCCTGCTCTGCCATGGCCAGGTTGGCCCGGATGAAGAACGAGTCCCCCGAGGTGACTGCCCGGGCCTCCAGCTCCTGCAGCAGCTTCTTGTACCCTGCTCGAGGATGGTGGCAGATGAGCACAGGGCAGGGCCCACGAGGAAGGTTCTGGGATGGGGGCACGGGTGATGGGAAGGAGCGGGTTGGGCTCACGCGGGAGGCCACAGAGCTGGGGCAGGCCACGGGACGGGATGTACCATCCGTGTTGCGCCTCACGGACAGCCTGCAGAAGCCCGCCACCCTCCCCAGGAGGCGCAGCGCCTGCTCCAGCGTCGTTTCCTCCAGGCCAGCCTTGAACACGGGGTCGGCAGCTTCGCTCTCCACCTGCAGGCCAGCACACGCTCACCCCTCCCCTTGGACTCGGGGCTCTGGCCAGCCCTCTCCTTCCCCCACCCCAGGAACCAAAGACAGTCCCCAGGGCTCACTCCTGGCTCTGTGCTCAGAGATCACTCCTGGTGGGCTCCGGGGACCATAAGGGATGCTGGGGATAGAACCCTCATTGGCCATGCACCAGGCAAGCACCCTCCCCACCATGCTATCTCTCCAGTCCAGTCTCCACTCTTGAAAACCTCCTTTCTAGAATGTTCTAGAACATTCTTGGTTTGGGACTGTTGACATTTCGGGGATCATTTGGGGAGGCCCCAGGCAGGACAGGAGTGAGGAGCTCTCTAGATGCCATAATCTCCTGGGGTCCCCCGCAGAAGCGCCCACTAGGCTCTCTTGCCCCTCAGCCTCTGGGCTGTTTGAGTGACGCCCAATGACTAGACGTGAAGAGGTGTCTCTCATGCTCCTGAGAACTGGCTGCATGTGGACACAGGCCCCCAAACATCACCAGACTGGGCACCTGGGAACTTCTAGGCCTGGCTGGGATGGAAGGAGGGCCCTGTAGCGGCACAGAACGGGGGGTGACATGTAGAGGGACCGGTGTGCACAGACAGAGCTGGGCAAATGACAGTGGCCCCAGGGTCCAGGGGTCATTGGGTACACTGACCCCTTCACAGTGGGCACCGTCTGTCTAGTCCTATGTTGAACTCATAGGGTGACCCTATGTCCCAGGACATAGCGTTGGGGGCCCAGCAGAGTGCCCACCTCCTAAGGGGCTACACCACCTCTGCCCTGATCACCCTGGACCTGAGGTTATGGGGCCAACCACCCTGCCTGCCCCACACGCACCCCAGGACCCCTGCCCCCTCCTCCCAGAGCCCCCATCACCATCAGGATCTGGGTGCCGGGGCGCAGAGCCATCTGGTCTGCTGCGGAGCCTGGCGTGACGCGGTGGATGAAGATGCCTGTAAGGTTCCCACCAACGACGCTGATCTGCTCCAGCAGGCCGCGGCCCTGGAAGGCCAGCACGGTGGGGTGGGCAGGGGCCTTGCAGGCCGGCCGCCGCCGTCGCACCTGCACACTGCTGCGGGGAGGAGCTGGGTGAGTGTGTGCATGTCCGTCTGCCTGTATCTGTGTGCGTATCTGTGTGTCTGTGTGTGCCCCTGTGAGTGTGCCCCCCATGTGTACAGCTCCATGAGTGTGTGCTTTTGCATGCATGTCTGTGAACATGTTTGGTTTTCTATGTTTGTGTGCACACATCTGTGTCTCCATGTGTGCATGCGCATGTCCACGAGTGTGTACTGTGTGTGTGTGTGTGTGTGTGTGTGTGTGTGTGAGCAGGGCAACCCTGCTGAGCCAAGCATGCTGGCATTGTCCCCGCCTCTATGCAGTCCCCCAGACTGTGGCACTTCCCCACTCCACTAGGACCATCCTTCCACTGTCCCCTGCCTGTCACAGGTACCCACTGCCCACCTGACTGAGGCATCAAGGGCCGTGGACGGTGGCTGCAGGCTGCATTCCAACTCAGGAAGGTCTAGAAAGAGGCCAAGATTGGACACTAGCCCTGTTAGCCTCAGACGCCTCCCTGCCCCATGCTATGAAGCTGGACCTTTTCATAGAGCGGCTGTGTCTTCAAGTTCTTCTGGAGAGGTACCAAGAATTTGCAGGCAGGCTTCCTAGACACTCAGAGACACTCAGGGCCCGTCCTCCCGCACGGGATACGCCCCCTTCAGGACATGCCCCTCTTGGACACTTCCTCGGGACACTTCCCTTCTGCGGGACACACCCCTCTGCTGGACTTGTCCTCTCTGCTTGGCCCAGCGTTTCTGCACTCCTGTCCTGGGTCAGCGGGCAGCAGCGCCCACCCCACGGGGAGGGCAGGGCAGCCACAACCCCTGCTGGGCCTCTCTGGGCCACACACTTCTAGGTGCGCTGACCACCTCACCCCTGATGGCACTCAGGCACTCTCGGGCTGCCCTGAGCCGCGTCCTTGTTCTGTTCTAGCTCAAGAGCTCCAGCCTGCACGGGGCAGTGGGGGCCGGGCTACTCACCTGCCCTGTCCACGATCTCATAATCCAGCTCTGTGTCCACCTTTGCTCCCAGGGAGCTGCGCAGGTCGGCCTCCTGCACCTCCAGGAAGCCACTGCTAGTATAGGAAGAGGGGGAGCCTGGGTCATCCACTAACACCCCATAGCCACACCCAGACCCACACCCCAGCCCCAGACCCACACTTAGACACAGACCCACACCTGCACCCAGACCCACACCCAGACCCAGACCTGAACCTAGACCCACATGCAGACCCACATACCCCCCCCCCACACACACACACCCGCTCCCCCAGACCCACGCTGGCCCTGGCCAGGTGCTCCCAGGGTGCCAGGACTCCCCGTGCCCCTACCTGGAGGCCCAGGGCTCCTCCCAGAAGTCCGCTCCCCGTCTGCACAGGGACAGCTGGCTGGGGGGCAGCGGGCTGCTGGAGCAGAAGCTGGATGCCAGCTCGCGGCTGGACGTGGCACTCAGGTCAGACCAGAGCTGAGATGGGGACAGGTGGAAACACGGGCTCCCATGGGCCGCCGCCCCCCGTGACCCCTCAAAGCCCACCCCCTCCTGAGCCTACCATGCCCGGAGCCCCTGATGGCGGGGAAGGGTCGTACCTCGGAGGTGTTGGGAGAGCCCCCGTCACTGTCACTGTCCTCACTGCGTGGGCAGAGGGCGAACATGCGCACCAGCCTCTGCTTCCCCCTGAGGCCGGGCTCCCTGCCCCCCATGTCCTGCGGGACAGGGTCTGCTCAGAGCCCACCCTTCCGTCTTCCCGCCGTTTCCCCAGGCACACGGCTCTTGGGGGGCAGGGAGAGGCCGCCATGCGGGTCTCACCTACCCACCCGGGCTCTCCGGGAAGTCAGCTCAGCACCCCGGTACCTGGTGCCCCGCTATCAGCGTGTTGCAGCTGTGAGAGCAGGTGGCCACTTCCCCAACCCCCGTTCTCTCCCTCTGGACCCCATGCTTCGTGAATTCCAGAACCTTCTGCCAGGCTGCGGTCTACAGACCACCTCTCAGAGCTGAAGCAGACCAGCGTCCCGCTGTGCGTGTCCAGCATGGGGGCTCAGAGGCCAGGCAGACTCACCCCACGCGGCGCCTCAGCCCGCAGCCGCCGCAGCTCCTGGCGCAGCTCACAGACCTCGTGGCTCAGCTCACAGACACGCCGGCGAAGCGCGTCCTTCTCCGTCAGCTTCTGCGAGATCTCCAACTGGGCGCCGTCCCTCGCAGAGTAGGCCTGCGGGGACACGGTGCGGACAGTCCATGACATGGCACGACCCGTCACGGACACACATGAACACGGCACGGACACGGAACAGACACTGCATGGACATACACATGGCAGACACGGGCTGCCTGAGCCTGCCCACCGGGAGCCTGGCCAGAGGGGCAGGAGAGCAGGTGTGAGCCCACTGCACCCAGCAGCCCCCACTCTCCCACCCACCCACCACTCTCACCCCCACACACCCACACACTCACCCACACAAACATCCACCACTCTTTTTTTTTTTAATTTTATTGAATCACCGTGAGATAGTTACAAGCTTTCATGTTTGGGTTACAATCAAACAATGACACCCATCCCTCCACCAGTGCACAGTCCCCACCACCAATATCCCCGGTAGACGCCCCCATTTCCCACCCTCCCACACCCACCACTCTCACCCCCCATGTGCACCCACTGCTCACACCCACACACATACCCACCCACTCAACCCACTCACTCTCCCCACTCTCATGCACCCACCCACCGACTTACCCACCCTTCCTCTCACCAACCCACCCTCACCCCCACTCACCCACCCACCCACTCTCACCCACCCACCTACTCACCCACCATCTCATCCACCCACAGCCACCTTGACTGTCACAGCTGGACAGTAACACCCCACTGGGGTGTGATTTTCATGCAGATCCCCTTTCTCAACCCTCTTGTGAAAGAAGCAGGAGATGAGCCCGGTGCAGGCAGTGGGGGAGTCAGGACACCCCGTGTGGACCCGAGAAGAGGCCCGGAATCCGCTCAGTGGCCATGGAGGGCGGGGGCTGCCTATCTCCGGCCTCCAGGCCCCCCCCAACCCCCCAGAACGCCCGCTCACCTGATCCCGCTCCTCCTGCAGCTCGGCCACCTGGCTCTGCAGGGTGCTCGCCTGTGCCCGGTAGATCTCGCAGTCCGCCTGGGCCTTCTGGAACTGCAGCAGCGTCTGCTCTTTCTCCTCCCAGCACTGTAGGGCGTCAGGCTGAAGTCAGCGTGGGCAGCGGCGACCCAGGGAGCCACCCTGGAGCACATGTGCTCCCTCCATGGGGCGGGGGTGGGCACCAGGCCCCAGCTGAGTCTGGGACGAGGCTCTGCAACCTGCAGTCACCTGCTGGCGGAGCCTGCTCTCCGCTCTTTTGCTTTTGTTTATTTATTTTTGGGTTTTGTGCCACACAGCTAGGGCTGACTCCTAGCTCTGTGCTCAAGGATCACTCCTGGTGGTCTCAGGCGACCATCTGGAGTGCTGGGGGATCGAACCTGCATTGGCTGTGTGCAAGGCTGTGCCCTCCCCGCCGTCCTGTGGCTCCCGCCCCTGACCATGGGTTTAACCCTCCGAGTACGGTTTACTCGACACCGGCGAGATGCTCCTGCTGGCAAGCAGAGCGCCGAAGATTCTAAGAGCAACAGCTGGCCCGGGAAAGCGGCTGGGGCGAGGCAGGGCTGGACTGTGTGTCCCAGGCGGACGCCTGTCACCTGCTTGCGATGCGTCTCGGCGGCTACAGCCCGGGCCCGTAGGGAGTGGATCCGGTCCACCAGCTCCTGCTTGCTCTCCAGCGCCTCATCCAGGCTCTGCTCCAGGATGTCCTTCTCCACCTGGGGAGAGCCAGTCACCGTTAGGGGGAGGCGGGGAGCACCTGGAGCACGGGGAGCATGCAGAGCATGGGGAGGACGGAGAGCCCTGGAATATGGGACCACGAGGATCATGGGAGCACTGGCAACACAAGGAGCACTGCACGCACGGGGAGTGTGGGGAGCACGGGGATCACCGTGGGCCTACCAGGCTGAAGGTCAGGGCCGGCTGCCTGTTGTTCTCCTCCTGCGCCTCCTGGCCGTCGGGCGCCGTGCCCAGCCCCAGGGTGCGCGCTCGGAACTCCCGCTCGCACGTGGAGGAGAGCTTCTCACGCTGCAGCTCCTGCTGTGCCAGGTACAGCTGTGCAGGGGGGAGCGAGGGTGGTCGTACAGGTGAAGGCATCGGCCTTGCACTTCAGCCCACCTGTGATCCCAGTCTTACAGAGTCCCCTGAGCACCGCCAGGAGTGATCCCTGGCACAGAGCCAGGAATCAGACCCCGCATCGTGGGGTCTGGACCCAAATCCACAAACCTACAAACCCAACTGTGTAGGGAGGAGGCCAAGGGCACCCAAGGGTGTCCCACCTCTGGGCCTCCAACACCACCAGTCCCGACTCCAGTTCTGCGGTCCAGGAGGCAGAGGGCCCAGCAAAGGCCGAGGAGCCCCTCCCCTCCAGCCCTTTCCTGAGGCCCCCAAGTTCAGTGAGTCCTTCCCCGTCACTAGACGGACACCCCAATACTCGGGGTCATGGGGGCTTGGACACTCTGGCTGTGTGTCAGGGGAGGGCGCCGGCAGGACAGAGCCCAGGAAAAACATGGCCCCTGAGCTGCAACCGGGCCTCGCCAGCCCGGCGCCCCAACCCAGGTCGGCTGTGTGCAAAGTAAGAGCTGAGTCTGTTAAACTGGCACCTCATAGGGTCCCTCACAGAATCAGATGGGCGCCTAGCTGGGGTGAAGTGAGCTGGACATGGGCCTGGACCTCTGTGATGAGAAAGTGTGGCTGAGGGGAGACAGACAGATGGACCAGCCAGGGACCAGGGTACCCAGGAGAGGGATAAAAGGGCCAGCCAGGGCACCTGGGGCCCTACCACCATGTGTATGATTCTTGTAGGAGCAATAGCACAGCGGGTAGGGCGTTTGCCTTGCATGTGGTCGACCCAGGTTCAATTCCTCTCCCCTCTGAGAGCCCAGCAAGCTACCAAGAGTATCTCGCCCACATGGCAGAGCCTGGCAAGCTCCCCGTGGCATATTTGATATGTCAAAAACAGTAACGACAAGTCTCACAATGGAGATGTTACTGGTGCCCGCTCGAGCAAATCGATGAACAACAGGAGGACAGTGCTACGGTGCTAAAGAGCTAAAAATAGGGCTCAGGAGTTGCACAGACAGTACTGCAGGCGGGTGCTGGCCTTGCACACTGCTGACCCGGATTCAATCTCTGACATCTGGTCCCTAAGCCCCTTCAGGAGTGATCCCTGAGCGCAGCGCCAGAGGGAAGCCCTGAGCACAGGAGGGCACAAAGAACAAAAATGAACATTAGGGCTCAATGTCTCACATGTGTGAGACCCTGGGTTAGATTTCTGGCACCACAATTTTTTTTCTGCTTTTTGGGTCACACCCGGCAATACTCAGGGGTTGCTCCTGGCTCTGCACTCAGCAATCACTCCTGGGGGTGCTCGGGAGACCATATGGGATGCTAGGGATTGAACCCGGGTTGGCCGTGTGCAAGGCAAACACCCTCCCTGCTATACTATCACTCAGGCCCTGGCACCACAATTTCTAAACAAACTTTAATAAACAGATGTTAAGGAGCTCACTAGGTAGACAAAAAAAAAGCAAAGCAAATGCTAAAGATGGGACGACCACCTTCAGTGTGTAAAGAGATTTTTGTGAAGCAACAAGATGTTGACCCCAACACAAAGGAGTGAGGGTGAGATGGGGGCTGGGGGGGTTGGCTGAGAGACGAGGGGGCACAGAGGCAGGCATCCTCTCCCCGGAAGCCACGTCCTGTAGGGATGGCCGAGTCTCCAGATCCATAACCCAGCGTGGCCGGACGGAGGGCAGAGGGGGAGGTTGTGGGGACTCCCATGGGGACCTTGGGGTGATTAGGCCGGGGCGGCAGCCAACGTGGTGGGGTGGCCCTACCTCCTCCTGTAGGCGGTGGCAGCGCGAGCTGGCCAGCTCCTTCTCCCTCAGTGCATGCCCGTGCTGCAGCGAGAGCCCAAGAAGTTGGTCCTTGAGCTTCAGCACCTCGTGGAAGTGGGTGCTGAGCTCTCGCTTCATGCGGTCGTGCTCGGCCTCCAGCTGGCTCAGGCCCTGCACCCGGGCCTCCGCCAGGTCCAAGCGCTCCTGCAGCCGCCGGCACTGCGCCCGCAGAGCCTCCTTCTGCCCCTTCTCCTGGCTCAGCTCCTCCTGCAGGCTGCTGATGGCCCCTGCCAGACACTCCGTCAGCTTGGACGTCTCCATGAGCCCTGTGGGATGGGCCCGGAGGGTCACTTGTGCCCACACCTGTCTCGTCCATCCTGGGTTTCATCAAGCCACCCAGACTGGCAGCCCAAGACAGCTGTCGCCAGTCGGTTCAGTAATGGGGGTGACGGGAGACTCAAGCACAAGGGTATGGGTGCCCCCAGCTTCCAGTGAGACCCCACTGTTCAGGCCCCTCGTCAACAGCTGGGAATGTCATCCTAGGGAAAGGGACAGCCAGGTGACATCAACGTGACGGGGGAGCTGAGCAGGCAGGAAGCGTGGCAGGAGGCTTTGAGCCACACCCAACCTCTTCCCTGGAATTTCAGTTTTGGGGGGACCCTGCTGTTGATGTTGGGGGGCCATCAGGGCGACATAGGTGGGACTGCAAGGCCACCGCCATTTCCAGCAGTGGGCAGGGAGCCCTGGAGTGGCAGAAATCGGACCCAGGGTCTGGAAGATGCAATGCATTTGCCTGACCCTTTGCGCCACATCTCCGGACCTCCCCAGCCTGGCTAACCCTCCAACAGCTGCATCCTGGACAGCCAGAGCTGCTCGTAAAGGATGTGGCCAGGGCCCGAGCCACAGGACAACGGGGAATGTATCTGCTTGGCACGTGGCTGACCCAGGTTCAACCGGATTAATTCCTGAGTGCAGAGCCAGGAGTAAGCCCTGAGCATCCCCAGGTGTGGCCCTCAAACCAAAAAGATAAAAAGGAAGGGGTGGTATCACGGCCGACCTGAAAGGACCCTTCCTTCCCTGTGGTCCCGCCTCTCCAGATGGCCTGGGCCACGTCCCCCGGCTTCTCCCCTAGGCCCCGCCCCAGGCTCCACCCATGGGGCCCTCCCCAAGCCTCGCCCCCCATAGATCCTGCCTCAGGCCCCACCCACCGACTCCACCCAAGGCCTGCCCACCCGATCCCGCCCCAGGCCCTCTCGTGCCCCGCCCCAGGCTCAGGCCCCGCCTCCAGGCTCGCTCAGGCCCCGCCCCTCTCTCTGTCTGCCCCTCCCCCTCCTCGCCGCTGGTTGCGCCCAGGTGGGCTCCTCTGTGGTTTAGGGGAAACCCGAGTTGTGGGTGCGCCTCACCGCTGAAGTTGCTGCCATCCACATCGGGCTGCAGCCCCGTGAGCAGCGTGTAGATGTCGGGGTTGTGGAACTTGAGGCTCTCCAGGAAGGCGATGGCCCCGTTCTTCCCGCGCGCCTTCAGCAGGTCCAGCAGGTGCCCTGGGGAGACCCTCCGGTGACATGGTGTGGGGGGCAGGACTGTTGTGGGGGACAGGAGGCCTCTGTAGGCGCCTTCCTTCGTGGATGGCACCGAGGCTGCCTCAGCGGATGGGGCGCAGGCTGAGTGCGCAGGTGCCCTGGGCATGGCTGGAGCGACCCCGAGCACCACCAAGTGTGGCCCCCAAACCCAGCACAGCCTGGGGAGGAGGCGGTCAGGAGCGCAGGCAGCCGAGGCAGGGGAGGGGCCAGATACCCACGCCCACAAGCAGCTCCCAGAGAACCTTCCAGGCCAGTCTCCAGGCTCTCACCTCCCCACCCCCCACCCCATGGCCACCCTGGGGCACGCTCCCCCGTTCCCCTCACCACCTGACCAGGCAAGGCCATGGGGACACCCCGCCCCACCACCAGGAGGGTTGGACCAGGCCATGAGAGTAGCCTCTGCACACAGAGGCCAGGAGGCCACTGTCAGCCCCGCACACTCTGCAGGGCTCTTCTGCAAAACGAACTGACAGCGTGTCTCAGAGAAGGTTCTGGAGAAGACCAGATTGTGAGCGTGACCTCCATCCAAGGACAAGGGTCAAGAGAGACGGGGACATAAGGAATCACGTAGATGGACACAGGAAGTCATGTGAGAATGACACAGACATGGGAAGTCATGTGGACAGACATGGACATGGGGGTCACAGACAGGGAAGTCACAAGGACAGACATGTGGACACAGGGAGTCACGTGGATGGACTCAGACACAGAATCTCACAGGGTCCCATGGAGGGAAGCAGAGACGGGAACAGGGCCCCACGGCGCTCACCCACACGCATGGCCGTGTTGGTCAGCTGCGGGCTGTACAGCACCTCCTCCTCGTCCAGTTGGCCCAGCACGCGCGCCTGCCGCAGGTAGGGAGTCAGGCGGCTGGGGGACACACTGCACACTAGCCGCTGCCGCTGCCCGTCCAGCATCTCCCACAGCACGTCCTCGTCCAGGGCCGTAAGCGCCGAGTCGGTGCGGCGCAGCTCCCCCATGGTGGAGCGCTGAGGAGACAGGACGGGGCACCCGGGTCCATCCTCGGCACCGCACTGAGCCCCGACCATGACTCAGGGAGCCCCAAGACAAAAAAGTGGGGCCACATCAGAGGCCACTCCCGTGCTCTCCTGGGGGCATAGATTGTCCTGCTTCAGATTCTGACAAGGCAGCCACAGACAGTGTGAGGCGGCATGACAGTCCCCCAGCTCACGCACACCCGCACCCTCACGGTGAAACGTGGAAAGACCCCTGAGCACGGAATCTACTAAGGGGCCCCTGGCACCGGGACAGCCTACGGGCAGCCTCTGGGGACCACGAGGGACAGAGGTGGAGCTGCAAGGCCAGCAACAGAGGAATGCCCGTCCCAATGCCCCCTAGCCGCATAGGTGAGAAAGCACATTTCTGTCCCCATTGCCCCAGGGCTGGATGCTCGAGGAACAACCAGAGGACACTCAGGGACACTGGATGTACATTCAGGAACACTGGGTGGACACTCAGGGACACTAGGTGGGTATTTGATGACACTGGACAAACACTCAGGGGCACTGGTGGACATTTAGCGACACGGGCAGAATGTCCCGGGGCCGGGGTGCAGTGGAGGCCAGAGTGTGGGATGGAGAAGGGGTCGGGGCTGAATGGGCTGGGGAGACCCCTTCAGGGGCTGTGCAGACAAAGTGCAGGCGGCAGCTTGCTGTCAAAGCCTAGACAGCAGCGTAGGTCAGCTGAGGCGCCCAGAGCTCCTGGCAGCCCCGGCCTGCTCAGAGGCGTCTCGGGGTGGCGTTTCCCTACCCTGCGCCGTTAATCCAGCCAGACCATCCTCAGACGCATCCCACGAGACCCCCGTATTCAAGCATACTGAATGAATGACCATACCCTTCAGGGGCCAGGGGACGTGGGGAGCTGTGTGTGCCAGGGGGTCTTCAGCTCAGCACCACACAGCCCCCTGAGGAGGGACGGACCCCAGCACAGGGGTGGCCCCAAAAGGAAAACACACAACAACAGAAATCATCCTGGAGATGTAAAGCAAACCCCCACGAACGCGGAGTACATGTTCCCTTCCCCGGGTGGCAAAGGTCTGTGGCCCTGCCACGGCGCTGCTGCTGTGGGTTCGTCCCCTGTGTGCAGGTTGCGGGAGACCCTTCCCTCCTCCCTCCTCCCTCACGCCTCGGACACAGATCTCCCTCTGACCTGTAATCTCACAACTTCCTTCTCATTGCTGCTGAGCTGGACTCTAGAAGTGGTCAATCATGAAACTACGCGGGTATGTGCGAGGTCGAGTCCGATACCACTCCAGGTGGCCCCTGGCACCCCCCAGTTCAAGCGCTAAGCCAGGCCCGCACAGGTGGGCAGATAGCACTGGGAAGGGCCCCAGGTCCCAGAGCACTGCTGGGGAGCCGCAGACCCACCAAAGACAGAGCTAGGACAGAGGAGCCCTTGGCGGCTAGGAGACAGGGACGTGCACTGGAAGGCATGTCCACCAGCGCCCCCAGCTCACAGTACTCACGGGCTCCTTCCTCCCCGGGCAGCCACGCGGGGATTCTTCCACAGTCTCAGCAAGCTGTGGGACTCGCGCCAAAACTCAAAGTTCAGGTTTCTGAGCCTGACTGTGGGGGAAAGTGCGCCAGCAGGTGACTCCCACGCTTCCCAGAAGGAGATTGGGCTTTGACTTGGGAGTCCTCAGGTGCCCTGAGTCTCCTTCATGGGCGTGAGTCCAGGGCTGCCAGGCCCTCTCCCCTTGTTCCGGGGATGTCTGTGGTGCCCTGAGCCAAGCTGGGATGGGCCAGGCCAGGACCAGAGACCCCAGGGCAGAGTGATCTCACCAGGAAGCTGCAAGCAGGTGAGCTGAGGCCTCGGGGTAGATGGTGACAGATCTGGCAGGCTGGGATCTGTGCAGGCAGGCACCCCAGGAGCACGGCCAGGTTCCCCGCGTGCCACCAGGAGCAACCCCCAGGCATGAGCCCCCAGTGCCCACCAGTACTTCTGAGGGCCACTGAAAACCAAAGAACACCGGGCCAGGTGTGGTCATGGGACAGAGCTCATGCCAAGAATGGCCAAACGGCCAAGGTCCTGAGTTCCATGCTGAACCCTGCACAGCCTCAATGACAGATGAGTTGGAGGGCCCATGCACAATGGGTGTGGCCTGAGAACAGTGGGAGTAACTCCCAAAAAGTACCCCAGATGTCTTGGATGAAAGTGCCACACAGCAAAGTCAAGGCCTAGACGACACACGACACTGTGCACACTGTGGGGGAGCAGGGCGGTGTGGAGTGTGATGTGTGGTGTAAACTCATGTAGTGTGTGCTGTGCACACATATGTAGTGTGTGGTGCATATGCACATTAGTTATGTGTATGTGGTTTGCATGTATGTAGTGTATGTGTGTATGGTGTGGGAATGCGAATGCAGTATTGTGTGGGATGGTATGTAGTATAAAATAAAGTAAAGTAAAGGCCCTCCCGTTGTTCGTCGATTTGCTCGAGCGGGCCCAGTAACGTCTCCATTGGAGATTTTGTTGTTACTGTGTTTGGCATATCAAATACATCACGGGTGGCTTGCCAGGCTCTGCCGTGTGGGCGAGATACTCTCGGTAGCTTGCTGGGCTCTCCCAGAGGGGCGGAGGAATCGAACTCGGGTCGGCCATGTTGACTGCGTGCAAGGCAAACGCCCTACCGCTGTGCTATCGCTCCAGCCCAGGTATGTAGTATATCCAGGTGTGTAGTATATCTGGTGTATATGGACGTAGTGAGTGGAGTCTATGTTTTTGGTATGTGTGTGATGTATCACCCTGCCAAACCCCTCTCTTAATGCCGATGATCACTTCCTTGTAGAATGGTGAGATCCTGGTGGTGAATCCGTAATACAGCTCATGGAGGATCCTGATGTATTGAGTTTGAATGCCCTGTTTGGCTAGGGCTTCGATGAATGCTTCCGTCTCAACAGAACCAAAGGCCTTCTTTAAATTGAATAACATTAGACAGAGCGGCATCTTGAACTCCTGAGAAACCTCAATGAGTTTGATTACCGTGTGGCTATGGTCGATCATGCTGAATCCTTTTCGGAACCCGGCTTGCTTGCATGGTTGTCCTTCATCTAGTGTTCTGCCAATCCTATTCAGGATGACTCGAGTGAACAGCTTGTAGATGATGGACAACAGGCAGATCGGGCAATAGTTGCCAATGTTGTGGATGTCTCCCTTCTTGTATAACAGAACATTCCTGCTAGTTTTCCACTGGGATGGAACCTTACATTCAGATAGGTAGCATGTGAAGAGCCGAGCCAGTGTATTGATGAGTACTGGTGGCAAATTCTTCAGGTGTTCAGGTCTGACCTTGTCTAGACCAGATGCTGTACACTTTTTTGCTGATGAATTGGCGTGTTGAATTTTGGAAGGGAGAATGTTGGGAATGACATATCTATCCTGCGGGATTTGGTATGTGGGCAGGTGGACGTGGCTATCGAAGAGATCCGAGTAGAAGTCATGAATAATCTTCTCCATTGCCCTTCTGGAAGATGTGATAGATCCATCAGGATTTTGGAGGGCAGTCATCTTGGTCTTGTAGTTGGTGAAGGACAGGTGGGCACTGCGAATACTTTCCCCGGCTTCTGTTGCATCGGCCAGCACTGCTGCTCTTCTCTTTTTGAGGTCTTCCTTTATTGCTTCTCCGCACTGCTTTGCAAGCTCGGACATTAGCTTGTGATTGCCTGAGGCTCACGCCAAGCCACGTTGGTGAATGAGCTCGAGAGTTTCCGAAGACAGGTGATACTGTTTCACTGAAACTCTTCAGTGCCACCCTCAAGAACATCATGCGTCGACTGGAATGGGAAGGAATGGGAGTGAAGATAGACGGTTGGCAACTACACCACCTCTGCCTCGCTGATGACATCGTTCTAATAACACCAAACATTAGCCAAGTGGCACGAATGCTGACCAACTTCAACTTGAGTGTGGAAAGGTCAGACTGTAGCTAAATCTCAGGAAGCCAATGTTCATGAGAAATGGTCTAGTTCCTGACATTCCATTTGCTCTCAATGGAATGAACATCTCCAAATGCAGCAGTTTTGTGTACTTAGGTCAAGAATTCAACATGATGAATGACCTGGGACCTGAGTTTCACAGGAGGAAGAGAGCGGCATGGAACACCTTCAAGAGCGTTGAAGGAATAGCTATGAGGATGAAGAACCTCTGGCTCCAGGCACATCTCTTCGACTGCACTCTTCTTCCTGCATTAACATACTCCTCAGAGACCTGGGTCCTATGAAAACAGAATGAGAACGCTATTCGGGTATCCCGAAGAGGAATCAAAAGAGCTATGCTTGGAGTATCACGCTTCACTCAGTGAGAGAAGGAATTAGGGGTTCCGACCTCTGTTGATGATCGAGAATCAGGAACGCTGTCTCATTTGCTAAGGTGTCGAAAATCAGATGGGCCAGACATGTAATGTGATTTGAAGACGATTGCTGGACTAGAGCCGTTACTGACTGTATTCCACAGGATGTCAAAAGAACACGTGGACGCCCACCTACGAGATGGTCGAACTTCATCAAGACCCTGAATGAACAGTTTGAGAGGCTCTTCATGTTCCTGGAGTGAGCAGATGCTATTGGGCTACACTAGCACGCCACAGGGATGAATGGAAATGTTACTGCCACCCGCTCGAGCAAATCGATGAGTAACAGGATGTCAAGTGATCAAGTGTGATGCATGTGTATGTGCTGTGCATGGTGTATGTGTATTATGTATCTGATGCACATTTCTGTGGTGTATACATATATGGTACATGTGCGTGGTATATGTATCTGGTACATGTGTGTGGTGTCTGTATCCAGTGCGCGCGCACGCACGCGTGTGTCTGTGTATGAGAAGATTCCACAGTCCACTCATTATTCCTACACCTGTGTTCTGTGCAGTTTAGTGGGCTGTCGGGAACGTGTTGCTCTCCTCTAGTTTTGGGTGCTGATTCTTTTTTTTTTTTACATTTTTATAATTTTATTTATTGAAT